AGTGAAGCGACGATGGGCGGATAAAGCGAGGGACCTGGTCGATATACATGAATGTGTCGATAGACAGTAAGAGCAGTACCTCTCTGTCAGTGACGAGTAGGAAGCCGTCAGGCAATGCGCATACAAACAAAGCGATCGGCGGGAATNTTCATACAAACAAAGTGANCCGCGTGCGTCATNATGGCTAATNTCGCTGCGCAGGAAAGGCGGGGCCACTCTNGCGGTTGCATATCTTGAATTGCTGATAGTCGCGTTGTATAGCGCCGCCAAAAGTCACATTTATTTATTTGATCAATTGGCGAAATGGGCGAGTCCAGTATTGCCAGTTCAATTTCTCATTGCCGGGATTTGTCTTCTGGGCCAGCTGACTCACCTGCTCGACTTGGGCTCCATCACACCGAGTCCGACATACTACTGCGACCATATGCCAGAGCAGTCAGTAATCGGTACTGCATCGTATCACTAGAGGAGACCCTCCGATCAAAGCGCTTCTCATACAGGCTACCGTCCTGAAGGAGCGCACTCGTCTATTCGCAGACCGCGGTGAGCCAGGCCGGCTCGGAGTCAGCCGCGTGAACATCTCATCAGTAACCAGCTTTTGTTTACTCCACAGCTTGCATGCGCAATCTCTTGCACTCGAAGAACACAATGTCATCTGTTTGCCAGTAATACATATGAGACAATGCCTGCGACGGGAGCATCGATCGGTAGTGTCCAGGGAAGAAGTAATCTTATCCATTCTTGCATGTGTACGAGCAATATGGACAGCTGCCTTGCTAGCCCGGTCTTGATCATCAATCGACATGGTGGTGAATGCACGGGCAAGACTCTTACAAGACAGCGCTTGCGGCAGATCAGTGCGGGCAGTCAACCAGCACTAAAGCAGAATCTCGGCGTCGCACGTAAGAGTGACACAGTGTGATGTCTGTGACACGGCGACGGACGCGTTGGAGACATGGTCTCAGGCTTTTCCGTGCGTGGTCATTTCTTCTTGCCAGCTTGTCCCCTGCTGCAATTGACAATCTCGAGAGATTCACTGCCAGATGATCACCTGTCTCGCGCTACTGCTTACGCTCTTCCAAGTTGTGTCGACTTCTGCTTCGCCGGCGCGGCTGTTTGGCCGGGATGACTATGGACCATGGTTGCCAACACGCATAGCCGCAGATCATTGTCTTGATGTCGCTCTCAGCTTCAGAGTAGACCTTTCGAACAACGTGCGTCTCGCATGATGGACCACAGATTGCTCAAACGCTGCGTAGGTCTTGATTGCGGGCAATTTGCCGCCCGACGTACANTTGTCTTGGCACGAGACCAATCGTGACGCCCGCGGTGGGGCAACGTACAAGCTCACTCGTACGCTACTTTGATCTTTCACTCGATCAGAATGAAGAATTGGGAGCAGTCGTTCGTGCGCTGGCTGTCATGGATGTAATTTTGCACCGCAAATACGGCTCTGACCGATTCTCTTTTTTCGAGGTGCCGAGTTGCAATGTCGGCATCAACTCCGTTGCGGTATGTAACCCGTGCTCGGGCTCGTCCGGGCTGATGCTTCGTGCAGATCGGCGATATGCATGCCAAGTAGGCAGATTGAAGTCTTGGCTGCTGGGCTGACACCATACTACAACAGAGTCATAAGCGCCGGCATCGCAATTCCTGCTTACTAGTGCATACTACCATGCATGTGCATCTTTGCTGTGCGGTACGTGGCATGCTACACGAAGAGATGCGATGCATTGCGTAACGCGTCACGCGACGGATGTATCTGAGATAAGCTGGAGGGACTATCGGCTGTCCCTCACAGGTTTCGTCTCCGTCAACACCTTCATCAGATGCCGTCGAGGGCAGAGCAGCTTGCATGGACACCGCTGAGAGGACTGATGACGTCTGCGCGAGATGATGTAATCAACGAGGCCAGAGTACTATATGGACGGCTGTGTGCATGGACAGGCAAGGGCTCAGTCTACGAGCTGCCGGCTCGACTTTGCGGTAACAGTGTGTTGCTAGCTGCAGTAGCTCTGTACATCGTCCAGCAAGGGTACGTCGAGATATCGACCAGGGAGACTCGCTCATGAGCAGCAGACAAATCGAGGCGACGCTTGATTCGGTAGCATATCACCGAGCAGCCAGTGTNACAGCTGCCAATTTCANATTAGCACTCGGCAAGTGCCAAAAAGCCGTTGATGATCANTCTGCAAAGATAACGAGTCCAGCGAGACGCACGTCACGAAAGATCAGTAGCGCTTCACCGAGCCGGTCAGCTCGCCCCGTCAGACGCAGCCAGAGCGAGAGTCCGAGCAAGGATGTTGCACGGCAGAAACTAATGAGGCCTGCGCCCGGGCAGGATCTTTCTGATGATGGCATCGCGTCAGCAAGTGAAGCCCGCACGGCCAAGACAAGGATACAATACAAAAAGAGAGGCACAATCGAGCCACAAACGCCAACAAAGAAGCCAAGACGTGCATTGGCAGACATACAAGCTAGTGCAGCTTTCGAAAAGGCTTCAGCTTCGGTCACTGATACTGGGACGGGCGTGGCCTCGCCATCGCTCAGCAGACCGTCGTCGGTTAGCGGGCGTCTGTCATCGACCACGCCGACGGCGAGCAGAGCGAAAGACAAGCAAGTGCCGCCAGTGGCCGATGTAACGGCCAAGTCAAATGCTCTCTTCACGCCTATCGACCACACGACTGCCTATCTCGATAGTGTCGACTGGACAAGCAAGCGTGTTATCGCCTTGAAAGAGCTAAATGCATGGGCGCAATAGAGCTTGTCGAGAGACACGCATGCATAGTGGAGTATCCGATCAAGACTGCCGTTGATGGACAGTGGCTGCAGGTGCGCTCAAACGCGAGAGATAGTCTCGCATCCACTGTTCTCTTGCTTCGGGTTCGTGATCAAAGGCGCGATAGCGTCTGTCAGACTGAAGCACCGAATGGATTGAATCTAGGTTGATAGTCGCTGCCATTGCCTTGAGGCTGACAGAAGCATCACCGGATTCTTCCACATTCACGAGATCGTCGTCGAGGATGCGCTTGACATCGCCTTCGTCTGCAGATTCTTTCGACATGCGACCCCAAAAGTCAACAAATGCGCTCTCGCCAAGCATGCGATCAAAGTCTGTGCGTGCCCGTGCTTGACGAAATTGTTGCCAGTCGCAAAACAAGTGCTCCAGCTTGTCTGCATCGCTGGATACTCGGGTAGCCAGTGGATGATCATAGATCTTGGGCAAGATGGACAAAAAGGGCGTATCGAGGAAAGGCGCGTTTTGCTCGAACAAAGTATGCAGCCCGTCCAGCCATTTGGCGTGAACTTCGGCGACGTGCGTGGACCATGCTCTGCGGCGCTCTTCTAGTGACAAGATACGGCAGCATTCCTCGTAGCGTTTGTCAAAGGTCATGGTCTCGACCGCTTCGGGCCAGCTGATCTGTACGCCGACTACGAGTCAGCATCGACAGCGAGAGGTGTCGCACTGACTCACGCTGGGATCTCGAATGTTGTCAATGAGGACGGCCTTGAAGCTGCGCTCGGCTTCCTCGGTGGCGAGCTTCTGTCGACTGGCATGTACGACTTGGTTTGTCTGAGCTTGATGCGCTTCGACCTCGTGCTGCCTTGCCAGCAGACTGGCTCGTGCACGCTCTGCTTTTGCTGCAGCACGTTCTTGTACAGATTCCAGCGGCGCTTCTGCCAGGCGCTGAAGATGCGCTTTGAATGAAGCTTCCCTTGTCGATGCAGACTTGATGGCGTCGTAGCGTGGGTCAACGCTGAGCCTCCCTTTGACCTGCGCGGCAAANGTCAGGCCGAGCCGACTGACGATCAAGTGACTTACGTCTACCCATTTTGACGCTGGCGTGAGGTCGGTCTGCTCGGTCAATAGCCTGTCAAATGCTTGCTGTGCCTGTTCTGCATCCGCCCGTTTCACTGCGCACTCGATCAGCTTCCATCGTAAAGAGGGCCAACAAAGAGCAGACATTCGCCGAGATCCTTGAGCCAGGATCGGAAAGCTTTCTCGCGCTCACGGTCATCTCTGCCGTAGTTGCGAAAGCGTACGTCAGTTTTGTGGTCCCGCCGAAAGTCGTCCCAATGTGTTCTCGTCGAGGTGACATGTGCGACGAGTAAGGCACGGTAAGCAGCGATGGGCTGAGAAGGACCATCAGCTCTACTAGGAGGCATCTACTTGCTCTTACATCTTGCTTCGGCGCCGCCCCCCGTGCGCGCTGTGCTCGTATCTTTTCCTTGCAAAAGTCGTCAAACAGCTCACGGCGTTCGCGAAGCTGCTTCACAGCTGGTCCACAGATCTTCAGATCTCCTGCGCGACTCAATGTAGCCGTGTACGCACCCTTGTAGCGAGGGTCGTTGACAAATTTGGGCAGCTCCATGTCCCAGGGGGCGAGAGGCGAGATGTCTGTCTCGGCGAGCATGGACTGCGCACCTATCAGACACTTTTCCAAGGAAGCATAGGATGACACACGCGAAAGAGTGCCTTGTTCTCGTCGCTGGAAAGCTCATCTGTCGCGCTAGCTGGGGGTGGTCCGAGCGAGGCGCCTTCATTCGCGTCCAGAGCTGCCAGTTCAGAGGCAACCTTTTGCTGACTTTCGATGTCCAGATCGGCAAGCGCGTGGACCCTCTTGCTCTTCTTGCTGACGCCAGGTGCTGTCTCATCCGGCGTTCGCTTCGCTGGCGGAGCAGTTGAGGTTGCAGTAGCTGAACGAGAAGTGGATGTAACGGGCTCTGTGATGGCTGTCAAAGGCGTGCCGTTGTATCTGGCTTCTTTCTCTTCAGCCTCTAGCCGAGCGACTTGTCCGCTGATCTCCTCCGGTGCCGTCCAAACAGACGTCTTGTGCTCAGAGTGCGTGTAAAAGACATTGCCAGCTGTCGTGACNATCCTCAGCCAAGGNGTGTCACCTATTGGCGTCTTCGTCAAGGGCTTTTCCTTCTTTCGCTTGACACGGTCTGGCTGTGCGACGGGTTGCGAGCTGCCCAGATGGAGTGGCTTGTCGGGCGTGACNGTTGGCAGCACAGAGACAGGACGAGTGTAGGTACTCTTCTTTGTCTCGGCGTTGTAGTAGTAAGGCACGCCCTTGGGAGAGAAATGCTCTGTCCAGCCAGGTGCCAGAGATTGCTTCTGATCTGCCATGTCAGCTAGAGGCTGTCGGGTGATGAACTGGCGAGCAAGCCGTCATGACGGGTCGCCAGGCCGATGACAAGTCGACGACATCGCGACGGCACGGCTTCCTGCGAGCGCTTGCTGCGTGTGTCGAGGTCTCGACAAGATGCCCCTCATACATCATGCCATGCCTCGCTTCGACATCAACCTGGGCTTCAAGCTCGATCAGTTGACGGTCAATGCGACCATCCTCGTCCTGCTCGCTTGCTACATCGTCTATGGTCTCGTCGTCAAGCAAGACACTCGACGGCGAGCCCTGCCAGTGCACAAAGAATGGGTCGTCATTCTCGGTGCATCAAAGGGCATCGGCAAGGCTCTGGCTTTAGCATACGCTGAGCGAGGAGCGAGAGTGATGCTCGTTGCGCGAGATTCAGTCGAACTCGAGGCGACCGCCCAAGCATGCCGAGCGATCAAGCCAAGACATTCTCAGCTCAAGCTGAACCCCTCGAGAGGCATAGAGACCGTCCAAGCAGACGTAGCGAGCGAAGAGGGCCTGCTCGCTGTCCACCAAAAGGCAAAAGAGCTTTGGGGCTGTGTCGACACGTTGATCATCTGGTGAGCAACGCTCGAGCGGCAAGGATCAGGCTGATAGCAATGCAGCGTCGGCGCGCTCGCTGTCTTGCCTGCGTTTGCACTGACCGGCTCCATCGATCCTGCCTCGCCTTTGCACGTCGTTAGAGATACAGTATCAGCAGAGGAACTCAAGCAAGCGACAGCCGTCTACGATAAGATGGTCAAGCTCAACGCGACGGTGCCGCTCTTGGCCACGCTCACGTTTGCGCCTCTCATGGCTGCAAAGTCGCATGCGCCCCGCATCGCACTGATCTCGTCCGTCGCCGCATGCATCCCAGCGCCGACGCGTGCGATCTACGCGTCGAGCAAGAGCGCCGGAACAATGCTCATGGAAGCTCTTCGTATCGAAATGCAAGGCTGGCCGACAGCCAAAAGCAGGAACGGCAGAAACGGGCATCCTTTCGGCGTGACAGTCATCTCTCCAGCCACAGTAGAGACCGGTCTCCGCGAGCAAGCCGCAGATATGCATCTCGCTCCTGATGGTCACAAGCCGAGCGGATCTAGCAAAGGCCTCTCGCCTGATCACGTCGCACGTGCCACTATCTCGGCCATCGATCACGAGCAGCGCCACAGCTTCGTGCCCTCCTTCTACTGGTACGCCAGACTGCTACATGTGATCATCCCGAATGTCATCGAGCGCGGGGCAAGACGCAAATACGGCTTCATGTGAATGAGATTGCACGTCACTGTGCGTCAGACTGGTGTTGATGACTCGAAATCCTGCGTCGAGTGCTTTTGCGCTGGTGGCCTGAACAGCTAGGTGCCGGTGATCATGGATTGATGATGGCATGATGAGTCGCGTCGTCGTGCATCGTGACGCGGTTGGCAACGAACGCCTGCTGAAGCGCTGACATGCGCTGACATCCAGAGATGGACTTTGTACAGCAGCTCTTGGCGTGCACAGCGCTCTGTGCGCCGAGCAAGGATGTCAAGCTCAACGGACGAACGTTCAAAATCGTCAGACTCCTCGGCGAAGGCGGTTTCGCCTTTGTCTATTTGGCAGAGGACACGAGCTCGGGCCGACAATTTGCGCTCAAGAAGATCCGATGTCAGAGCTCAGAGGGCTACAGGATCGCTATGAAGGAAGTGGAAGCATACAAGCGCTTTCGACATCCTTACTGCATCCGCTGCCTCGACTCTTGCGTCATTCAGGACGAAGAGGGCCAAGTCATCTAGTGCGTCTCCGTACTCAGTGCAGTACAGCTGTAATTCACCACGCTAGATAGCCTCTTCCTGCCATTCTACAAGCGCGGCAACCTGCAAGACGCCATCAATGACCATGTCGTGCGTGATCATGCTACCGCACTCATCAAAGCTCATGTGGTGAGCCATAGACGTCAGGCAGTCGCTTTGGCGAGCGCGAGATGCTCAGGCTATTTCTCAAGACATGCGAAGCCGTAAGAGCGATGCACACCTACGTCCCAGGCTCTTCAGGCACGGCGCAGCTCGCGCAGGACGAATCAACTTATCCGCCACCTCAACAGCGAGTCAGCCGGATGCGAGTGCCGTCTGCCCATTCTCTGGAAGAGACCCTAGATGGCGGAGAAGACGACGAGCAAGATGCGCCCCTGATCAGGACGTCAGAGATGTCTGGTGGCATACTCGAGTCCAACAATGCGCCAGAGGCAAGCACGAGCGCAGTCGCTCAACTCAGCGATCAGGGCGACACCCTGGGCTCCTTGGATCCCAAGCCAGCGCCAAATCTCAATTCTACTGGTGCAAAGCAGCGGGGTAAGATGACGCCTTGGGCTCACCGAGACATTAAACCGGGTATGTGCATCCTTGGCTGCCCGCAGCTAAGCTCACAGCATCGTGCAGCAAATATCATGGTCACCGATGATGGTCAAGATGCAATCTTGATGGATTTTGGCAGCGCTGCTCCTGCACGAGTAGAAGTTCCCAGCCGTTCCGTCGCGCTCACGCAACAAGATTTGGCGGCAGAGCAATGTTCCATGCCTTTTCGGGCGCCCGAGCTCTTCGATGTGCGTCCGACTGTCTTTTGACGCTTTGATCAAATTCATAGGATCTGTAGGTCAAGACCGGGCAAGATCTTGACCAAAAAGTTGACATATGGTCGCTCGGCTGCACGCTCTTTGCACTAGCGTTCCATCATTCACCTTTCGAGACAGAGCAAGAGCAACAAGGCGGTAGTATCGCCATGGCAGTACTGAATGGGCAGTACAAATTTCCTTCTGGGTCGGGCGACAAGTATTCTCAGCCTCTCAAGGATCTTATCTCTTCGATGCTTATCGTCGATCCTGAGAGCAGGCCGGACATCCATCAAGTGCGTCTTAATGGCAAGCGAGTTGAAATGGCTGACGAATGGACAGGTCATCACATCCACGAAAGCAGCGCTGGCTAGGAATGAACAGGTTTCATGACAACGACGGGACACGCTCGTACAATAGACACTTTTACTTGTTTGTCGGCCGGACGCGATGAATCTGCTCTAGTTTCCTTGATCTTGTCTTCGGGCGCGTCTTCTGAGCCTTCATCAGTCGGTCGAATGCCGAGCCCGGCGTGACTGCTATGTTCTCATCGGCTTGCTTGACCAGGCAGGCATCTAAGTGGCGATTGAGTTGAGCCATGTCTTGCAAGAAGCTTTTGTGGCAAATGGGACACTGTATCCCAGTTGCTCCAGACGTGGATGTCATCGATGAGAAGATCACCTCGTCGTCGTCGTCTTCTTCCGCCTCCTTGACTGATCCAACGCTCGTTGCGCGCGGTTCGTCTACTTCCTCATCGTCCAGGATGACAATAGCGCCAGACTCGTCCATACGTGTGTGCGTTGCGAGGGGCGTCTCGCTCCTCTTCCTTTTGCTGTGCGACTCGGTTGGCACGGGCGTAACGACTCCTTTCGGCGATACGACAGCCCACTGCATGACACAAAGTGCTGTCAGTTCTGTGGGCAAGCGCACGTCTGCCAGCGTCCTACATGGTCGATGGTCCGCGCCCTGCGTTTGGCGATTGCTGCCTCACTTTGATCCACCAAGTTTGTGATGCGCAGACCCAAGAGCCTGAGTTCGATCTCCCGCGTCCCCCCACAGCCCACGGGCGTCTTGCCATCGTCATAAAGCTTGCGACGTTCCGTGATAGCTTCATCGAGTAGCTCCTTACCGACCTTGTAGAATTGCTCTGTATCTCGATACAGGTGATGCTGGCCTATCGTTCTCGCGCGCGTGAACGGCTCATACGTGCTCACTGCGATGCACCATTGAGCGCAGACTTAGGAGCATTGGATGCTGGCGTACGCTTGAATTTAAGTGTGAGGGTCCGTCCCGCAAATTGCAGAGACTGGCAATCATTGCCCAGCGTCTCTGCTAGCGCACGCAAGACCTCCAAGAAGCCGCTGTAATCTGCTAGCTTGCCGAAGGTGTCCTCACGTCCGACAGATTTGCGTGACTCGCGTGTGCTGGCTGACACGAGAGAGGAGCCTAAGCCGAGATAGGCTTTGAGGAGGAAGTCGAGACTAATGCTGGTCCGAATGAGGTGGAGCATACCCCGCTTGGCCCAGATGTCGCTGATTCTCCGTACATCGAGTGCGACGAGCCAGGCTTCTGTCACGCGACCGACGCCAAAGATCTTTCTGACCGGTTGAGCGGATGTGAATTCTACGACAGCGTCTCGAGTTGGCATGACGCGACATTGCCCATCTGGCTTATTGACATCAGCGGCCATCTTGGCCAACAGCGTGTTGGGTGCGATGCCCGCAGAAACGGTCAGGCCTGTCGTCTCCTTGATCTCGGTCCGCATCTGCATCACGGCATCGTCTGCTGATAAGCCGCTTGATCTCATAAAGACAGTAATATTCAGGTATGCTTCGTCCAAACTTGCGGGAGCGAGGTGGGGATCGTATTTGCGTAAGATTGCCATGACGCGCGCAGAAGCCTGGGAGTATTTGGTAAAGTCTGGCTTGACAAAAATGAGGTGTGGACAGAGCTTCTTTGCGATGTAGCCTGCCAGTGCAGACCGAACACCATACTTTCGAGCTTCATAAGACGCGGTAGTGCAGACTCCAACGCCGACTGCAAACGCTTTTCCCTTGAGCGACGGATCGTCGAGCTCCTCGACGCTCGCGTAGAATGCATCACAATCGACCACGACGATGGTTTGCGAGAGATCTCGCGTTGCTTCGAGCAGTTCGACTTGAGCCTCGACGATGATCTCCTCTGCGCGCAGATTGCCATTGGTGAGAGCTACCCGCTTGCTGAGCTGGTCGAGCAAGACCTTGATCTTGAGCTGGGTAGCTTCATCCCTGCGTTGCTCATTCTGTGCAAATGCAGACCCTTTGCTCGCCTCCCAGATGATCTGCCTCACTTCTGCAGGATCACGGGTCAGGCCTGACTTCCCGGTCGACGGGCCTGCCAGTCGATGAAGGAAGGACTCGGTGGCTCCTTCTTTGGCTGTGTGAGGTGTTTGACGTGCTTTCCCTTTGCCACTCAGTCCTGACTTGGGGAGAAGCTGGCCCGGCAGATGCTCGGCTACCGTGAGCTCCTCCGGAACAGCATGTCCGGCCATGCCATTGAGCAGCACGATCGCTCAGCACTGAACCAAGAGCCTGGTCGCGAGCGCGAGCTCGACTTCGGTTGTCACTGATCATCGATGACCGACGCACTCATGTCGACCATGTGTGCTCCGAATAGACTCGGCATGGGCAGTCTCGCTTCACGGTGACTGCTTTGAAGTATGACGCAGGCAAAATGAAGGCGACCAAGCGCTACAGCTCCTTGGCCGTCGAGTCTGAGGACTCTGATCTGGGCTCACTCGCAAGCCTAGACCTGGGCGCACTGTCTCCCACTCAACCCACTGAATCTCGTTTCCAGCATGCACAGCACGATCTCTGCCCTGGCTCGGGGTCGAGCGCGACCCTGCGACAGGCGAGCGAGCCTCGCTCTAGTCTGGCAACGCTCAAGATACCTTCACAGAGCAGCATAGACCTTCTCCGGTGAACTCATCAAACGGTCCCAGCGCATCTTCCTTCATCTCGACCTCTCCCAGCACACAGAATCGTAGACCGGGGGGTCACATCCGGCGACGATCATCCATTGACTCGGCATTGTCACCCTCCTTGCGTCGCGCACCAAGTACATCCTCGCTTCGCGTAGATCAGGACTACCTCGCCCGCAAAATCCCCTTGCCTGCCCAGGTCCTGTCAGATATCGACCTAGCGCGGCTGAGACGCTGGGTCGTCGCCTTCATGACCGTCCAGTTTGATATAGACAACGGGCCGCTGCTTGACAACATTTGGCCGCCGTACGCCTTGACATCGGAGGAGCGCATGACTGTCGCATTCGCGTCCTTTCCAGACTCTTCCAGTCAGCGATTGCAGCTCGGCGCACAGACATTTGTCTGGCGGCTGCCCGGCAATGACGGCAAATCCATTTGGGGCGCGGTTTTTTTCGATCGCGCAAGAGCAGCCGACGCGAAAAGAGGTTTTCATCAGAGATCGCTTGTTATCGGGACGAGTGTCGATGCTCCCGGACTATTCAGCTATCTGGTGACCGCACTGGGTCAGCGCTTTCTTGGCCGTTCCGAAGGCGCCGCAGCAATAGCCCACGCAGCACAAAATATCATCAATTGGTCCGTGACTATCTTTAGAAGCAGTTAATTAAGGCAACCTGATTCTGAGGTGCGCGCTCCAGGCCTTCGCCTTCGCAACTTGGCGGCTGGGCTAACGTTCCTTTCCTTGGCAAGAACCTCAATGTCCTCAATACTGCTATTGCTGAAGCCCAGCAAAAGCCTCCCTTGCAGCACCATGTGATCGCCAATGTGCCCCTCAGACCTCTTTCACAGGTGTTCGCGGGCCACATCAGCGAACTCTGGACTATATGGGAGCTACTCATCCTCGGCGAGCCTATCCTCGTTTACGCTGCCGGCGACGCAGCACGCGCGAGCGACACAGTCATGTGGCTTCGGAGCCTCGTCAGGCCGCTGCCTTTCGACGGTGAGCTGCGACCGTATCTGACTCTGCAAGACCACGACTTTGCCAAAGTGTGCATCAAAACAAAACCGAGGCCCGGACTACTGGTCGGAACAAGCAATGGCATCATTCGCAAGGCGTGTCAGCATTGGCCACACGTGATCACTTTCGCCGCAGATGGCCATGGACGCGTCCTGTCGTCCACGCATCGGCGCTGTACTCGACGCGATGATGCGGTGCTGCAAGCTGCTGAGCAGGCAGCAGCCGCAGGGAATTTCATTGCCGCAGACGATGCTCTGTGCTGCCATTTTCGCGCGCTGACGGAGCGTTTTTTGGCGCCTCTATCTCACTACGTGTCTGATCTGCGACGATCGCCTGCTCAGAGGTCAATGGCTTTCCACGAGACGGATTTCCTGAAAGCATTGAGATCCCAAGGCTCGCCTCTGGTGTTTCGCATGCGGTTAGCCACGTTACCGCAACGACCAAGCCTCGCGCAAGCCGGTACGATAGGATTTTATACAGCTTGGCTCAGAGGTCCTTTGTTCTCTACTTGGCTCCATGAAACTGCACTTTGATCCGATTCGAGCTCGTTTGCTTGGCACGTGATAAGTTCAGTGTGCGCGCGACGCGCCTTGGCCTTTTTGCTTCCGAACCTGTTGCAAGCCGCTACTTATGTCTCGCATCCAGCTTGATCTGACGCCTGATAGTTCTTTCGACGGTGAGCAGAAGAAGCGATCCGTAGCGTGGAAGCCGCGCTGGCTCCGCCGCCCGACTCAGCTCGTCGCGCTCACCCTCTTCGCCTGCATTGCACTATCAACCGTCTTGGCATTGCCAAGTCAGCACGTACAAGCCAGAGCGACGGAGCAGCTACTACGTGTCGTGGAAAGTCTGAAGACGCACGCAAGCCTCTATGTGCGTCGTTTGGGTCCGCAAATCTGCAGCAAGCTGAAGGCCTGGCTATGCAGCCGGCTGACGTCCTCAGTCATGCTAGTGCTCGTAAATCGGACTGGCCCGATTGGTATCGCCAAGCAGGTCACCTGTCGAAATATCTGCTAAGACGTGAGGTACCCCTGGACCGGACCCTGTTCGTCATCATTGCGGACCACACCTACGTGCCTGCCATTCGCAACTTTGATCAGGTACTCAGGCAGCATGGCCACAGTGACGCTGTCGTGACATTGTGCCTTTCGATCGACTGTATCGATAGACTAGAAGAGCATAGTCTTATCGGTTACCATGGCTATCTCAATCAATCAGTCGCCGATATCAAGCTGCATTCCAACATAGACCTGGCTAAAACGGGCTACAATTTTGTGTTTGCCGACGGAGATGTCTACTTGAACCCTGCATTTGATCCCTTGCACGGCATGCTACCACTCAGCGATCAAAGTTGGGACATACAGATGAGCTGGGAACGCAACCGCAATCAAACGAATATCGGCTGGTACTTCATCCGCTCTTCAGATTATTCCATCGGTTATCTCGAGCGCTGTCTGGAAACGATGACACGTAAGCCAGGCTGGGACCAAGCCATCTACGACAACGAGTACGGACGATATAGACCTCTGCATCCCAGCTGACTTTTGCGTGCCAGGTATAAACGTCTGCGCAAGGAAGCCGAGTACAAGGGCGAGCTTGACACGCTGCGTATCAAGATCTTATCTTGCGAGAACAACATGAGCTGGATGCGCGAACCCTGGCAAGCTACATACGGCAATGCTACTGCAATGGCTGCACATGTGGCGCAAGCCACTACAATTCACTTCACGTGCATAGAGAAGAATGTCAAGTATGCGCTGAGCTTTGCCGAAAGCTCTCACTGACCTCCACGCTACAGATTGCTCTTTGCCCATCTTTGGGGATTATGGCAAGATCTGGATGGCTACTACAGTCGGCCACGGCCGTTGCTACGCTTGCCTCACCTCAATGGGACCGTCGATGAGCTCAGACAGCAATGGACATTCGCACGCCGGCTCGGCACTGAGACCGGCCGACAAGTCATCTTTCCGGAATACGTCACTCTCTTTCTAGATACTCGGGCGGAGGAGCGGCCGGGCTTCCGCGTGTTCTATATCGATGGCGACGAACTGCTTCATTCCATCGTGTCTAGCAGTTTCACCGAGATACGAGAGGCACGCGGTTTGTCTGCTCTCTCGGAGCAGGACGTGAAACCAGACACAAGTCTTGCTGCGCTCAAGGACGCTATCAGCCGATTCAGCTCGGAGACTATCGCCGTGCTGCCTGACTTTTCGGTCGCCGCCAGAATTTATGCGGAGAGCAGTCGTCCGCAGATGCTACCCATGTGCGAATTTATCGATTGGCCTCGCGAAGGCTGTTTGCGAGTCTGCGGCAATCCGGCTTAGGAAATTAGAGTCGAACGACCGCACAGGCATGGTATTATATTGTCACAGATTGCACGCACGTGACTGCTTCTCGCGCTCACTATTGACGCGCCAACGCGTTCCGTCGTGACTTTCGCGGGACCATCCCGTCTTATAGGACGATTGCGAAGATAGTAATGACCTACTCGCGAATCAGGCTCGAGCTTACCCCGGATAACTCTTTCGACGATCTCGAAAGGAAATCTGTCGTCACAAAGCCAACGTCGCACTGGCTGCGACGGCCCTTTCGCTTCATCGCGCTCTCCCTGGCGGCATGCTTGGCTCTTTCGGCTGCCCTGGCGCTACCCAGTCAAGATGTACGGACACGGACGCGCGAACGATTGTCTATCTGGTCTGCTCAAGTAGTGGAAACGGCTCAAGGGCAGTCAGGGTGGCTCTATGTACGTCACCTCTGGGTCTCGCATGTATCGCGCGTTGAGCGTCGCGCTCGCAGCCGTCTGATTTGCTCAGCCATACTGGACTGCGCCAAAATGAGTGGAGTGATCAATATCGTCAGGCGGGACACCTTGGTCGGTACCTGCTGCGACGCGAGATCCCGCTAGACCGCACAGTGTTTGTCATCATCGCAGACCACACGTATGTGCCGGCTATTCGCAACTTTGACAGCGTCCTCAGGCTGCATGGTCATGACGATGCCGTCGTGACCTTGTGTCTATCAGTCGACTGTGTCGACAATTTAGAAGAGCATGGCCTCATCGGTTATCATGGCTATCTGAACCAAACGGTCGCCGACATCAAGCTGAACTCGAACATCGATCTTGCAAAGTCAGGCTATAACTTTGTCTTTGCAGATGGCGACGTCTATCTCAACCCTGCATTTGATCCCCTGCATGGAATGCTGCCGCTCGGCAATGACACATGGGACCTTCAATTCAGTTTCGAGCGATGGGGCGACCAGCTGAACATCGGCTGGTATTTCGTCCGGGCATCCAAGTACTCGGTCGCCTATTTTGAGAGCTGTCTCCAGAGCATGATGAAGAAACGCGTCTGGGACCAAGCGATATTCAACACAGAGTAAGCCATGCGCGCTCAGCATACCATGCAGTGGCTCAGGATTCCGCAGATATAGACGATTGCGCAAGGAAGCCGAAGATACAACTGGTCTTGACTCGTTTCGCATCAAGATTCTCTCTTGCGATAACAATCTGAGCTGGATGCAAGAGCATTGGCAATACACATATGGCAACGCAAGCCGTATGAATGATCTGATCGCCAATGCCACGACAATTCACTTCACATGCGTGGAGAAGAGCGTCAAGTGCGTGAGTACGGCATCAGGGGGTATAGCATGCTCATGTCGCTTCCGCAGGTTGCTATTTGCACATATCTGGGGTCTCTGGCAAGACATTGATGGCTACTATAGCCAACCTCGACCATTACTGCGCCTACCACTCCTCACTGGAACCATCGACGAGCTGAGGCAGCAATGGACATTTGCGCGCTGGCTCGGAAAGAAGACTGGGCGACAGGTCATATTTCCCGAGTTTGTCATGCTCGTCAACGGCACGCAGACTCAGCGGCGCACGGGATACAACACCTTTTACATCGAAAGCGATGACCTTCTTGATTCCGTCGTGTCGAGCAGGTACACCGAGATCCGCATACAACGAGGACTGCCTGTCTTGCCCGAACACAAAATTGCGGCTACTGCTGACCTCAGAGACGCCATAACTCGAGTCGACCCACAGATTGTGGCATGGTTGCCGGATCTTTCGTTGGCCGCCGCGAAATTTGCTTTGTCAAGCGGAACTGACATGCTACCTCTGTGCGAGTATGTGGCCCGCATCAACGGAGGAGGTTGCCTCCGCGTGTGCGGCAAACCAGTGTAGTACGGTTCGGCTGAACAGTCAGCTTCGTTCTTGAAGTGTGTATGACACTTATTGCACGCGATCCTCAGACGTCTGCGACTGTCTAATGATGTGACTTCCGTTGCAAAGTATACAACAATGTCAATGATACCTATTGCGGATTGACTAGCACACTGCAGCCATTCTGCCAGGTCTGAACCCGTAGTTGTGCAAGGGCCGACATGGTACTTCGGTGAGTCCCTGCAAAGGCTTGACCCCGGGCCATGATGGCTCCGTCTACTATACCAGCAAGGAAGCGAGGCTTTACGTTCAGCCCTAGCCAGTCTGCCGGAAGATTTACGGCGATGATAGCTTCGGAACGTATCATATGCCAACCGCGGTGACCGACTGCTTCCGCGAAGGTTGGGTCGAGTTCGTCAGTCATAACGAGCACTTTGGGAAAACCATGCTTTTGATTGCAATCATCCTGACGTGCGAAGCCATCAAGGGCCGCTGCATAGTGATCTAGTGTCTTGGCATGGGCTTGATTGCAATTTGCTCTGCTGAAGCGGGCGCTACAGAAATCGCCCCTTCTGATATGTACAGTCGCAAAAGGTATGGCAGGATTGTCTATCGTTGATGCGATTACAAGATCTGCGAGACGCTCGATCTCGCGAGAAAAATACAGATGCCGCCCGTAGTACTGCCAGGCAGGATCCTGGAGAGCCATGATGTCGTTGTCGTAGGGACGGCCGTGGATGCTGCTGAAGTCTTGCTCGTGCAACCCAAATGCCGGATACATGCACAGCAACTTGTCCGACGGGCGCCGTTGCAACTTGAAGCGTTCATCAGTCTCCGCCAGATGGTCCAGGGTGGTCTCGAAGGTCTCGAAACGGGCTGAAATCTGCTCGACCAGCTCGTATGAATTTGCATCATAGCCCTCTATAGACGGAATCGGCCATGTTGCTATCTGCGTTCCGAACTCGGTGAAATTAGCGCCTGCATGCTCAGCCCAGCATCCCAGACGAAGCGTGTCGTTTGTTATGTGGCTGAGATCGAAAGAAACCGGACTGCTCGCTTTCTTTGACGCGCCTTGATGGTCAAAAATTGCAGAGAGCGGCAACGGACCATCTGGATTGGGGCTGCTCGTCCTGTGAATAAGTCAAGACCCATAGAATGTGTGAATTAGCTCACAAAATCACGCTCCGCCGCGTCTTGAGGCCTAGGTAGCCAGCCTTCAGGGCTATATAGACGTGGTTATTGAATCGGTCCTTGCCAGGAAACAGGAGAGCCGGGAGCCCTGATTCTAGCGGACTTCGGTCGCTTGTTTGATCTATATCGACAGTAGAAAGAGGCTCATAATTTATATTCTCCAGTATCTGCCAAAGCGTTGACTCGATTCGTGTCGCGTTTAGTGATACCGGCAAATGTCTATATGCTATGTACGCTATCGGACAAAGGCAAGCGGCTGAAAGACTAAGCAAGGCAAGCTTGAGCGCGATTCTGCGTCGCGACGGCTGAAGCGATGCTTGCTGCTCGAGTTCGCCCTCGCTTTTGCTACCGTCAACACTGTCATCGCCAGGAGTAGCGATCTGACTGTACTGCTCGCCCTGCCAGAGACTAGAAATGCTGGCCAGCGTGCCGCGAGTGAGTGAGCGCGTCCGCACCATGGTGAAATGTGATACATGGGAAGAGAAATGGAACAGAGCGTGCAGAGGGACGCGCGTCGCGGGATCGGGATCATTTATTTGGCAAGAATGTTCGTGAAATTGCGAGCAAGTAAAGGCGGGTAGCTGTCAGGCATGTCTAAAGCACACCAGAGCTACCGATCGACTCTGTTTGCGCTCCTCTTCGTCTTCGCTTTCAACGATCAGTCGCGCGATATTGAGCTTGACAGAATCAAACACCACGGTGAACGGGCGGTCCATCCTGATTGAGTAGGAGACGGATGCGAGGGGGCCTTCTATGTCCAGCATGTGCATCGCTGACGCCTCAGGCGAATCTGAATGACTGTCTCGAGTGCAGATCGAGATTGAGTCCTTGGATCCGAGCGATGTGCTCGGCGTATCGTCATGCTTTGCCGACCAGTCCGAGCTAGCGGATGAAGCGACCGAAGAATCTCGATCGAGCACAGCGTCCTCTTCGGTCGCTCTGACCGGCCAGAGCTGACGGAAGATACGCTCGAGGCCATCGGCAAAACTTTTCGCATTTCTCCACCGGACTGAGAACAAGATCGAAGTGAATTGAAGGCCCACATCGGCGTCGAGATCGCTCAGATAGAGTACTACCGGATCATTGATAGAAAAATAAGCGTGCTGGTTGCCTGGCGAGGTGCCTGGCTGGAGCGTTTGAAACGATAAGCCTCGGCCATCTCGCCTTGTGCGTGAAGCCTCCCATGGAAGAGCGGCTTGAAAAGTCAATTCGTCGGAGAAGTCGTCGCAGGTGTCGATGAGTAGCAGAAAGCGTGCGCGTACAATCGCCGCTGCGGCCTGGGCAAAAAATGAACTGTTGAAGCTGATAAGCGGAGCCATGGCCAAACATCGAGCGAGTGCACCTGATCAGAGAAGTCGCGATAAGCTCTCGCGTGGTCAAACAGTCTAGACAGCACAGGATGAGCTCTGCAGGCAAATCCAGCAGCTTCATTCCTATTGCATCCCTGACCTGCTGGTGGTCTCGGCGCGATCGATTTTACATGTCGATGTATGTCACGCGCGCTTTGATAATGCGCTTAATAAGTATCACGCTACGTCGATATTCCTTCGCCAGCTAGGACCAGGGCGCGTCCGTCTTGTCGCGGCGGCCTGATCTGCCATGACGGACTGGCCTCATCTCTATGTCAGCTCGCTAGCACGCAAACAAACCTCATTGCTGACCGTAGACTCGAGCAGTCGGACTTTGCGGAAGTAGTTGCTGATCAGGGCGGCTTATCAGAGGCGATTGAGATCTTCGAGCACGTCAAGTCGCGCGGCACTAAGCCACCTCGTCGCATCGTCGCCATCCTACTAGCCCTCATCCTCAATCCTGCTCTTGCCCTCCCCGTGTCTCACTATGCCGAGCAATGGGAAGAGCAAACGAATAGATGGGCAGGCGGGTCAGCGCAGCGATTGGGCGACTCGCTCTATACCAGCGTGGACTGGCTACAACTGCGCGCACTCGAGGTCCTCGCAGACTGGCTAGATGCCACCGGTCCCGGAATGCTGCTCAGAACGCTCCCAAGAGCGGCTGACCTCCATGCGGATTCGGACGCAGAATACGATAGGCCAAAGAAGAGGCGTAGGCAACTTCAGCCGCTCAGCAGAGCTAGTTCGGAGCCAGAAGAGACCGCTTCCTCTGCTTCACTCAGGGCGATTGTGGAGAGGCTTCAGGACCTACCGGACGCCTGGGAGCTCCTCAAAGGTGCGCTCGAACCTGCCAAAACCCAGCCAACTGTAGGCAATCAGTCGAGCGATTGGATATGCGACTATGCTTGGCGAGCGCTGGCTCTGCTCGTCCATGCCTGGTCTGACGAGTCACTGCTTTCACGCCCGGAATCGTCGCTGGGCGATAGACCGAGCGATCCCGATGCTGCGAGACATGACCACAAGAGTTCGATTAACCTGCTGGCGCAGTTTCCACCTCGACAGGGTGGTCCACGCAAGCCACCACGCGCTCTCCTGGATCTGCTCCTGTATCCTTTCCTACATTCTGTACCGCAACTAGCGTGGCAGCAGACTCGTTGCCAGACCATCCTGCAGCTCTGGCCACTTGTGAGTCTCTGAACCTGTATGTTCTCGTCGCAAGATGTGCTGACACGACTTCAGATCATCGAGCTGGCTCTCACTGAGCAGATAGATGGGCCCCTACTTCTGAGAGACTTTGCGCAAGCGATATGCCAGCCAGACTTTGCGCTCGACAGCTTTCTTGCTGTCCGTCCCTGCGTACGTCTCTATCGATCGCGGCTGACGAGCTCCGTAGCGCCTTCCGACGTCTCATCGTGCAAATAAAGACATCTTGACATTCTACATCGAGCTCATCTGCACTGTCATCACAGACTGCTCGACGAAGATCCAGGCGGCGCCTGCGCCTGCAAATCGACCTACGCCATCGGCGAGCGGCAGAAGCGATGCAGCCTTGCTCGATAGTCCGGATAGAAAGCGACCGAAAGCGCGAGCTGGCCCTTCGCCCAAATTTAAGCCCACCATCGCTCTCAGCAGATCGGCCACGGGCTTCAGAGTCCCCTCGCCAGCAGAGGCAGTCCGGACGTACTTTCGGGCTACTTTTGTCGAGGCAGTGGCGCCCAGGAAAGCGGACGAGTCATCTGACCGTTTGCGCCTCCTGGCACACGTTCGTAGCGTACTCTTGAAGACCTGTCTCCTGCGACTGCTCTGGAATCGACTCAGCCTGACCAGTGCGTCCAAAAAGCCCTTGCATGAGGTTTTGCAAGGCGGCGAGCTGGCTACTGCCATTGCTGGCGCAAGATACCAAGTCAACAAGAGCACAGAGGGACTCGAGAAAGACGCCGACGCGCATAATAAGCTCAGGACAGCGAAATTGACAATGAAGACTGTACTTCATACCGTCAGCTGCCTCTGCGAGAAAGCGGTGAAGCAGGAGATGGAACGATCTGATTTGTAGAGCTGCATTCAGATAACCCTGTCTAGCTTTTTTGCTATCGTCTCATTGAGCCCTTCTGCCCAGCTCTTGCAAGTGATGTGCCATAGCCTGGAATGCCGGATGACACCTGCTTCCGGTGTGCCAAACCCAGCACCGCGCCTGGACGAACCGAAGAGCCGTGTGGTCTCTCGAGGCAGATTGTCGAGCCAATCGAAGCGCTCGGCGGGCTTGTGCGGGGAGATGACTCTGTCATATTCGAGTAGTCCGACGGGCGAGAAGCCCATCTTAGTGGCAGCACTGTTGGAAGGGTCATTCATGGCGTGCGCGATCCAGATTGCTTTTCTACAGCCGAGTCCTGGACTCCTCAGCAGACGCTCTGCCTCGTTCGATATCACTGGCTCAGAAAGGGAATCTAGGTCGATGGCGATCATGTTGGCTTCGTCTTGGCTGGGCAGAAGTGATGTTTCGCTCGGATTGAGGATATAAGCGAGCAAGAGGCAAGTCGCATGTGTAGTCACATGGGTGCGCTGGGGGAAGCGTCAGCGGCTGCTCAGCGGTCACTGCGTCCTCGCCAACGCACTTGGGCTTCTGGGAGGATGAGAACATGGCCAATCTCAATCTGCAGATGGACGCGCGAGGCCGCCATGAGGGCAATGCTACCTACGATCTTACCTGGCCTCCCATCTGATGCCTGCTTTGTGAGATCTCTGATGGCGAGGAAGGTGACTGTAGGGTCCCTTCTGATACTGTGCGTGCTCGTTCATGATGAGATGACCAGCCTTGCGCGCTGATCATAGTACAGACGCACGTCGCTTCGAGCCAGGTGAGCCACTCTGCGCGCGATCCGAATGGCCCATAGCCCAGATAGGTGAACAATGCGGGTGATCGACACAGCTCCTGCCAGAGAAGCTCGGCATGGACAGAGGGAATGAAAGGCTCTACTCTCAGTTTGGACGTCGAGAGCGGACGGACGGGAAAGACCCAATTGAGGTCGTATGCCTCGAGGGGCGTGTCGAGATGCCAGTCCTTGGTCTCCGGCAACGCTGTGGGCACCGACGAGCTATTCTTGTAGGCCATATCGGGTCTAAATGGGGTAGAGCCAGGCTTGTCAGCGCTTGAGCTTGCCACGTCGCGTAGCCGATAGCCGACAGCGATAGCTGAGCGGAGCGGGCGCTGGCGCTGATGCTGTTTGCAGACAAGACATGGCTCCCTTTGACGTAGCCCGGCTACGAGCGCAAGCAGAAGGGTCGGTCAGTCAGCTCAGAGAGAAGATAAATACAGTCAAGCCGGCGCCCGGTGCTCCAGTGCCTGCTCAGCAGCCCGCTTACACCTTCAACCGCGGACGAGTGCCGCCAGCGCCTGACGTGACTCGCGAACAGCCTCGGGTAGGCTCGAGCAAGCTCACGCGCCTTTCTGCTCAAGATAAGGCAGCCTTCTTTGGGCTACTTGACGATTTCTTCGGCGGGCAGCGGGCAGCTTTGCCTGCGAAAGCTGCTCTTCCAAACGACCCCCTCCCCGTCTCAAGCTTTGCACCTGGCACGGACCTCACATCGTCGAGCTACCCGCCACCACCATCTGATGGATGGTGCTGCCATGCGGCAGCGTATGCCTCCTTCTTCAGGGCCAAAGAAGCTTGGTCTTCGGCTTGGTACGATCACTCACCTGTGGAGCCGCCGCCGCTTCATGGCCGTACAGACGTCACCCATGCGTCAACGGGCTCTACGCAGACCTTTGGGTTTCCGGGCAGTATGACAGAACGCAAGACGTGGACCCAAACCGTTCTCTTTCTCGATCTAAGTGTGGCCAGAGCGACAGTCCAATGGGATCGAGGTCGACCCGTCAATTCTGAGATCGCCCGCTCATGCGACTGGCGGCCGGCTCCATCTCCCTTGGATGGTGGTACGCTCTACGCTGCCCACATACAGTACGGCAACGCGATTGCCTGTTTTGCCGAGCGACACGAAGGCGTCCAGTCTGTCGGCAATGGCGAATGCTGGACTCTTGCCGCAGAGGCCCTTAAGGAAGCATCGAGTCTGTCGCAATCGCAGCTCGGTCCGCCCATTTTGGATTGTATCGGCAAGACCCACGGCCATCTGCTCTACACTGCCAAGGCTGGCCGGCTAGGTCAATGGCGCGGTGGCGACAACGCGCTCCGTCGGGGAGATGTTGTTCAATGGCTCACTGCAATCATCACCCATTCCAGCTCGGCAAGCATGTCAACGGCTCGACTGGGCGATCCAGATCACACCGCCATCCTCGTTGCTGATTCGCCGCCGCGCGAGCCAGTAGAGCACGGCTCGATGATGAGCACCGCTAGTCTTGGCAGCATTACCGTCATCGAGCAAAGCAGAGGTCATTTGCCCTCTCGAGCGACGTACGACCTCGCCAATCTGTCGCAAGGCGAAATATGGCTGTATCGACCTATCATGGTATCGTATGTCGGGCTGCCAGGTGTCATCAATCCGCTGGATCTGGTCCAGGGCACCCTGAGCGCGGAGCAAGTCTATTAGCTCAGAATGCATTTCCACAACTACATATAACAACTTTGGTGAGAATAACGCATAAGCCCACGTATGAAACAAACCGAAGCCTGCAAAGCCGTGCAAGAGTATCAGCGTTTGGCTGGCTTTGGATCATCAATGGTGAGAGTGCGCTTTAAGGGCAGCCGAGCGTTGGGCCCTATAATTGGTGCCGGTAGGCTCGACGTTCGAGCGTCAAGCATATCCCTCTGCACAACTGATGGCTGGCTCTGAGTGGCCTGTACCGGGCTCATACCGTCCGAGGAGCCAGACGAGCCTATACTGTCTGCGGTACCTTTGTCAAGCGTCGAAATAAGATCGTGCGCCTCCTGTATGATCGTTGCCCGTCTCGTTCGCCTTTGCGGCTCGCGCGGCTCGCTCGGCTCCTCGTCCTCGGGATCAGTCTTGTCGCCGTCCTCGTCTGACTTTTCGCCGTATTCGAGATCGCGGTTGCCCGTCCGAGAATTGAAGTGAATCATGTCAGATACGACGCGTACGACACGAGGCCGAGCTTCTTGCGATATCATCGTGTCTGTGCGGGTCAGGCTGGGCTTTGTCTCGTCTAGATCGGCTAGGATCTGTCGCAAGCGCGCGAGGTCTTCTTCTCGTTTCCTCAGCATTGCAGAAACGAGCGTGCAGGACTCCATTAGATTCGCAAAGCTTCGCTCATAGCTGATCATGAACAGCAAGTGAGACGAATCACTATCATTCGACAGTCCCGTACTGGCCCGTAAGCGGGCAATGTTCTCCTCGGTGAGCTGCGAAGAATCGTCGAGCAGCTTTTGAAGAGCTTCTGGAGGTTTGCTGCCTTGTTTGAGGAAATAATTCGCATGCTCATGGAATTCTTTGGCAGCGTGGGTGATCTTGTCTGGCAGATCGTCGATATCATCGTGCGCGTCTTCCTCCTCCGTGTCGTGCACCTCGTTCTCGCCGAGTCTACGAATTTTGCTCGTGCCGCTATTCTGGACCGTCGCCTGAAAGACTGAGCCCCAACTCTCGGTCAGAATGGAGAAGAGCTGCAGCGCGAATGTTTAGCTAGGCATTAGGCATCAAGACTTCAGGACGAGCATACGAGAGTCAAGTTGGCTATGCCGAGAAGAGCCCAGCAGATGAAAAAGGCACGGCCGGCAGATGACTTTGGCGAAAAATCGCCATAGCCGATCGTGGAGAAATAGACGAATGACTGCGCGGATATTAGCTTTATCGCAATCAGAGCCGCTTGACGTACAAACCAGAATGCGTCAAAGTAGTCCCAGCCCTCTGTGAGTGTGAAGATGAAGGATCCTACGCCCCAAAAGAAGAAGAACATCCCGAGCGCAAATCCCAATTTGACCCAAAACTCCCTACGCTCTTCACTCTTAAGCTGCTTTTTGAAATGTTGATACGAGCGGTCTTGATCCATCGATTCTTGTGTGAGGCTGCGCTTGAGCTTCACGCTCGAGATGGAGTCTTTCCATCCCCATTTGACAAACCAACTGTCTATCCAGTCCTTGCCTGCTGATACTCCGACCTTGATCTTACGAGACTCGAGACGTTCGCCCATAGACCTTGCTCCAGATCGGCCTCCGCCCGGCTTATAAGCTGCAGGAACATCCTGTCCCGATGCGAGTGCTTCCTCCCGCGCTTTGAGCCGAGCAGCTCGATGTGCCGCCTTTTGCTTGCGTCTCAAGCGGGCTCGCTCGACAAGTAGCTTCCTACGATGCGTATAGGCTTGCTGGAAGGATTCCAAGAGCGTCTCTCGTGCGACAGCGATCAGAAGAGCCAAGAAGATGATGCCACCTGTGGCGAAAAAGATGTCAAAGACGCGGACCGCTATGCTTGTCGGACTGATCACTGATGAGCTCTGCATCCGAGCAAGAGCAAGGGACTCACTAGATGTCGCCAAAGCCGACAGATGAACACGTGACGATCGTGAAATACAGCGCATCGACAAAGTGCAGGCTCATCGACAGAGTGAACACCAGCGAACCAAAGCAGAGATAGCACATGAAAGCGATGAGCGCGATGACGAGCTGCCTCTGCTTAGCGGTTAGACCGCTGCCGTGGTTCGCAAAGTTCTTGGTGCTGAAGAAATCGTAGAGTAATGTGAAATTGCAGACGGTCGATACCGACGTGCTCGCTATAGTCATAAAGAACGGCTGACCATATGTGAACCCGTCCGAGACAGAATGAACCTGTGTACAAGTCAGCCTGCAAGGAGCCATTCGCAGGTGGCGAATACTCACGACGCCAAAATAGGTGAGTGCTGAGATATTGATGCAGTCATGGAACGTGAGCGCTATGCAGGCAATGACGGTTGTGATCCAGACACGCCGCTCTGCATACCATCTTCAGCATTGCTGGGGCACGACTGGTTCAGGCAGCGCGCCTAAAAATCGCATCACGAGGCAGATATTGGCGATGATGGCCATGCCAATGCTAATGCCAAGCGCGACATCGAGCAGGACTGGGTTCTTCTGGGAGTCGAGGACCTCGTTGGTGTACTTGCTAGCCGTCTTGACGTACCATCGCTGAGTCAAGCCTGGAATTTCGAGCAGAATTGCAAAGGGGACCAAAGTACCGGACAGCAGAGGCAGATAGCGGGTCTTCGGCCCTTTCAATCTGGCCCTAAAATTGGCCGATTCAGCCAGGGTGGTATCATCGTCCAAAATTGAGAGCGTGTCGCCAGACGAGGAATAGCCGGACGCCCAGGTCCTGATACGCTTGAACATTGGCATCTTGCCTGCCGTCACCTCGTTTGAGTGTCGTCAGACATCCCTGCACGTCTACCCATGCTCTTTGCGCACAAGCGTGCAAGGCAGACGAGGGACAGGATCTCGCCCCCCATGATCAAATTCCGTTATCTTTGATCCTGATTGGACAGCTCGATCTCCCCGGGCGCTCTGCCGATCAATGAATTATCAGATCATGATCTTACGCGAGCCGACAGCAAACAAGATGACTATCGGCGTCAAGCTACGAGCTCGCGTTGCGTGCGACCGCCCGTGCTGTTCTCAATCTCTGTGATCATTGCGTGACCGATGGTGTGCAGCTCCCTCGTCTGACGAACTCCGGCGTCATATGCGTCACGTCTGGGATCACCTCGCCTCCTGCAACGACCATCTGTTCGCGCCTTTGCATCTCATCTGCGGGCGTCAGCGCCGCAAAAGAAAGCCAACCATAACAACAATATGCTCCTGTTCAACATCTTCGTCTCGATCGCTGCGTTGGCCAACTATGCGCTGTTCGTCTTTGTCAATCTGGAGACTGTGGCTGACATCCTCCCCAAGCGGATACGCCTGCGTCCAGTCATGCAGACTCGAGGGCATTGACAGCCGCCTGCGACCCCTTCTCTGTCACCGTGAGTCCGGACTAGACGGATGTTGGCCAGCTCATGCTCGGGCAGCCCCTCCCAGCTGCGACATGAAAAGGCTACGGTGTGCTGCCTTGCTGCTAGACATTCCGTGCTGCTATGCAATCTGTGGCGCAAGGCTGTAAAGCTAAGATCATGCTTGCTTGGTGTCTTTCAGGGCAGGAGTGCGCCTGCCAGTACTTGGCCGAGCGGGTTGTCCCTCCCGCTCTGCCTGCGTCTTACGCCGCCGTCATCGCGGATCATTCGCAGCCCTCACGTGCGATGGCTTTCATATGTGCGGCTTGATGCTTATGTCATTTCCACAAGAGCTTAAGACGTAATCAACAGGTCTCCAATTCGGTTGTCCGACCAAGATCAGCCCGGAAGAATCGGTCGGCGCATCGTCAGCTACAAGAATATGTCCTGTAGGCAAGGCTGGAAGATCGCAATGTCAACTGATCGCTCAGCAGAGATGCCACAATCCTTCCATCACGGCTGCGAGTAGCCGAAGATGGTTTGAGTTCTGCTTCAGTACGTCCCGAGACTACAGCGCGCTGCAATTACTGATGGAGATGCTCACAGTCCCCTTGATCGTACGCATTGAGACAGCTATCTGGACTGAGCTGACTCGTCGGTGCCACGTAGCCGTTCAAGAAGAAGCATCTATGGTCTGTCTGTCGCCAACTCTACGGAACCCTGACAGCTTAAGACAGATTGCAGGCTGTGCACGATCTGTCAGTGGAGATCGGAGAACGCGCAGGATGGCAACGGACCGCCCATAGCAGGAGGCGGAGGGCCACAAGCTGTCAAGCAAGGCGGAGGCATTCACGCCCCCAAGCAGTAGAATCACGCCTTTGCCTGACACCTTGACTCATTCGCCAAGCGCGTCTCATATGTACCTCTCATTGCGACCTTTATAATCACTGACAATCCTCCATACCATCACGCCAGCGTACAGTGGTGTTGTATCAGCCTTGTGGTCTGCAGTTTGGCTCAACTGCGCCGCCTTGCACTCGCCTGTCGCAAGCGTCTCGTCGCGCGTGAGAGCCATTTTCGGGGCACTCTTTCTTTCGATGCTTCCTTTGCTGTCCTGAGGACCGGAGAGGAAGATATATATGCCACAAATCCAGCCATGCTCGGTGTGATGATCGTGATCGACAGCTACTTATCTTTAGAGATCTCGCCGCTGTTCTATTTGTGGAATAGCAACGCGCCTTGTGCACACGACCCAATATCCGCAGCTGCCACGGCGCCTGTCAGCAGTGCGCAGCACCACAAGGGCCGCAGTCTGCCATGGTCAGACAGTGATCACAGCTCCGCGAGTCCGCTAGCGCTCAATGTCGCCTCGAGGCACAACAGGCCATTGGCCATCCTATCAAAAGCTGGAAGCGCTCGAAGAAGGCGACACCGAACAGCCGGCAGTACTCGCCCGTACCCGACAATGGTCGCTCGCGCATCCCATCAGGCTCGGTGCAATCGTGACATGCCTCGTCTGGCTCACCGTTCTCCTCTTCTATGACCCTTTGAGGACGTTAGCGAGCCAGACGCTGTCTGCAGGCCTCGTCGAGCACAAGTTTGAGATGCTAGACATCCTCGGCGGCGAGGAGACAATCAAGCGCAAGGATCATACGTCAGACTTCAGTGCCATCTTGCGGCCAGAGAACGCGCGACTGCTTCAGAGCATCGCCCAACGCACCGGCTGGCGTGCCTTTCAATCAGCCGCGCCCGACGACTCGCCTCTGATTTACCCGGCTGATTTTGAGCCTCTGCGGTCTCAGCTGGCTTTAAGTGCAGACTGTGTCGACCTCTGGATATCTCAGTCGGCACTTTGCGAGGAAGTCAAGCGGCCTGGGCACGCACTCGCCTCCCCCAACGCCACAAAGATTGACGTCGCTTGGGTCTGGATTGACGGAGAGGATCAGCGCATGCAGGCATGGCGAGATGCGCTGCAGCTGATTGATGTCACTACTGAAGACATAGAACGAGCTCGCTACCTGTCTGATCCTGCCACGCGTCCCAAGCCATCCCTGCCCGACAAGATCAACGCGCAAGCCAAAGTTGGCGGTTTGAGCCCGAAGCACTTCCGCAATCATGACGAATTGGTGAGCAATACAGTCACAGGCATCGTATGGACTGACCGGGACTTGCAGCGCTATTCAATCCGATCTACGCTCGAATACTTTCCGCAAGAGCAGCTCGATACCCTACATATCATCTCGACCGACATACCCACTTCAGCCGAGCATCCACCGGGACGTGTTATGGATCTCGCGCAGAAGCAGCTGGACACTTCCTATCCGCGCGCAGTACAAGTGCCGCATTGGCTTCAAAAGGCGCTATATACTCAGACTGAGCACGGAAAGAGCACAGAAGCGCCCGAGCTGCGTGTCACACCGCTCTGGGATCTTTTCAAGGTCTACATGAACAATCTTACCTCGCCAGTCGCACAGAACGCCGCAGAAGTATGGCGCAGTCGCGTTTTGCCAGCATTCAATTCCATGTCGATCGAGAGTCAGCTTGCACATCTCAGGACAGGCGCAGAATCTGTCTTCTATGTCTGTGATGACTTCTTTAACCTGCGCAACCTCACGGCAGCCGACGTGACTTCCCCGTTGACTGGGCCACTCTTCCGCATGCAGCGCGGTCTTGGCGTCACCGGCAGACTTCCAGAAGAGATCTACGATGACCCGGAAGGCGAATGGCGGAGCATCAATTACGCTGAGGGCCTCTTAGACCGTCGCTTCGGCAAGCGACTCCGTCCCTACGTCACCCATACTGGCAAGTCATACAATATGGCGCTCCTCAGCGAGGTCGATCAGATCTGGCCCGATCAGCTTCGTCAGAGCGCGGAAAGCAGATTCCGGGGTCGCCTCATGGAAGTCAATATGGCTTTTCTCGCGACCCATTACATCGTCGAGAAGCATCGGGAAGCCCTGCTGTGGTCATTTTTGATAGCCCGTATGGATTTCGACGGCGACGGTGTCTACTCAGTGCACGAACAGCAAGACATTCTCGATTTGCTATCGCCTTCTGCATTGCCGAGGAAGGGCACGATGAGTCAGGACGAGCTTGCAGTCTTGTACCCCATCAGAGGCGAAGCCGGCCTCGATCAAATCTACCGCGACGCACACCTTCCTGTCCCTGCAGGCACTTCCGTTCGGTGGAACTCTCAAGAAGGCTACGCGTATACCAATTTCCCCATGCCCAACGGCAAGACAGGCTCGCCTTCCACGATCTGGCCACATTATGGCGCTTTTCCAACTCTTGCAAGCTCTGGAAAGCCGCCAAGTTTGCTGACACCAGCGTGTAAGCTGTCTTTGTCGACATGCTTCGCGCCTGGCTTTGCCAATGGGACGAATTCAATTGATGCGAATTCAGTCTACCGGCGCATGGCTTACGAGCAACCAAATTGCGGCGATTGTCTCATCGTGGCTCTGACGCATTCGAGCGGCTTCAGGGGGTTGTCTGCATTCTTGCCGGCCAGAGGACACCACTTTGCGTCTGCTGGTGATAGAATCGCGCCTCGCCTGTTCGATAGTTCGGTCTTTGACAACATTACAATCGCACAGATCGATCGTCAGCAGATTATCCAAGAGTACGGCTCTTTGCGGCACTTTTGCGTTCGCTTGATTCATCGATACAGTCACTCCTTTGGCGAAACGCCGACAAAATTTCTGCGCGCACAGGGGCGGAGCATTCGTGCTTCGCTCAATTCTGTGCTCTTCTCACCCTCGCGTATACCCACATTCCTCGTCATTAATGACGATATGTCTGGCAAGTCCATAGAAGAGGGTGGCCGGCTCATACGCGACTTCATGGCGAAAGCTTGGACTGTACCAACGCGCTTCGAGTCTTGAACGACCCGTCTCGGGCTCAGCATGCAACCCACTTGCACTGTGTCGTGCTCGTCGTACCTAGAATACCCTGTTGTTGCACAGTAATGTATGATACTTGATAAGAACAACAACACAGCGAGTGGTGCGATCATCGACGCCCTTTCTTGGACTTGCGCTTTGGTACTGAGGCGTCTCTTTCGTCGTCATCGCGGTCCTGCTCATCGTCATGACGTGCATGCTTGCCACGCTTATCTCTGCCCTTTTCGCCTCCAAATCCCTTTTCCCTGATCTCGCGAGCGGCTTCTCGAGCGGCTTCCGTGACTCGCTCGCTCAACACAAGGACAGCTTCCTTGTCGTGCGCAAACTCGGACATCTTCTTGCCGACGACGCCCTCGATACGTTGTAGCAGTTCAACGTCATATTGAGTAACAAGGGTGATGCTCTTGCCTGAGCGACCTGCACGGGCCGTCCTACCGACGCGATGGATGTAGTCCTTGCTATGTGTGGGTATATCATAGTTCACGACATAATCGACCATGGGGATATCGAGACCGCGAGAGGCTACATCGGTTGCCACGAGTATCTGACGACCGCCTGACTTGAACTTGTTGAGAGCGCCCAGTCGATTGGACTGGGTCAGTTGGCCGTGCAACGGTACGGCAGGGAAGCCGAGCGTGCGCAGGATGAGCGAGAGACGCTGAGCGTCGTGGACTGTGCGTACAAAGACGATGATCGATTTGCCCGCGAGCTCGTTGCAGAGATAGACAAGATAAGTTTCTTTGTGCTTGAAGGGAAAGAAGCAGTATTCTTGTACAAGCGTATCGACGGTCGAGTACCTACCAGTGGTCAGCGATAGTTCCAATGAAGACGGGCCGTGTGCACACTTTGTAGAAACCTCAACCTTGACCGGATTACTCAAGCTGGCTCTCTGCAGTTTGGCGACCTTTGTCGTCATCGTGGCTGAGAACAGAAAAGTGTTGCGCTCCCTCGGGATGATCTTGAGAATGGTATCGATGACAGGGCCGAAGTCCATGTCAAGCAGACGATCTGCTTCGTCCATGACCTGCCACACCCAAATTAAGCACGGATCTCGCTGGAGCGCGAAGTAGCGAACGAGATATTTGATGGCTTTTAAGGAGAAGCCTTTTGTGTTCTCAAGGTGGTCCTGGAGACGGCCTGGCGTAGCGACAATGATGTGAGGCCTTTTAGAAAGTGCAATGGACTGCGTCATCATATCCATGCCGCCGACAATGACGGCGCATCTGACACCGATGGTCGAGCCCAGGGCTTGGAATTGCTCAGAGATCTGATAAGCCAGCTCTCTGTGCTCAGAAAGGGGTGAGCACGATGGGCGGGACCAGGCAGAATATGAGCGTACCTCGTCGGCGCAAGCACGCAAGCAAAGAAAGGCGATGGTTCATTCCATAAGGCCTGCAAAATGGGCAACGCGAACGCAGCAGTCTTGCCTGAGCCTGTCTGAGCGAGTGCGACCTGTCTGATGTGTCAGTCACGACAGCTGGCATGGCTCAGTACTGACAAGGTCTCTGCCCTGGAGTGCGAATGGGATCGATTGGGCTTGGATCTCAGAGGGTTTCTTGTAGCCGAGCTGTTCGCATACTTTGCAGAGGGGCTCAATCAAGCCGAGCGAGCTAAAGTCAGCCGTTTGGGCGGGCGGCTCGTCCGCGTCTGACATGTCGCCGACGGCTGCTGAGGCTGAGGCTGACCCAAAATCTTGCATCTTGCACGACGCGAGAGCGCCAGCCGGCCCAGCACAGGAGGATGCCGTCGTACGAGCGCATCGTGACAGGCGGGAGCCAGCTCCTGGCATGGCAGCTCAAAGATCAGCCCGTGCTCATCGTCGGCGGCGGTCAGGTAGCAGCAGATCGACTGCGCTGTGTGAGTCGGCCTTGTCTGCTCGTCGACGTGAAGCCTGAATGAGAAGCCCGAGAGACAGGTGCTAGCTGCCGACGCAAAGGTGACGCTCGTCTCACCTGCCTCTGGCCTGGGCGAGGAAGTCAGGTACCGGCTGTTCAGCGAGCAGTGGCCCCATCTGACCTACATCGACCGCATTTTTCAAGATGACGACGTCAAGGGTCAGTACATGGTCCTCACTGCCCTCGACGACTCGACGATCAGCAGACACATTCACTCGCTCTGCAAACAGCAAAAGATCATCGTCAACGTAGCCGACGTCATCCCCCTCTGTGACTTCTTCTTCGGCTCTGTCATCAGACGCGGACCACTCCAGGTCATGGTCTCTACGGGAGGCAAAGGTCCACGGATAGCCAACCGGATCCGCAAGATGATCGAGGACGCTCTGCCGCACGACTGCGGCGAAGCTATCGAGAACGTCGGCACGCTCCGTGCCGAACTGAGGAGACGCGCCCCTGCCCAAGAGGAGGGCAAGAGGCGGATGGCATGGATGGTCAGAGTCTGCGATCGTTGGTCACTCGAACAACTCGCTGCAATGGACGACGCCATGAGGGAAAAGATCTTGGATGGATGGGAAGACGATCGGGCGCTCTACTATGCCGATGTCACGTCTGCATCCACCCTGGCGTCCATCTCGCTCAAATGGCAGTCACTGTGGCGTCGATGTCCCTATTCGCGCGCGGCTGGCCAATTCGGCATCCTCGCCGGTCTCATGGGGTTCTCATTTGGGATCGCAAGCACGCTTGCCTTTCAGACTATTCGCCTGAAGCGATAGGACCGACGTCACGTTCAGGCTGGCAGCAGCCTAGCACTTTGCTCTGAGTGCAGCCGCCTTGTCTGCTTTGAGACGGAAATGTATACGCGCAACGAAACGATTGCCATCGATCGATACGTTGGAGTAATTGCGGCCCCACAAGCAGCGCGGCGCATGCAATCTGATAGGGGTCGCCGCTTTGACGGCTGACTCGATGGCTCGATAGCTCCATGACACTGGCTTCACTTCGCTGGACGTTCAGTTGGCCAGTGGACTCGCCCAGTTGGACGAACAGCTGTGTACACTGCATCACCCAGAAAGCCGACCAGACTAGCAGCCAAATGCATGCGCTGTCAGCCAGCAATTGTACGGGCTGTTCAGGCTGATCTGCAGCATTCGCCTCTATAGCGCCACTTCTGCATGCTAGACGCCTGCGTCAAAAGCATGTATAAGCACATCATTCCTAAGTCGGCTTGAGCTTTGCGTTCTTGACAATGAGTGACTGCGAGAATGCACATCTTGTCAGCTTGTGTGACCGATCGGCGATCTTGCTCACCTTGTAAGCCGACACATCTCCTTTAAAGATCTCGACTTTGCCATCTGCGCAGATGTAAAGCTGCTTACAGCAGGCGTTGATGAAGCGTTCGTCGTGACTGATGGTGATTACGCCACCGTTCCATTTGCTGAGGCCTTCTATCAGGCCGTCCAAACCTGCGCATTCGTCAGCACAGAAGCAGATGGCATGACGTCAGCTTGCCCTCTGCAAAGCAGGTCAGCAAGCGTAGTCAGAGTACCTCACGAAGCACTCACCGATGTCCAGATGGTTGGTGGGCTCGTCGAGCAGCAGGATGTGCGGTCTGGCCAAGCTGAGCAATGCGAAGGCGACCCTACTCTTCTGACCTACACCAGCTCCGTTAGTACAGTCAGGGTACTTGTGTGGGCGGTCTACCTCCTGATAATGTCCCAATCACTTGCAAGCTGGTCATGCCAGTGATACCAAAGTGGCCAAGAAATGCACGATACTCTTGCTCCGTCCTCCCGGGATGCTGCCTCATGAGGAAAGCAACAGGCGAGACAGCAACATCGAGGGCATCAATGTGATGTTGCGCAAAATCTGCGCTGAGTCAGCGGAATCGCAACGCTTGCCAGACCGACTGACAGCCTATCCTCAGACGGCCGTTTCGATTGAGCTGCCCTTGAGATGGCTCGAGCTGGCCAATAAGCATTTTGAGCAAAGTGGACTTGCCAGCACCCTACCGGCAATCATGAGCTCGCATAATCCAGACCTCGAACGACGTACATTGGGGCCAATGATGCCAATGCGCGAGTCCAGACCGACATCGATGTTGACACCGGCGACGATCACGCGCTCGGGCGTATAGCTGAACTTGACCTCATTGAGCTGCAGCAATGGCGGCGATAACTTGTCTGCCTCAGCAAAGCTGCAGATGGCTATTGAGCGCGTGTTTCACAGCATTGACATGCGCTTACGTAAAGTGGACCACATCATCGTCTTCTGGTGGTTCGAGATCAGGCAGCTTCTCCAGGATTTTAATTTTCGATTGAGCTTGAGCGGCCCTGTTTGCATTGTACCGCCAGCGATCGATAAAGGCTTGCAGATGTTCGCGGTACTGTTTTTGACTGTCATATTCTCGCTGTTGGTTCTTCTTGCGCTCGCTCTTGGTTGCATAAAATTGCGTAAAATTGCCTGTTGAATGTTAGCGAGCAAACATGCAATGCAGTCGAATGAAGCGTGCCTTTGTAGTAGTCTAGACGCTGCGAGTGTTGATGCACGATATCTGTCGCGACGCGGTCCACTGGAAAGTAGCGTCAGCGATAGACTTCGAAGCACATAGCAGGACACACAAAATGCGCGATCGTGAGAGACGACGAGCAGCGTGTTTGGCCAGGTTTGCAGATAGTCTTCGAGCCAGGCGAGCGCGTTGAGATCTAGATTGTTGCTGTGGATGAGAAGAGGTCAGCGACCGGGACTCCGGATCGAATGAGCGAGCGTACGAAGGCTCGTCGAGCATGAGTAGGTCCGGCTTGCAGAAGAGTGCGCGAGCGAGAGAGAGTCGCATGCGCCAGCCACCGGAGAAGGTACGTGTTGCGCGGCTCTGGTCATCCGTGCTAAAGCCGAGGCCCGCGAGGAGCTCTGCAGCCCGTGATGGGCCAGTCTCAGCTTCTATGTCGATCAAGAGCTGATGCACTTCGCCTAAGCGAACGGCAGCATCATCTTTCTTGCGCGTGTTCGTCGTCGAGCCTTCCGCTTCAGAAATGTCTGCAGTGCCATTGTTGCCATTTGGAAGTGATTCGAGACCGGATAGCTTAGCATTAAGTTCTTCCTGTTCCTGCAAGAGCCTCGTACGCCACACGTCGGCCTGCAAGACCGACTCCAGGGCATTTGTGTCATCGCCCAAGACTTCTTGCTCGACGTATAGGATCGACAGATGCGTGGGCACAGCAACTTCACGGAACGCGAGCGTGCGCAGCAGGGTCGACTTGCCGATCCCGTTGCGGCCGACGAGACCGTAGCGTCGTCCGTGAGCGAGGGTGAGAGTTGCGCCGGAGAGGATGCGATTGCTACCGAAGTTGACATCGATGTTGTCGAGCTGGATGTCCTTGCTCTTGCCCTTTGCAGCACCGGTCTGCAAAGGATTGACAGCCATGTAGCGGTCCTCATACTCTTTGCGCTGCCGGGCAGCGTCCACAAGCTTCGAGGATTCGTATAACTCTGGCAGATTTTTCTTCGATCGCTTGTCCATCTTAGCTTTGATCTTGGCCTCTGCCTTTTCTAGCTTGCGGATGTCTACCTGCGACTCTCTCGACTTGCCGGCCGATTCAATGTCGACGCTGCCGAGCATGAGGCCACTCTTTGACATTGCAGGCTGAGCGTCCATAGCGACGACGTGCTCGAGTTCCCTGGGACCGCCATTCACGTGATAGCCGTTCGTAGTCTTGCCGGACAGAAGTCTTCTGAGCTCCGTGCAGACAGTGACCATGTCTGCCTCGCTGACGCCTTCACTTTCGAGCGTCGGCCTGACCAAATCATCGAGCTCCTCCGAATCGGCGTCATTCGTGTCGTCATCGACGAAGCTGGCTATGTACTCGACCACCAGCGGATCCAAGCCTGGCAATGTCTTGTAGAGGATGCGGGATGCCATGCCGCCGCCGTGTGACAGATTTTAGGCGACGCGCGTCCGCCGTACGTTTGCGATGACCGACTGACTTCGAGTGATCGGCTCGTCAGCGTCGTCGTCGTCAGGCGTACGATCAGCTTTCACCGCCATTGTATGCATTTGGATTGAAGCAGAACTGTGTACACATGGCATGCATAGAGCTCATTGGCATATAAGTACGGCTCAGCCAACAGTTCTTCGACGGGTCCTTGCCAATGCAAGCGTACGCAATCGGAAGATGCGCCCCTCATGCGCGCGCTTCTGCCTGCGCTCGGCTTGCATGACGGGGATGTTAGCTGATACGCATATGCTCAAGAACAGAGAACAAGTCTGGGGTGGGAAAAGGAGCGTTTGTAATTTGGCGCCCCTTTGGCATTCTGCCGGCCACCGAAGCTCCCAAGGCTAGCCGCTCGCTGTTATTTGCACGGTCTGCACCCTGACAACCCACGGGGAGCCAGAGCTTCAACCTGTGTAGCTTCACACGCAGGCGTGCACGAGGAGCGCATGTATTCCATGCGATCGACTTTGCAGCCCCTCTCGATCGCCAGTCGAGAATTTCCGAGCGCTGATCTCCTCCGCGAAACCGCGAGGGAAATTCATCGTTGCGTGGCAAGATAGAGCGCATCCCTCAAGGCGTCTCAAGGCGTCTCAGCCAGGTCGCGCCCCGAGCGTCGAGGCCGTGCTCCTGATCCGATAAAAGGCAAGAGCACTGCCGCCAGTCATTCGCCTGTCTGGCCTGATACAACTGACACACGCGCCGCCTGATCGCTCGTCTCGACGCTCAATGCACGCAAGCGCTCGCCTGTGAAGTCTCCGGATCACTCGGGCCAATCAGAGTGCACAAGCGACCGCACGCTCTCGTCTCAGGTGGATCATGCCTCCCTCGAACTGCGTACAAGGCTGAAGACAGTCGGCTTATCTCGCAGAACGCAGCTTGGCCTCGCGTCGCGAGATGTCGGTCGCATTTGGGGACGATCTCCGCTGGCGTCTTGAGCGTGAGTCAGAAGGTAGCACGGACGAAGACATGCCTGCTCTGTCGCCCTCGTCGGGACGCTCGTCAAATTCGTCTTCGATCGGCTCGCCTATCGACTTTGTCGCGCCATCGTCAGATTCACGCAGCTCGCAGCCCGATACCGCATTTAACGAGCGAAAGCTGAGTCCGTGTCCTATGCGCTCAGATATCTCGTGAGCGCATCCACCCGCTTCATTGACTGGCTGCTTACACAACGAGACCAGTGTGACATACCACGAGGAAGAGAACCCTTTCCTCATCAGGAGCACACACCAGACTACGATCTCTCTCGATTGGTTAAAGCAGCAGGCGCAGGCCGGCGCAGGTCTCGATCGAAGCTCGCGCACGTCTATCTCTTCTGATTCCACCATCATGAGCTTGGGCGACGACGACAATTACCAAGACTGGACGCGGACATCCCCGTCCGAGATGGTCGCCAAAAGCGAGCCTACCTCGAGTATGGCGATGACGCGCCCTGCGCCCTTGCAGAGAATCTCTTCATGTAGCTACATTGCGCCTGCCGTTCCTTTCGAGCAAAGCCACATTGCACCTCTTGCTCTATATCTGGCAGGTGACGCAGATTCGGAAGACGACGAGGAAGCTGTATCGGTCTTGGGCAGATCGAATTCTGTCAGAGCCTCAAGCACAGCTCCTGTCCGATCGGCCGCTCCCAGTATGATCCGTTCTTACTCGATGCCTGTGCCGACTCAAAAGCAGCTGGACGATATGCAAGCAATGTGGCGTTCGGAAGCCGCTGCCGCAAATCCTGCTGCACTACATCGTGACTTTCATAGCCCGCGCAAGGCTTCTCAGATGACTTCAGCCGCCAGCAGCGCATCGGTCACATCTAGTCCGACCAGGCGGTCATCTACCGTCGAATTTCAGCCAGCTGCCGCATTAGACTCATACTCAGTCGGTTTTCCGTACTGTCACCTACCGCCGCGGCTAAGCGGACACGCATCCCCATCTCGCATGGTAACAGGTGATGGTCTTTCACAGAGACCCTCACTAGGCCGCTGCATCACACTGGATCCCGCATCACTCAATCGACCTCAGTTGAGCAATTAGGACGATGAAAACCCATCGAGATATTTGAATGGCAGCCAGACCACGATCACACACTCATTGTTACGCAAGCATGTGCACTCATGGAAATGCGAGATCTTTTTTGTAAGCTAAATGCAAGGGCGATAACAGGGCGGTAAGCGTCGCGATCTCGTACAAGTCCCATTCGCCTGGATTGATGCTCAGACACTCGACTACTGCTTTCGACGCGCTGCAACGTGTCTTTACTGAGTCAGCGAATCTTGTCTCAGCATCACGCTACTTAATGACTCGCGAGCCGATAACTCCCCCTGCCAGTGAGACAGGCCAGGAAAGTCGAGCAATGCCAGTGCACGCGCCGTCATAGGCGCTCTGAGCCAGTCTATTGAGTCGTTGCGTCGATTGCTCCCAAGAGAAGCGTTCATGCGAGGACTGAGCAACGCCATGGGACTGGATTGTGGAAATTCAAAGGCAGCCGACAATCTTGGCGTCTGCAGCAATCCCCGAGCCGAAGGCAGAGGAAGCATCCATGTATCATAGCTTGATCGGCGCGCTTCGCAGTCAACTTGCGCGGGACTAAAGAGCATAGCGTTTGCGCCCCTGCTTCGTATGCCGAACGTAGTGGCGTAGGGAGAAAGCGTGCTCGAATAGAGATCGCCTGCTGCTGTGTTCAATGATTGCTGCGAACGCGTGGGGGACTGCAATGCCAGCACGGGCTGCCCATTTGGCGAAATCGGCGAAGACTGGAACATTGCATGAGGGTCGAAGGGCCAAGTCATATTTCCTGCTCGGCGGCGGGGCGTGAGAGCTGTCAGAGGGGCTGGTCGAGACGCGCGCGTCATCGACAGGCCGCGGGTAGGCACGTCAAAGCCCGACGATTTATCTCGAGAGCTGCCGAGATGAGCACTCTGAGAGATGCCGAGACCGATTGCTAGCGCAGAAGCTTGGGCATCCCCCTCTATTGTGGAATCTGCGTGAGAATGTGTTCGAGAGCGCGTTGCAGTAGATCGCATGTGACTTGAGAGCGTCCTCTTCAGAGGCGAAGGCGGCGAACCATTATCGCTGAGATCCTCCGGATTTGATGGCAGGACGGCAAAAGGGCTGGAACTCGCGCTGACATGGAGCCTATTGTAGGGCATGAGATAAGACGCACTATGCCGGATCATCGGCTGCAGAGTTTTGCAGGGCTCGAGCTTTTCGAGTTGCATCAGCTCGATCGATGCGTCCGTCAAGCTCGGCGAGGGCGAGGCTGATTCGCGCAGCCAGTCTTGTATCTCTCGCTTCGCGCTGGAAAGATTGCTCACTCTGTTGGCAGAAGACGTACGCGAGCATCCGTGGGATCCTGGAACGTTACGATTCCGCGACTTCGCAGACAATTTAGCTTTCGCTTTGGAGCGTACGTTGACAGATGGCTTCGTGTCTCGCCCAGCGGGTCTGTATCGGTAGTCGGGATGAGCTCTGTAGTAGGCGCGCGATCAGTCAGGGATGCAACCAAGGCAAGCTGAACGCACAACTTGTGAGCCTCTTGCTCAGCCTTGGCTTTATCTGTCCAAATCTGCTTCTCATTCGCAGGTAAAGTCCGCCAGAGCTCGCCGATGAGCTTGGACATCTGTCGGTGGTCTTTGACGCCTGTGTCGGTGGAAACCAGATCGATCTCGCATGCGTGCGTGCGAAAGAGAATGAATGCGTTGCGAGGACGCTTGATGTGACCTTCGGGGACTTTGCGGGCATGTGACAGCTTGCCTGTTGATGTGAGCTGTCGAGTAGCCGTAGACTCTTTGCGCGGAGCTTTGACGACTCGGATCTTTGCCTTTGCCAGTGCCGACGGCAAGGCGCTGATCGAGGCGGCTGACGGATTACGGCGTGCTATTCGAGAGGGTTGAACATATTCCTCATCACTGCCACCACTTGCCTCACCACTATCGGTGGAAGGAGAGCACGTCACATCCCGACATTCTTGGTCCCGCGGCTGATGATGTCGAGCAAGCCCCTGAGCAAGCACACTGCCCGCCGGGGCGTGCACAGAATCTCCAAAGCTCATGCACGAGTGTGCCTCGTACGCGTCGTCGTTATACCGTGCCATTGCAGCCTGCTGGTGACCTGACATCTGCCTAGGCTTCCTTGGCCCAACTGACAGTGGTCGACTTGACATGATAACAGGATCCTCTTCTTCCAAGGAGGAGACTGAGCGAGCGTCTGATTGCTGAAGATCGCTGCATACTAATTTGTTGTGTTGCAGCAGATGTTTGCCATCCAGACTAGCAGCTGGGTCAGGTGTGGGCTGTTGTACTTGAAGATTAGGAGCTACTGAGTTATATACGTCCTGCGTGCACCATTGTCAGCAGCGCCAATGATAGTACGAGGAACTTGCATGGTTCCTCGACGTATACCAGATCGACATGGTGCAGCCTTGATGAGTGAAGCAGCAAGAAGTAGTCAGCAGCCTGCGCCCTTACCGTGCGTGACGGTAGACGATATAGCGACAAAGGCAATGAATGGCGAGTGCCCATCTCGCTGTGATCACTCAAAAGGACGTGGCACAAAGAGCGCGATCGAAAGGAAGGGAACTCGAAGGCTCGCTTTTGTGCGTAGAAATTAGAACCAAGCGAACAGAATCAGATCGACGCGTTCTTTCGAATCCTTTATCAGCGAGAGACACGTCCTTTTTGTATCAATGAGACGTCATCATTTGCATGACTAGGCTGGTACGAAGAGGAGCGTCATAAGCATGCCCTGCATGATCGTGTCCTTGTCGTCGATATTCATCTGTTTGGACGCGCTAGCTTCGGATGCCGAGTCGATCGATGAGCGAGCCTGGTCAAGTGGCACGAGCACATGATTGTAAGCTTCGTACGCTATGCATGCTTGCGTCAGCTTTTGTGCAGTGCAGAGAAGCTATGGTTACTCTGCGCTGCGCCCTTCGCAGATCCGAATACGTCGCAGCGATCCAGCGAGAGGCCTGAGAGTCTGTCAAACGTGATACAATGGTCGTAAGCAGCTCCCACCGCTATGAGCTCACGTCAGATGGCATTCGCGGTGGTTGCAGCAGCCGAACTTACTCAGTACGGGATAACGGAGCTGGACGAGCTCGGGCCGCGAAGGATCGAGCTCGTTAGTCGCCGTCGTCATTGAGACGCCATTAGGAGCCGGTCGAGAAGTCGGCTTAGCGACGAGGTAGAATGGGTTAGCGATGATGGCTCCGGGCGTGCTGGTGTCGATATATGTGAGGACTGCGCCAGTGGACTGATGGGACGAAATGACGAGACCGTGGTTGAGGAGACCCATGCGAGTGCACTAGCCGTATAGTCATTAGCCCTCAAAGGCAACGACAGATACATTCGGGCCGGTGACAGACATTGACGAGGACAAAACCAGTAATGCTGGCGTGTTCGAGGTCGTCAAACGTCGGAGGAACGTCATCGTCTGCAACATCATCGCGCTTGCTGATCGTGCTGGCACTGCCTGAGCCTGTCAGGCAATTCCCAGATGGACAGGGCAGACTTGCTGCTCGGCTTTCCACCAGCCGAAGCGAACAGCCGATGGGTCGAATACTTTCGCTCGATACTTGGTATCAACGTCGTGTGAGTGGTGTCCTTCAATGTGCTGACGTGACGTATGAGCGCCTGCGTGAAGTGCACATAGTGCAGCGATCAGCGTGAGAAGGGATGAGCTGCGCAACATGAGTCTAGCTGCCGTTGTAGAGCTGCAGCGCTGCACACTGGCTCGAGCGGAGAGTGAGCGGAGACGGTGCCTACATGGCTGGGTACAACATCACTTCGTTGCCTCCTTCTTCGTGTCTATCCTGACGTAGTCTCGATCCCCACTGCTGACATCGTCTGTCTTGCGCACTGCGGCGTACACCTGACCGAGGATGGCTAGACCGGCGCAGCGTCTGCGCTGCTCCTCGAGTGTTATGCCAGACTCGCCCAGAACGCGATCGCAGACTTCGCGAACGACAGATTCGACTTCGAGCTTGGTGCCCTTGAACAGGGCTTCTACGCCTTTCTGTGCTGCCCTGTCCTCGAGCTCTTTCTTCGCTGCGTCGTCCAATCCCTTCTCTTCGGCCAAGGACAGCTCGTTGAAGACTTTGCGAAGCTCATTAGCCGCAGACAGGGTGGACATCGTCTCGCTAAAGACGTGAGCAGTCGAACGGAAACCGTGAATCCAACCACCGATGCCGAGTGGCGTGCTGAGCGACGCTGCATAGTGTTTCGCTTTGGCCGAGTAAACGTGTCCGACCGAGTGAAGCAATTCGACGCCATACGACTCATTCTTGAGCTCTTCCGCTTCGATCTCCCAAATCTGCTTGACAGACGATGCGATGGCAGGATCGGCTTCACGCTCGAAAATCTGGAGCTTCTTGTTCAGAGCGGCTACGAGCGATTTGACTGTAGCTCGCCGTCAGACGATCGTGAGAGTGCAGCAAGACGAAATCCCACCTCGCTCCTCCCTGGCCTTGTTGCGCTCTTCAGTTTGCTTGCGCTCTTCGGCGTCCTGTTTTGCCTTTTGCTCGGGGGTGAGTTCTTTCTTCTTCTTCTTGACCGAGTCGTCTTTGCCTTGCTCCTCATCTGATTCCTCTTCTTCTGCATCTTTCTGCATGGAGGATTTCATTTCTTTGCCCATTGCTATCACGCCAATTATGTCGTGGAACTTCTCGCCCCCAAAGAGGGAGCCAAAGACTGATTCCGGATCGACGAAGCCTGCGAGCCGGTCAGAGGTGAGCATACACATTTCTCGCGACGATGTCAAATCGTGAATGCGAACCTTCTTCTGCGCTCTCGCCAGATCCTTGCAGTGCCGACGCGCCAAACTCATTGTATCTCCTTCTGAGATCGGGGTCAGAGAGCGTTGAGTAGGCTTTGCTGATCTGCTTGAAGCGATCTTCTGCTTCTTTGCTGCCCGGATTTTTGTCCGGGTGGAACTTGATGGCGAGCTTCCGATAGGCAGACTTGATCTCTGCGACCGACGCGGTATGCTCGACGCCCAATGTCTGCATTGTGCGTGAGCGCACGTCTGGACAAATTGTAGCGCTCGTGAGCACCTCATAGTAGGTCTTCTCAAGCGGTCGCTCGTCTGTCCCTATCCGTCTCGTCTTCTCCTTCTTCTTGCTCGTGCCGGCCTTGCCATTCACGGCAGGTTTCGTGCTCGTGCTCGTGCTCGTGTTCGCAGGGGCGATATCAGGTCGGGGAGGATCGATGAGCTTGCTGCAGCTCAATACGCTGCATCTGACTCGGTAAGGGGGCGAATTGTCCTTCCAAGGTGGATAAGGGAGGGCGCTTGCTTGCGTCGTCGAGCTTGCAGATGAAAAGCTGCTTGATGGCGGCGGCTGAAATTCGAGCGCTGCTCTGCAGTGCGGACAGTTGAGCGCTATGTACGCTCGCTCGGGCCGCTGCCTTGATTCGATCGCAGGCACGCTCGTCATCATGGGAGCTGGGCTTGGTGACGGTACGCTATCTGTGTGGTATATAAACGTTAAACACGTCATCGACGCCGGCAAACTCCCAGCCCGAGAGGCGGCGGGCGGACGTGCGAGCGAGCGCCCTTCCGACGTCGCACACGCTCCCATCCTGACAAGGCACGGTACAGGACTGGCCGATATTCAGCGCCCAGCACGAGACATCAGCGGGGAGCCGTCAGGCTGGCAAGGACGGGCGTTTGAACAAGATGGCTCCGCGTTGTCCGACAAGCCCTGCCTCGCTCATTCGGTCGAAGCAGCCTCGCACGGCGTCAGAGACATATCAAAGGCTTCATGATGGAGCGCACCCCCCGCAGGCCGCCTCGCCGCCTCGCCGTCATGCCCACTACCATCTGTCGCAGCCCATATTGCCGAGCTTCACGCCTCCCCCGGCAGCAGTGAGCTCTGCATCCAACTCATCGCTCTCACTTCATCCTTCGGGCACTCGTTCTCAATGGAACATGAGGGCGCAGTCGTCTCGAGATTCCTCGCCTTCGCCAGATGCGCCCGTCAAGCTCGGCAGTAGTCAGGGCAAATCGGGAGCTGCAGCCGGTACGACGGCTGCAGACAACTCGCCCTACGAGTATCGCAGCGGTCCAGCCAACGGATTCAAGTCAGATGGCAGGCTGTACCCATATTTGACAGACGAGAGCTATTACGCGCGCTACCGGGATCCGGTCTCGCACGATCACGATCGCAACAAGGAAGCAAAGGTAAAAAACAAGATGGTCAACAAGTATGCCGCACCTTCGCGGTCGGCGGTGCCCTCAGGAAAGCAGACTAAGGACAAAGATGCCCTCCTGGCCGCCTCGAGACGCCATCGTATACAGATGGAGACAGCCTGGATGGGCGGCACCGCTGGCTCGCCCGACAACTCCAGCTCGACTGGTGTGCCGTCCGGCGTAGCAGAAATGGTGCGACCTTCGCCCCTCTTGCACGGAGTGGACGCTTCCACCCAGGTGGAGCGTGCCATCGAGGCAATCCAACGTCCCATGGCGCTCTGCTTTCCTGGTTCGGGATCCCAATATGTCGGCATGGGCGCCTTCCTGCTCAAGTATAAATCTGCCCAACAGCTGTGGGAAGAGGCAGAGGATGCCCTGGCGACCTTTGAGCACTGGCGTCGCGATCTCCCACTTTCACAATCCGAGCAAATTCGACAGCTCGATCTCGACAACTGGCCTTCCTGGCAGCAGGAGCGTTCGCCCGATGAGCTGCAAAAGATCGTCTTTGGGGGTCCACAAGATGAGCTCACCAGGAGCTCGAACGCTCAGCCCGCCATTCTCATCACTTCACTCGCTTTCCTTCGTGTGCAAGAGGTATGTTTCTATCACGCCTGCACATCGGTCTATGACTGACCGTCATGCAGACCGAATATGGCACGCCGGCGTCCAAAATGGCTTCGCATTTTGCCGGTCACTCCAGCGGCGAGTATACAGCAGCTGTAGCTTCTGGAGCTCTCAGCTTTGCCGATGGCGTCAGGCTCACCCGCCTGCACGGGCTCCTGACATCTAGAACGCTGCAGCTGGCCAAATTACATCCCTACGTGAACGTCGAGGCGCCGATGGAGTCTCGCGCCCAGATGTCGGCACTCGTCATTAACCCTGGCCACACTCACGATGAGGTGAGGCTGTTGGTCGAGAAGGTGGCGCGCGAGCATAGCGGGCACGAGGGCATGGTCGAAGTGGCTAGCTACAACTCGTCGACACAAGTCATCCTGTCTGGCAGCCGTGCGGCCGTCCTGATCGCTTCTGACTTGCTCACGCGCGAAGGTATAGCCGCTCGAGCTGCCGATTTACCTGTGTGGGCACCGTTCCACTGCAGCTTCATGAAACCAGCAGAAGCGGGCATGAAGATCGCATTCGACACGGCAGTCCAAGTCCATAAACCTAGGAAGCCTGTCGTTTCGGGCGTCACTGCGACGACGATCAGTACAGCAGATGAAGTGAAGCACCACATACTCGACCAGATCTCCCGACCGGTCCTCTGGTCGCAGAGCCTCGATACGCTTTGCAAAGCGGGCGTGCATGAGATGGCCTTTATGGGCCCCGGCAAAGCCCTCGCCAACCTCGCAAAGTAAGCACCAGTGTCGTCGATCGGGTGAACACCATTGATGGCGTGATTTTGCAGGAAGGAGATACAGAGAGGTAACCTCGGTCACGGCGCAGCAAGGCTCGAGGTCTGCACGACGGCGACAGAAGAAGATCTCCTCGATACACAAGCATTTCTGACTTCGCCGCTGCCACAATAAGTCAAAGACTGCCGGTCTGTACATCGCATAATCCTGTTGTTGAATATTCGCGCCGTCCGTGCATTCGTGTAAGCATGGCTTGCATTGCCTGGCGTGCATGCGCGCATTGATATCTATGTCGCGTCTGATCTGATTCTCTGCGCTCGTCGACGTCTCAGAATCTCAAATGGCACCTTGCGCTCTCTGCATGAGCCGACCAGAGCGGCCGGCAAGTCCAAGCAGAGCGATACTCAGACGGCCCAAGACAGGCCAAGCGGTCTGCAGGGACTGCTTCTTCCTCGCTTTCGAGACAGAGGTGCACAACACCATTTTGGCGGCCAACAGTGGCAAAGGCCTCTTCCGAGCAGGTGAGCGCATCGGCATAGCTGCCAGTGGCGGCAAAGATTCTACAGTGCTGGCACACATCGTGACGCTCCTCAATGAGCGGTATGCCTACGGATTGAATCTGTATCTGCTCAGCATCGACGAAGGCATTAGCGGCTACAGGGACGATTCGCTCGAGGTGAGCTGCTTGCGAATGACTGGAATCACTATACTCAGTAGATCCGCACTTCTAGACGGTCAAGACGAATGCCAAGGAATACAAGCTACCCCTCAAGATATTGAGCTACGACGACCTGTACGGCGGATGGACGATGGACAAAGTGGTCAAAGAGACCGGCAGGAAGAACAACTGCACCTACTGTGGCGTCTTCCGGCGTCAAGCTCTCGACAGAGGCGGATCTGTCCTGCAAGTCGATCATATCGTCACGGGACACAACGCAGATGACATGGCAGAAACAATACTTATGAACGTCCTGCGGGGCGACATTGCTCGCCTCGAGCGTTGCACCGCCATCACGACCGGCAAAGATGCTCACGAAGAGGCAGACGGCTCGCAACCTGCTTTACCACATGTCGTCAAACGAAGCAAGCCATTCAAGTATGCCTACGAAAAGGAGATTGTCATGTGAGCCGAACTCTACGCGCTTTAGTTCGGGAAAGCTGACGCCAGACTAGGTATGCCTACTTCAAGAAGCTGACGTATCATTCGACCGAGTGTATCTACTCGCCTACGGCCTACAGGGGCCATGCTCGCGCCCTCGTCAAGGATCTCGAGAGCATACGACCATCTGCCATCCTTGATCTGATCTATAGTGGCGAGGCAATGAGTAGAATCGTCAGGCCAGACTCCAAGAGGCCAACACAGCAGCTCTGCTCACAGTGCAGCTCTATGTCCTCAGCACCAGTTTGCCAGGCTTGCCAGCTGCTCAATAGTCTCAATGCTGGCTTGGCAAGCATGCAGCTGTCGAGCAAGAATTAGCGTGGCTGCACTTAGCAGAGTTCCATCCTTCAGTGATACGAGTATCGTAAATATCTGCCGTCCGCAGTGCTTGTTGTCAACATACTCTCGCTGCATTTCTTGTTAACAACAACACCAGCTGCTGTCAGCTCTTGCGTCAGTGCTGCCCATGTACGATTGACAAAGAAGCACCCGCCCAATTTGCTGAGTTCAGCTCGTGCTTTCGAAGTCAAAATCGTCAAACAGGATGGTATCCTCATTGCCTGCCAGCGGATCGGAAAAATGCTCATTTGACGTCATTTCCTCAAGATCTTCCCCGCTCGCGTCTGACATGTCTTCATCTACTTCGCTCTCTATCTCGTCTTCGCTGGCTTCCGATGCGCTCTGATCTATGATGAGCTCGGCTTGAGGTGCCGAAGATGCGGTTGTGCTAGGAGTTACTATGGACTCGCTGGTGGAGGGACCTTTGCGCCTCAGGATGTGAGGTAATTTGCAGTTGGCGCGCGTGCAAGTGCCCTTGATGCCGAACTCTGGACACTCCCTGACGTGACGCTCGCGACAGGCGAGACCTTTTTCGCAATACCCGAGCGTGGCGAAGGGAGCGCAAATGGGGCTATCGGCCGGCAAACCGACGTGCGGGAAGGGACAGTCTCGACCGCGGTTGCAGCGGGGGAAGTGGGTGCAGTGGGGCATCCTGTGGGCGTCTGTCGAGTGAGAATGGAGGCAAGATTCGCCTAGTTCGCACTTGTTCGCGAGGAATCTGGTGCAGATGGACACTTTCGTCGGGTCGTGGATGTATGGACACGTCAGACCTTTAGTACATTGACCTGTTTGTGCGTTTTGAGAATGCAAGGGAGGCAAACGCAAGCGCAAACAGAACGAGACTCAGATCGATTCGACAGCTTGGCCTGACCAAGAGCGTTTGGGCCATATGGGAGCGCGTACCTTGTATCGTATACTGTGGGCAGAGAGAATTGATCTTCTGTCTTGTTATGACGGGTCGGGGCACTCTCTTGCCCCTTGTGCTTCCACGGCTGCGGGCACTGAGATCGCGCAGATGGCTGGTCAGACATGAGACGTACTTTCTGCTCGGCTGTACGCGACCGAGCTGACCGACCAGTGTATCCAATCGCGCTCTTTTAGCTTTGAGATTGGCCTGACTTTTGACGTGTGCGGCGTAAGCGTCCGCTCTGACGAGATTGCCAGTCTTTGTGCGAATGTATTGCTGTCCCTGTATGGAAGCGCGTTTGGGGGTCAGGGATCCTACTGTGGCCGACGTCGAGGCTACTGGTTGGACCGTGGTCCCACCTGGGCCGGCTTCAGGACGAGAGATACGTCACATAGAAAACGGACGAAACGGACCTGGCTGGCGGGCGCGAATGAGCTTATTGCCACGCTTGACAAAGGTGACGTCGTTGATGACGATGGATCCGGGTTGGGCGAGGTGGAATGGTGGGGCTGGCTCGACGGACTCGGCAATTTCTCCTTCCTCTGACGGACTGCGCAAACTCGGCGCAGGATCCTTGTCTGGCTGTATGTCGTCCGACGGCGTCTCATTAATTGCCTCTCCATCGAGATCGTCAATGCCAGCAAGCGCTGCAGGTGCTGATGAATTGGCTACAGGGTTCGATGAGGCGTTGTTGATGACGAGTGTGCGGTTCGCGGACTGCCATGCGCCTCTGCCTCTCCCGCGTGGCTTGCCTCTTGCCGCTGCTCGAGCGCCTCGTGGCAGATACTGTCCTCGGTATGACATGCCTGACTCGGGCTGAGACTCTAGCTTCAGATCGCCAGAGGTGGCCGTGGCCGTGGTCGTGGTCGAGGCGCGTCACGTGGTGCTGCTGCCGGAAGCGAAGCGAAGTACTCGCGCGAAGTGAGGACCTAGCGAAGGCCAGCCGCACTGGGTCAGAGATTCGCAGACATGTCGAACGGAGGGATCGGTGCGTCTCGCGAGACATGAACGAGCTCAGAGGCGTGCTGATGGCCAGCTCGAGCAGGGATTGCCAACTTGCCGAACCAGCGGCACAAGCTCGGTTAGTGACCTCGCCCACCCTTCGGGCGGATCTTCACTGGCTCCAAAGTCGTGATGCGACCTTGTATGGCCATCGTGTGTGCTCGCCTCGCGCGCCAGGCTCGCTCGACCGAGCTATACCCTCACTCGTTGTGCCCGAGCTCATATGCGTTTGGTGTTGCAGTCGCTCAACGAGGTGCTCACTTCACCCTCATGGTCGTCGGCGAGTCCGGTCTCGGCAAGACGACGCTGATCAATACACTCTTTTCCACTGAGCTCGCCTCTCCTCGCGCCTACCATACCCGCCATCAGAAGCAGTTCTCAAAGGAAACAGAGATTGACATCATTCGTGCCGAGCTCGAAGAGAAGAACTTCAAAGTCAAGCTGACCGTCATCGATACTCCCGGCTTTGGAGACTATGTGAACAACCGCGAGTCATGGACGCCCATCATCGACTTTCTGGACGACCAACATGAGAGCTTTATGAGACAAGAGCAGCAGCCTCAGCGCTCAGACAAGCTCGACATGCGCGTCCATGCCTGTCTCTATTTCATCCGACCGACCGGTCATACGTGCGCCAAAGTTGATGCCATTCGGCTCTTCGCTGAACATTCGCCATAGCCTCAAACCACTCGACATTGAGATCATGAAGCGCCTCGGCACGCGTGTCAATCTCGTACCCGTCATTGCAAAGGCAGATACGCTTACGCCAGAAGCGCTTCAGGGCTTCAAAGAACGCGTGGGTGTTCCCCCAGCGCTCGTCGCTGTACGGCCTGACGGTTGGTCTCGACAGGTTCGTGATGTGCTGACCGCGCAAGGCATCCGGATCTACCAGCCACCTATCGAGACGAGCGAGACTGAGCAGACTGCCGAGCACGCCAAGCTACTTACTGTCAGTGAGATTTACTTCTCAGACCCGTGCTGATATCTGGCAGTCAATGATGCCCTTTTCTATCATTGGCTCGACCGACGATGTCAAGACGGCGGATGGCCGAACGGTCAAGGGACGAGAGTACCTGTGGGGCGTCGCAGAGGTCGAAAATGAAGAGCACTGCGATTTCAAGAAGCTGCGCTCGCTGCTCATTCGCACGCACATGCTCGATTTGATTCATACGACTGAGCAAGGCCATTACGAAACTTATCGACAAGCTCAAATGGAGACACGCAAGTTTGGCGAGCCCAAAGTCAAGAAGCTCGACAATCCCAAGTTTAAGGAGGAGGAAGAGGCGTTGCGCAAGAGATTCACCGAGCAGGTCAAGCTCGAGGAGGCACGATTCAGACAGTGGGAGCAGCACCTCATCGCCGAGCGCGACCGTCTTAACAAAGACCTCGAGCAAGCGCACTCGCAGATCAAAAGGTCTGTCCATTCGCTGTGCGAGAATAGCTCATGCTCATGCTGCGCGCAGTCTGGAGGCAGATCTAGACAGCATGCAAGGCGGATACGGCGGTCCTCGAGGCAGCCGTCGCTAAGTTGGGCAGGCCTGAGCGACGACAATCTGCAACGTAATGCGACAACATCTTAGTCAAGGACTTTGGGCGAGCTCGTCTCCTGTAGTGTAGCAACATCTAGCATGCCCAGTCTTTACGTCCGCTGGCCTGATCGGCCCTGGCTATTGAGTCTTCCTGATCTCCTCCTCGGGCAAGGGCAGCCATGAGATCGGATGCTGATTGTACATCGGCCATGCCGGTACGATCGCCTGAATGCGAGAGATCAGCTTTAGCCGGCGGCAATCGGACAGTGCTCACAAGCAGCGAGACAAGTAAGCCACCGGCAAAGATACCAAAGGTTAGCAACAGGTTCTGCAGAGTGAAGCCGACAAGGAACGCGATCACCTGTCGAGCGTAGCTTGGTCAAACGATCAAGCGGCTCCTTGAGAGCTGCTTACGCCGAAGGAGATGAGCAGCACTTGGAGGTACCGCTCAGCTTGCTTCTGACCATTGAAATCCTGCTGTAGCTGATCAAACGAGCTCGTGTCACCTGTAAAGAACGATCTCCTACGATCTTGCCCTCGAACCTCGACTTGGCCTGGTCAACTAGGTCGTTCAAGAGAGCGTCCATGAGGCTGCCTGAATTGCCTACGTGTACTCGAGCAAAGCAGCGGAACGCGTCGACGACGCGATCTCGATACCCAAAATTTGATAATGATGATAGCAACACGCGCACATGCACAAGGGCCGCCCGATCATTCACCAGTCCGCATGTAGCGGGAGTGGCTCTTTCTGTAACAACAAGAGCCGCAACGCGCGTGAAGCTCTTTCTGTCTAAGTTGCTCGTCAGACCAGAGCCTGCGTGTAGCATCAGACGCAGACGGTCATGGCGTCAAGAACGCCAGAGGAGGAGCGCCAGAGCATGGTTGGCCTTGGCCTAGCCGCATCGGCTGATATGCCCCCTCGCTTGCCGACGACGCGCAGCCTGCGACCCCAATCGACGCTGCCGTCGCAGGCAGTAGCTGCTGCTGCTGCTGCATCAGCGCCTGGCTCGACACACATTGCGACACCGCTAGCACAGGCGCCGGTCCCTGCCCCGACGGCGACGCGAAGACCTTCGGCTGGCGCTGCGATGCGGGCAGACGCTCTATCGCTGTATGACGCCGATTTCTCGACCGGCCCTTATCCTACGTTCGATCTGCCTTCGCCCACACAAGCACAGAACGGTACGCCCACAGCCAAGCAGGCTCCTCTGCCGCGTATAATGACTACGCCTATTATGGACTCTTCTGCTCAATTTGGTTCTACCGGCGCGCCTCAGCAGCCCTACCAGGCTTACATCGCGCCGAGTTCACCGAAAATCTTTCAGGCCGTTCCACAGCGCGCTTCGACAAGCTCGCCTCAGCCCGGTCAAATCTTTGTGCATCCTCACCTTCATCAGGCTCGGGGCTCGCCCACCTCACCCGATCCTGGCCCGCCCGCTGCCGCAGGTCAGCCGCAATACTACACATCGCACTCGCCACGCACAGCCAGTCCGGCCTTATCACACTATTCGCCCTTGCTTGGCCAGAATGAGACTACGCCCTTCTTTGCTGATCAGACTCAGACCGGTTCCATGAGAGGCTCCACTCAGCCCAATGCTGGCTCGCCTCAACCGCCGTCACCTCTCTTGCTCGCCGGCGGGCCTGTTCGACCTGGTCTTAACGCTTCTGATTCGCATCTGTCCTATCTCAGCTCGGCTCCAAGCTACCAGCCGGGATCCAGGTCGCCGTCTTTCTACAACATGAACTCTTCCAGCACGAACCTCCTAGCCAACGATGACGACAGCAATAAATATGGCGCCTACAGCCCCGATTTGGCTGCTTCGACTTCCCAGCTCCTTGACAACAGCTTCTCGACCACGCTGGTCGGCGATCAGTCGTTCGACGAGAAGGATGGGAAGGAGAAGCTCTCGGACGAATACAGCTACCTTCCGCCCAGTCTTGCAAAGAAGTACGATGACAAGAAGGGCAAGCGCGCAAGCAAAACCGACGTCAGAACAGCGCTTTTTGGCTCACGCAGCCGCAAGCTTGTATGCGGCGGTCTGACCGCAGCTGTCATCCGTACGTTTCTCTCCTGCCGGACCTACGCGTGCTCAAAAGAAAACAGTGGCTGCCATCATTGGCGTGGCGACGATCATGATTAATCGAGGACACAAATCTACGGCTGCGGCGGGGCCGACGAGCTCAGATGCGGCCGGGACTACACCAACGGCTGCGCCAATCGCCGATACGCCGCAGCTCCCGGTAACTCAAGGAGGAGATGGCTCGACGGTGACCACGGAGTGAGTCCCATGATGCCTTGCAAGCCGTTACTTACACGATCGACAGGACCGGTGTCAACTTTACCTATACCAACACTTTCGGTGGCTTCTGGGTCTCTATACCCTTCAATGACAGCGCACAGCCCCAGAGCGATATACCGCCTCTCAATCAGCCCTGGGATTTCCAGACTAGCAGGTGAGTCTTGTCAGCAGGCGCGCCATGCAGACTTGACTAGGACGTCCAGGATCAATGGCGTCAACCTGGGTGGCTGGCTTGTGCCGGAGCCTTTCATCACACCGTACATGTACGAGCAATACGCAAATACTGCCAATCCTGCCATCGACGAATGGACGCTCGCCGCCGCCATGGGCACGAATTATGCAGCCGGCATGGAAAGTCACTACGATACCTTTGTCACCGAGCAAGATTTTGCGCAGATTGCCGGAGCCGGTCTCAATTGGATTCGACTCTCTGTGCCATTTTGGATGATCGAGACTTATCCAGGCGAGCCCTACCTGGAAGGCGTTGCTTTCAAGTACTTCTTAAAGTCTGCCGTCCCTCGCTCCTCTTTGGCTGTACTGAAACATACCACAGAGCCATCACATGGGCGCGAAAGTATGGCATCCGCATCAATCTGGACCTGCACACCGCTCCCGGCAGTCAGAACGGCTGGAACCACTCCGGCCGGTACGGATCAGTCAATTTCCTCATGGGTCAGATGGGCGTTGCCAACGCCCAAAGAATGCTCAACTACATCCGCACTCTGGCCGAATTCATCTCTCAGCCTCAGTATCGGAACGTCGTTCCCATGTTCGGCATCATCAATGAGCCTCAGATCGGTCAAATCGGGACGCCGCAGATGAGAGCATTGTGGGCCGTCCCTTGTCGCCGGAGAGCATCCCTAACGAAATATCTGCGCAGCTATGTGCAGGCATACCAGATCATTCGCGATATCACAGGCGTTGGCATGGGCAATGGCCCAATCATCTCAATGCACGACGGCTTTCAATCGCCAACGCTTTGGTATGACTTTCTGACTGGTGCGGATCGTCTCGCTGTCGATTCGCATACCTATATGTGTTTCGGCACGCCGAACAATAACGCAATGCCGGTGAATGTCATGACGGTACGCGATTGCTTTTTCCAAAGTTCTAGCCGCTGACAGCTGTTGAATAGCCCTGCAATGGCTGGTCAGGCAATACTACAATGAACAGCTATGGATTTGCATACATCGGCGAGTGGTCTCTTGCAGTTGTCGATTGTGGTCAATACGTCAACGGTGTAAATCAAGGCTCTCGATATTCAGGCACATACAGCGCAGCGGGCGGCACTAACGTTGTCGCGCAAGTTTATGGCGACTGTGATGCTTTCACCATGTCTGCAAATTGGACGCCGCTCTTCAAAGCCTATATGACTCAGCTTGCTTTGACGACGATGGACGTTGGCGGGAACACGTTCTTCTGGACCTGGAAGTCCTGCAGCGAGGCTACTTGCACTGCCGCGTCTCCCAACCCTATGTGGTCGTACATGCACGGCCTCCGGGAAGGGTCAGTCGCCTCGCTCTGTGCTACTGCTTTGCTAATGTGTAGGAACAGATATGTCGCTGCCAATCCTCGATGGGCGCCCGGCACATGCCAGAATATGGCTGCCCAGTACAATGTTGCGCAGCCAGCGCAGACGCCTAATAATGGCATGCCTGCTTCTGCTACAGGCGGACAAGGGGCAGGTCAAACTGCTGGCAACAATGCGCAGCAATATCCTTTCCCGCCCGCTTCCATCACCAACGGTGGCGTTGGCTCCAGATTGCCGGCTTACACCCCGACTGGCGCTCCCCTGGTGCTCACAGACACAGCTACGCCCTCGAGCACAGTCGCCTGGACAGCAGGCACAGTGCCTACCGGCTGGTACAGTACGTCTCCGGTCAACTTCAGATGTATGTGGCTCACGCAACGTCTGCAGCTGCTGTGGCCGGTCAGACATACCCAGACGCTTACTCGCAAGTCGCTGCGGCCAATCGGAAACGATCGGCACATGCAGAGGCGACTGCGATGCCCGTCAACACGCACGAACAAGCTTGGTCATAACGCGACACAGAGATACGATTACTCTCACTTGTACAAACTATACAGCGCACTCCTGGGACTTTCGTCTGTATACAGCGCACCTTTGGGAGCATCAACACGTCATTGCATGTACAACATCTCATTCAGGCCCGATGTTGATATCGTTGAGTGCAATACAGACGGCTGCTTTGTGATGGCCACTGTGATAGTCATGTCAGTATAGCCGGAGTGCAAAAGGATACACTGGCCTGTACTGCCGCACCGTTGAGCCGCTCGCGAGCTCCCATAAGCGTGCTGTGTGATCAGATGACGCTGTGCGGGTGGTCTCAGCGGGACACATAGGCCAGTACGAGCAACTGACTGGAGACGAGATAGGCAGAGTCAGCAGAGAATGCCATGTCCCATACCCACCGCTGATGGCCAACGAGGACTTTGTCGAGCTTGGTCTGCCCGCCTTCGAGGGACCAGATCTTGATGGTCGTGTCTGCTGAGCAAGTGGCAAGATATCTACACGTCCTGATTAGTAGGGGTCAGGCAGGAAACATGGCGACTCACTTCACATCGGGGCTGAGTAGACACCGGATGAGATACTTGTTGTGCGCTTGGAAGCGCGTCTTGGGTTGCAAGTCTGTAAAGTCACGCCCGTTCTGGATGGTCCAGATGTAGCAGTTGCCCTGTCTGCGTGTCAGACAGTGTACGCCCAACCGGATTGCTGCCTACTTTGTTATTGCCGCCTACGAGGTATGAACCATCGCTGGCGAATGAGACGGACCGCATCGGCACATCTTCTTCAGGTACCTATCCGGATAGTTTCAGCCTCATAGCGGGCCGAGAGGCGAGCGACGAACGAGCTCGTGGGTGCAAGTGTTTGCGCCGAGATCCCAGACTTTGATGGCACCAGATTGATCACAGGATATAAGCTCTCCCTGATTGGGATGGATGACGCAGTCATTGACGGGCGACTTGTGGTCAAAATTACGCTGCACTGTGGCAGACCTGCGAGAATTGATCAGCTCAGCTGAGCCCGTCAGTTTTACGGCAGACCGAGTATCCCAGATCTTCAGTGTGCCGTCCTCGCTGCCTGTGACGAGCCATTTGCCTTCGCAGTGCCATGCGAGCGCAGTGACGTTGCCCGTATGGCCATCAAAGCTCGCGACCTGTGTACCAGCCTGAGCTGAGCCTCACAGCAGGTCGGCGTAACTGACTGCGCTTGATGAGCCTGAGCTGTTGGTTGTGCCTGCATGCTGCACGTCGTAAAGCCTGACATGCTGGTTGCCTGCTGCTGCAAGGAATCGCTTGTCGGGCGATATTGCCAACCGATTGACCGCCTGTCGTCGCTTTTCAGCTTGCGTACCCGCTGCTATCTCTGGAGCGACTGACGGACTCGGGATGCTGGATTGTCCTGCTGCAGACACCTGACCAAGCCTCCCAGAAGCTGCAAGAAGCGTCAGTTGAAGAAAGACGGCATCCTCGGCAGGGCATTACCGGATCGTATTGTCGTAGCCGCCGGTGGCCAAGATGACAGAGAGCGCATCATGCGCGCTGCCTACAGCATCTGCTGCTTCATCTACCATCGACGCTCACGCAGGCAGGTCAGGGCAGGCGCAAGTGCGCCAGGTCCAAGATCAAAGCTTAAATGACGCGTCTTAAGAGCGCGAGCTGTGTTCTCGGTGTTTTCAGACATTCTCCGGGCAAAAGGTACTCGTCGCCCATCTCAAGATCTCAGCAACGATTCATTGGACTTCCACGCTCGAATTGTGCCGGCTATCTGAGATGACGCTCTGACCAGACAACTCTCACGACATCGGCACACCACCGCCAGAGTCGCGAAGGATTGCATCTGCGGTAGTGCTGCACCAACAGTCATCTTTAGCGTGCGGCTGTTGTTCAAGCCAGATTTGCAGGCGTGCTGCCCTGCCACACGAGCAGGCTTGATGGTCAGGACCTTGCGGCCGTCTCGTGGATAGAGCATGCGTTCGAAGAAAGGCGCCATCTTCGTGTCTCTGTTGCTGCTGGTGAAGTCCGTTCCAACGTGCTGTTCTGTCGTTCCGCTCAAAGGTGCGACCACGTCCAACGCCACGCAAATCACAGCAGGAAGCATGTCTCCCCTGGTCTAGGGCGAGGCGTCGACCCGATCTGAATTCAGGACGAAGCGAGTACCGGGCAGTCTGGTCAACGTTGTCCAGAGGATCAAACCTATCGGCTCGCTACAGGCGTAAAGATGCGCTGTCTCACTCGACAAGGGCCATGTCTTCCATGGCCTGAGCGTCTTGCAGTTTATGACGAGTATAGTGGCGGCCATTGCGATTGCGATCAGCGTGTGACATGATCAGGCAAGAACGAAGCAGTGTAGGGCTCTGCTGCGTCCTATTCACAGGCTTGGAGGGGTCGTGCGATCTCGGCGCACCGTGGCTGATCAAATGAAACGCGTAACGCTATAGCGACGTTCGCGTCAGCAACAGCTTGTGTCCGTCCCTGAGCTGTGCTCGCTTGTCCACTGCCTTTTTCGTCGACTACGCTGTCCTTTAGAATGAAGGGTCAAGGAAATATGATGGCCTACTCATCCATGGCCCTGGTGGTCTACATACTCTCCTTTGTCACCGCTCGCCGCTCGCAGGAGTTTGGCAAGCGCCATCATACCCTCGCTACTACTTCCTCACAACCGATCGAGCATGCCGTTCAGGATGCAGACCACTTCACTCATCAGCTTGCCAGGCGTTCTGCCGACCGAGATGAGCTCTGGGAGCGTGATCTCTGCGAAGCCGACCCTGGCGCGAAAGTTTGCAATGTCCTCGACTTTGGTGGCGCACAGGATGTCGGCAAGGCGATCACGCAAGCATACCTGTCCTGCGCCTTGCCGGCCTCGAAAGGCAAGACGAACCCGCTCGATACGGTCATCCTGGTGCCCGAAGGTCATACGTTCAACATCCATACGCATGTCGTCATCAACGCTGCTTCATTCGTCACCCTTCAGATCGACGGCATCATCAATGTGCCCCATGAAAGATCACTTGATGGTACTCTTCTGACGTTCGAGAGGAGCAACAATATCGTCATCACTGGCCAGGGTACTATCAACGGCAATGGTGCGGCCTGGAGACCCAATCGCGCACTCAATGCAGATCTCTCGAGACCCCGCCTTATCAGATTCTTTCAGACCGACAACTCGCGCATCACAGGCGCCCTCAAGCTGAACAATTCGCCTAGCTTCCACGTCGTCATCGATGGCTCGCACAACGTCATCGAGGGTCTGACCATTGTGGCCGATCAGGTCGGCACGACAGACGGTGTCGATCTCGGAGGTTCGTTCAATGAGGTCCGCAATGTGTTCGTCAGCAATGGTGACGAATGCGTCACGGTACACAGCGGTACGCCGGACGCGAACAAAGCCTTGAGATCCGCTGCTCATTGGCGGCGTTCACCCAGGGACTGATATGTTGATCTCAAACATCACTTGCAGCCCCAGTGGCGGGACCAACCTGGGGTCAGTCTTCGCAACAGGCCCTCTGAGACGAGCTGACATCTATCCTACAGCACATTCGGTGTGGGTGGGACTGACTCTATTGCTCGAGTACACTACAAAGGCGTGCGGATGATCAATTCTGGCACGGCCGTCATGGTCAAAGCTTTCGCTGGCTCGAAAGGCTCGATGCAGGATGTCGTTTTCGAAGACTATCAACTCACCAATGTCGCCAAAGCAGTCGTCATCAGCACGCGCCTTGGCGCGCAGGGTTGCGCACACGGCACTGACTATTCTGTGGGTCTTTCGAGAGGATACATACCGGCCATCCTAAACTATCATGCCGCGGCAGTGCCTCAATGAGGGATTGTTGGCCGTCGACAGCGTCCAGTACCGCAACATCTCCTTCGTCAACTGGAGCGGCACCCTCGATGCGACGATGCGGCCCGATGTGTCCATCTACTGTCACACTGGCGCGAGAAGCTGCAGAGACATCAACTTCATCAGTATGTTTCCGTGTATATGCTTCCGTGCTGCTGACTGGTAAGCCAGATTGGAATGTCAAACGACTGGGCGGGTACGCGGACAAGTACGACTTCGAGGCCAACACGGTCTGCGGAAGTGGTCTCAAAGGTTTGCCGGCTTGCTGAGCGCGCAACGATGGCATCTGCTTGCTGTGCATCCAAATGCAGCCCGTTGGCTAGTCTACAACAGTGGACAGAGTGATACAGACCCTACAAGACACCTTTCTTGCGCTGACTAGATACTACGCGCGAAAGCAAAAGAGTGATTTGAGTGACGATAGGCCTGACGAGGTGGATGATTCGCCGCTGGGCCGTGCCAGTATAGATAATCGTGCTGCTTCCTCAAACGCTTCGGAGACGCCTCTGTTTTCCTTTGCCGAGCATTCGAGATAGCGAGAAGCTCTGATCCTTTTGGCGACGGCGACGCCAGCCTCGTACTCCACTGGATGCTCGCCCGTCTTGGCGAGCTCTCGGCGTGTTCTTGGATCGTCGCGCAGATCGCATTTGAGTGCTTTTCTGGCGTGTCAGCCTACGACTTTGTCCTGACGTGATGACGCGCACCGACAAGACATAATCGAATTCCCTCGCAATGCTGGTTGATCTCGCCTATCCATTTGCTTTCGATGTTGTCGAGCGAGTTGGGCTGGTCGACCTGGACCTGTCGTGTGAGTCTAGTACGAGCGAGTAGGTCCGAACGCACGGAGAAGCAGAGGAGAGCGATATGTGTATCCGCGTAGGCGAGCGCCCTGAGCCTGTCGAAGTCTTCTTGACCGGCTGTGTCCCACAGGGAGAGCTCTACGGTCGTGTCAGAGTCCAGGTGGCAGTCTTTGACCATGTTCTGCTCGTCTCGCGATCAGCCGAACCAAAGGCGTTTGAGGAGCAAGAGCAGACCTCAAAGACGGTAGGCTCGTAGGCGACGGGAAAGAAGCCTTTGGTATAGACAGTCAGCAGCGAGGTCTTGCCGGATGCGCCATCGCCCAGGACTAGAATCTGACAGTCTGCAGGCGTCAGCCGTCTGCGATGCTCCCATGATGTCAATCTGACCTTGCGACTGTACTGCGACGCCGAGAGAAATCAGCTCGCTGTCTGCATCTTCGGCTAGGCTGCTCACAGTCTTCCTCGGCCCGAGAGCCCTGTCGGTCATGGGGAGACAAGTGTCGGTGCCCGTGAAGGAGACGGAGTGATCAAGCTTAAGTAAGGACCGGGCGTCGAAGTCGAAGCGCGATCCGATCCGAGTCACGCCAGTCATGATCTCATTCATGCGTCCCTTGCCATGTCACACGCTCCACACTAGAGCTCGCCCAAGGCTGTCTCGTGACCCATCTTGATCCCCTCCTGGAACAGTCTAGCGTCAGACACACTCTTGCTCGACAGGAATCGCCGTCTAGCAAGTCACTCACCGAGTTTCTTGATGAGCAGTGGCTTGCTTACCGTGAGGGCTTGTGATCCACACTGCCAGCATGTCATCGAATGCGCAAGTCGCTACAGATCAGGCGACATCGTCCGGCTTGGTCTCGCGCTTCTATGCTGAATCGAGCGACGTACCTCTTGAGGAGATACTACACTACGCCAAGCTGCAGCGCCAGAGGGAGCGCAGTGGCAACGACATCGAGCGAGACCAGCAGAACCCTTGCAGCAAAATTGCGGACAGGCTGATCTGTAGACCGATGCAAAGTCACACAGGGCAGACGTCGGCCAGCACGCAGGAATCGGCCAAGTCAGCGGATACAAGTCTGAGAGCAACAGCAGACTCAGCAGCGCGCGTCGCAAGCTGGCAGTCGGTCCTCTGGCTCATCTGCACCGATATCATCGGCCCCTCATCTGCACCCTACTCGGTTTCCGTTCTCGGTTCAACTGGTGGCGCAGCTGCCTTTGTCGGCTTCGGCATAGCCTCCTTCTACTCGGGCATGCTTGTCTGGCTGCTCTTCCTCAAGCTCGACAGCGCCGAATATCCCATTCGAGCCTTTGGTGATCTCTTTGGACGCATCCTAGGTCGGCGTGCACGCAGTGTGTCGAATATCTTGCAGAGTTTGCAACTCGTCGCAAATGTGGGGATCATCCTACTGTCGTCCGGCATGGCATTCAGCCAGATCACCAAGTTTAGACTCTGTTTTGTCATCTGCACGCTCATCTGGCTCTTTGTCGGCATCTCGGTCGCTCAGATCAGGACTCTGCGCAGGTTTGCGTGGCTCGCCTCGGCCGCAATCTGGCTCAACGTGCTCGCACTCCTCTTCACCATGATCGCCATGTCTGACGGCGAGGTCAACTTTGGAGCCAATTCGACCAAGATGTCATCCGATGGATCATGGCCTCACAAGACCGTCCTCGCTATCGTTCCCGCGCCTTTTCAGGAAAAGCTCTCTGCGTTGCTCAACCTTATCTACGCCTATGGGGGTTGCATTGTCTACTGCGAATTCCTCTCGGAGATGCGCAAGCCCATGTCATTCATCAAATCACTCATCCTTGCACAAGCTTTCATCGCGGTTGTGTACGTCGTCTTCGGTGAAGTTGTCTACGCAAAGCAAGGCCAGTATGTCGTCAATCCCGCCAACATGGGCATCGCGAATTATGCCTGGCAGACCGTCACAAATGTCATCAGCTTGATCAGTGGCGTCATCGCTGCTTGTCTCTACGGCAACATCGGCGTCAAATTGATCTATCATAACATCCTCGAAACGATGCTCGCATTCCCCAGTCCCTCTACATCTCGCGGCAAGCTGCTTTGGGCGCCTGCCGTTGTGAGCTACTGGCTCTTGGCTTTCGTCATTGCAGTGAGTGTTCCCGCCTTTTCAGCGCTGACTGCCGTTGTGGCAGCTTTTGCCATCTTCCAGTTCTCTTACCTCTTTCCCAATCTGCTCTACTTGGCCTACAACATCAATTGTGGCGCGATGCTTGCCGACGATCCGTGGACGCCAGGAGGCGGCGTCAAGCGTGTTGACACGTTCAGAAACTTCTCTCGATGGAAGCGTGGCTTCCTGCAGCAGCCCATCATCAATACTATCAATCTGATCTGGATCATTCTTGCCGCGGCTACGATGTGTCAGTCTTGCCTACTTTATTTGGTCTACATTGACGATCATGCAGTCTTATCCATCTATGCATCGATCATAGCTCTCAAGGATGCATTGGGCAACAAAGCGGCCAGTTCCTGGTCATGCTGTTCTCCCGTCGATCCCGTTGGCTGCTCATAGGACTGCAAGACATTGCATCATAGCTGACAAAGCGTCGACGCGATGACGACGGCAACCAGCGAGCTCGCCACGCATCTAGTTCTGAAGGCCATTGAAGTGGCCGGTTGGTCTCCACTCGCAGGGAGTGCGATCGGATCACCTGACTGATCTTGTGATGAGTCGGTCTTATTGCCTGACGCAATTTGGGTTGCGTTACTGCCGAGGCCCACGCTTGCACCAGTGAGCTTGTCGATATCACCTTGTAGCGCCCCTAGGTCTGATTTTGCGTTGTGAGCTCGTAGTCAAGCAGCATCAAAGACCTCCTACTGCCAGAGTTGCTGTCTTTGACGATACTCGCGATAGCAGATGCAATCTCATCGGTGGAATCGTCAGCGATTGTAAGTGCAGTCAGCGCGAGCAGGCCGAGACAAGCCATTTTGACTTTCATTCTGCGGCGTCTCGACGGAGACCAGGGCTGCAGGATAGTTTGGTCGTGTACATTCAGCTCGGTTTGCGTCAGGCAACGCTGCTCGGGAGCAGGTCTGAGCGTGACTCTGTGCATTCAGACGGTGATAACAGCGCCGACGAAAACGCAGGCCAGAAGGCTCAGGCTCGCAAATACGAGCGGTGCGTCACCGAAGCCTCGAGTCGCTGCACCCGTGGGGGTGAAGGTCGCACTCGGAATAGAAGCTGTAGCAGTGGGTATCGATAGTGAGTTGGCTGACAGAGCGCTGCTCACGATAGAGCTGAAGCCAGGCACGGCGGATCCGGCTGCACTGGTCACCACTGCTCCAGCCGAGGACAGCTGTGAGGCGATTGAAGATCTCTGAGAAGCGAGGGAACCCGTCGAATCGGTTGCGACTGTCACAGGCACCTTTCTTGTCAGTCTCGGGTCTTGGGTCAGCAAGAAAGCCTTACGGCCTGCAGCTTCAGAGGTGAGCGTGCCGAAGTAGCTACTCAGATCAGAGCCTGCGGACGACAAGTAGGTGCTGCAAAGGTCCTCAGTCTGCGCCGAATGCTAGCTCCTCGGAACTCACGCCAAGTTGCTGCCTAAGCTTGACAAGTCACTGAATATATCATCGCCAGAGCTCTGGGCCGAACTGAAGCTCGTCGCAGCCGCAAGGGACAGAACGATAGCGAACCGCATCGTCAGCTTGTCGTCGAGGAGCTGCCAGACCGCAAGCTCCTGCGGGATAGCCTTGCGTCTTCAATGTCGCGGAAGGCGCCGAGATCTGAGGTAGGTGTGCTTGCCATGCATGTCACCTCGTGCGCGCGCCATGCTTACGATACTGCACAGCTGCGCGATCGAATGATCGGCGACATACATGTGTTGCGACAGCATGAACAGCCAGCCTTCGAAGCGTGTCTCCTCGCCTGCGTATCACTCATCTGCATGCATCCGGCGTGCAAGCGTCTAGCCGCAACTGTTTTCCAGACTCGTCCAGCCGCAAGAACCGTTCCTCAAACTCGATGATGCACTAGCGCCACGCGCACTTCTTCGCCGCAAAACACGAAAGCGTTCTGACGGGGCGTCAAATGCCCTACTCATTCACAACAAGCTGCGTTCCGGTCATTCGCTGAGCGTGCTATGAATTTGCACAGATGAGAATGCTGAGTTCGCGGTATCGTAAGGACGGAGTAAGCGTCAGAAAGTATGAGTCGATAGAAGAAACATCCAGCCTGGACCTCGGCGCGGTTTTACTCGCAGGACACCAACGATTATCGGAAGACTGTTTCTTTGACTCGAGCCATGGTTTTCGGCTGGGAGCCTAATCGCAATCGCTCGAAGCAGCATATTTGCGCTATTGGTCCACTCGGTGCAATCATGCAAATTTGACGCCACTGGACTCTGTCCCAATTCAAATATATAGGCGGGCACTTTTGGAATGGCCTTCAAGGATCCAGAATCTGAACCTGCAGTGCTCGCACGAGTCGGCCAGATGAATTCATTGGGCACACGCGACTGACCGAATATATAAACAATCTAAAGTGTTTGGCGCCTATGCCAGACCACTGCCATACTCGCTCGTCATGAGCAACGACTAGCCGTAGACAAGAGGCAAAAGCTGTCGGCGGAAGAAGCTTGCGCCGGTGTTCTTTGAGCTATGAATGAAAGAGGTGCATCTGCCAGAACTCAACCAGCAGCAACGTTATGAGCTACCGAGAGATTGACACTGCATACTCGTGAAAGACCCTTTCGGCTGGCTAGGCCTAATCATGGTCTCCCTCGAAGTCAACATTTCGCACGTTTGTTCACTTATCGTATATGCTCGGCGAGCCGACTTCGCGCTATCGAACCCATAAAGTCAGCTGTCACTGAAGAGTAGTCGGTCTGCCCCGCTAGGCAGGCTCGACGCCAAGAGGGGTGACTACTTGACTGTCTCGGCTGGATTCGAGCCAAAACCTCGTGTTATCTCATCATAATCGTCATCATGGCTAGCGCTCTACTGCAAGATAGCTCTGAGTGAGCGTCAAGCGCAATTTATAGCATGCTAGTCTTCCGAGCACCACGTCTACGATTTCATGACCGTGAAGCGACATCCATCAGATGGCCTTTACTCCGGTCGGCACACGAATGAATCATCTCCATTCGGCACACGCCCAAACACAGCAACCGTTGATTGAACTTCTGCGTATCATCAGGCAGGCTACGACACTTGTAAGTACACGAACAGCAGCGAACGCGCGACAGGGTGATGTATCTATGCCATAGTCAGCTGTTAGTGACGCTGTATGCGCAACGCTTCTGCGACGACGCTCGCCTTGCTTTGCGCGCTATATGATGCCATCTGGCCGCTCGTCCGCTCGGAATGCAGTATCACCCCGGGGACGCTGTCTGTAGCATCGGTATGCCTACCGACTCCAAGGATCATCGAGCAATGGCTCGGCGATATCAGTCAGATGAGCTTGCCCAGGTGACGAACAACGTCTGACCACCCGTGCTCGCAGACTCTAGGGGCCCCTTCTCACCCGTCTTCGTAATAATACAAAATGGCTTGCGCCTTGGCAGCGATCCACCTGTTCCCGAAACAATCCGAGCCAGAAGTCTTCCCTCGGCGGCCATACATGCAGGGCGCTCAGCCCATTACACGCAGTAGGTACATACAGCGTGCAATCCCTGCGTCGATGCTGATCACATGACACTGCAAGCTGGCTGCTTGAGACCAGTCGACCGCAGAGCGCGCGTACTATGCGTTACAGGTGCTGCACTCCGTACAGCGACCGAACCGGCGATGTCCGCCAGGCCTCGTCACCGCCGGCGAATCGATGTGCGCTTTGACTGCATTGGTTGACATTGTGCTGAATCACATTTGCATGATTGCTGTCAGATCAACCGCGGCTCTTGAAGGTATTCCCTCGTCCAAATGTGCCATCTGAGCGTGAACAAAGCAAAGCTGGACGGAGCTGATGTCTCCGTGGCTGCGTTGGCACATAGCGAAGGCAGATCAGGGATCAACATGGTCATTGCAATTGGCACTTTACCTTTGACGCTGTGGCATGTGTGCGCACGCGCATTACCACAGCCTGTCCTGAACGTTTGAACTTTCGAAAGGCGCTGACGAGTCACCAGCCCGGTCAGCCTGATGCCGGCCGTTGCCAGTGATTTCTAGTATCAAGGCCTCGTAGTACGGCTGTGAGTTGCGAAGCTGCCGATCCTGCCCTCCCCCGCTGACACTCGGCAGGCTCACGACTCGTTGCAGTCCAGATGTCTGCTCGAGCAGCCAAGCGTCGCAAAGTCGATTCTCCAGACCGTCCTGCTCTTGCGCAAGAGGCTCGAGACTCTTCACTGCATCGGGATGGAGCTGCACCGTCGACGACGGTCTTCAATGGCTCACTTGCAGACCATGAGCAAGGCCGACATCCCAATGAGCAGACGATCATCTCACTCGATGAGCCTGAGAGGCCTCAGCAAGCTCAGGAGCCTTCAACGGGAGCTGTGACTGAGTCTATCGGCCCACAATCAGCCAGTGAGCCTGCGTCGAGCGATGTAGTCTCGCTCGCTCCCGTCGTCACCGAGGCACAATCTGCCGCAACAGTCACAGCAAGCGCACCTCCTCAAGACGGTCTGCCGGCGATGGAGACTTCCAATGCGGCTCTCGCGAGCGGCAACAGCACAGACCAAGCTGCGGCAAGTTATGCAGATGCTCTGCGTAGCCAGCTCGCGCAAGCAGGTATCACAGCTGAACAATTGGCGGCAAGCTACACGCCGGATGCTGCAAGCCTGACTGCAAAGCAGCTTCGGCTGCCTGAATCTATAGAGCAACTCATGGCCATCGGTGATAAGCTCGCTCAGGCCGAGGCAAACGAGATCTCTCTCATCTTTCGGCTGCCCGATCTCAGCCAGCTGACGCGCGCTCGTGCATCTGCGAGCCCTGGGCTCCAAGATGCAGCCGTCATAGCTGGCAAGCAGCATGCCCTGGACGGCAAAAGCCAGGTCCTCGAGCATTTCGTGCTAGAGGACGAGGGCGCTCCTGCTGGGCCAGACGAGGAGACGGCGGCGCGCGATGGTCCCAACTTCGGGAGCGGTCGAATCATTCGCTATGCACCCAACGGCGATCGCCTCTGGGTCTGCGAAAACAAGGAATGCAGCAAAGTTTTTGCCCGTCTCTACAATCTGCGCTCCCACGAAAGGTCACATCAGGACGAGAAGCCATACCAATGCCCTGTCTGCCCCGTCGCATTCGCCCGCAACCATGATCTCAAGCGGCATGTGAAAATACACGTCTCTTCAAAGTCGTATCTTTGCAGAGGCTGCGATAAGAACTTCTCGCGCATGGATGCCCTCAAGCGCCACAAGGTCAATCCCAAGTCAAGCGAAGAATGTCGCAATTCGGCCATCGAGCCGGACAAAGACATCGAACAGCGTGGCAAGGCAGAGACAGAACAGCTGCTCATCCAATCAGAGATCAAGAGCTCGGCTGCTGCCGGACGTCCGATGGGTATCGTTCGACTGCCCCGCAACAGTGACTCGCCCAAAGCCCGTCCTTCACCGGGCCCAATCACGCTTCCAGCTACGAATTCAGCTGCGACAGTTGCAAGGCCTGGCTTACCGCCAACGCCTGCCGGTACAGCTCGTCCGACCAATGCCAGCGCGGCTCGGCCTGCTTATCGACCTCCTGCAGAGGCTGTCATCACACCGGCCGACAATGCGACAGCCGCTACAGTCGTGCAACGCCTTCAGACGCTCATCGCACAGCATCACGAGAAACGAGCAAAGGAGCGCACAGAGCGTGCTGCGCGGGGCGAGCCGCCCGATCAACCGGGCGATCAGACGCCAGAAAAGATCATCAGCGAGACACTCGCAGACGCAAAGCTCACTTCTGGGCAAGCTGCTGCTCTGCTACGTCTGCTCACCCAGGTTGCTCAAGCTTCAGGACAAAGCGTTGCCGGGTCACGCGCGAATCCGGCAAGCAGACCAGTCGCACAGGCAACAATCAAGCCAGGTCAAGCCAGACCAGCGCCAGCGCTTGTAACACAGACACCAGGACCTTCGTCTCGGCCTGTTGGCACGGCTATAGCTGTCTCCGCACCCAGCCGTGTCATCGCGGCGCCTGCTCGATCGGGTCAGGCAGGCACAAGCGCAACACAAGCACCTGTTCAGACGATGCCCGCTCAGCGTACAGTCTCAAGCCCGATCGTCACTCGACCGATGACACCGGTGCTTGCAGTCCCTGTGCCTGATACCAGTATGCCAAAGCCCAAGCCAGCCGCAGCCGCGATCCCCCCACAACCTCGATAGGCCATCACTTCCGGCTCCTCGTCAGATGTTGTTGCCAAGATACATGTACATTGTCTTGAGCATGCGCGTCGAAGGCGTTCCGCGTGCTTCCGTGTCTCCGCCGATTTTGCATGTCCTTCTCGCTCTTGGCAGAAACACCTCGGTAGCTCTCACTCGATACTTGCGCAATAGACTGCTGGCACGGTCAAAGCACGACGTTCTTGCTCTTCACAACTTGGCTACTACTTCTTTGCGAGCATGGTCCGCAGAATCGTCATACTCGCGACATGTGCTCGACTTATCACTGCACACGTCGAAATGACCAAGCCTTACCCATTCCGCTCGAAATTCGATCCTGGTACGAGCCATCCGCGCCTCGGATGCCCCGCTGAGAGAACGGTGACAGATAACCAAGCGAGCCAGAACATCGATTGGACAAACACCGCGCCCCTGATGGCAGACGGCTCTAATTTCCCTTGCAAAGGCTACCTTTCCGACCTCGACCGTACAGCTCCCAAGGATACTTTGACAGCCGGGTCAGCTCTTTATCTGTCCCCGCTGACCAGGTGCACCTGCTGATGAGCAAGGCAGGCAAACGTACACGACAGAGTTTGCAGGCACTGCCACGCACGGCGGCGGTAGCTGTCAATGGGCTCTCTCGTACGACGAAGGCAGAACATTTGCGGTCATGTGCGTCGTGGGAGGAAGGGATAGCTGTCACTGATGCTGTGCAAACAGCCATTCTGTCATTGGCGGCTGCCCACTCGCGTCGTCCTACGCTTTTGTCGTACCATCAGACGCGCCAGCATCGACGAAAGCTGTGCTGAGCTGGACATGGTTCAAGTAAGTATTTCTCACTCATACCGACCGGCTTCACTGACGCTTGGATCACGCAGCCGCCTCGGAAATCGCGAGATGTATCAAAATTGCGCAGTTGTTGCTGTCAAGAACCCGAGGCAAGCTAGCACATGGTCAGGTCCAGCGATCGCGCAAGCCAATATCTTTGGCAGCAACTGCATGTCAGTTGTGGTTATGGCGAGGTCAAATGGAAGCTGATTTGAGGCTGATAGCGCCCCCGAAGGGACGGAATTCGTCTATCCGAATCCCGGCAAGAGCACCGTCTATGGAGGCTCCTACGTATCTGGGGCACAACCGAAGTCGGCGATCATGACCTCTTGCTCGTTCGACTTTCTACAGAACGTACTCCTCACCGCGCCAGACATTACAGGCGGCATGCATCAGGCCCAGGCAACATCGAGTGCCGCTCGCAAGAATCACACGCTTCGCCCGCGGCCTCAATATGTCAAACCCATCCTGTCTAGCACGCGACATGTCAGCAAGTCCGGAAACACTACCAAGCAGCGTTTGCGGATGACGAAGATACAGTCGACGCGTCGACCTACGTCGGTCGCTCTGCCGAAAGCATGCTCGTACGGTGGCATACGATGCATAAGCAAGGGCTACGCTTTTACGATGTGTAGCAACGGCAAGGAGGTCAACATGGGTATATTCGATCCAGTCTGATATATTCAATTCAATGCTGATTGTAGGCTTAGGCTCCGTGGCGTTTGGCACGAAATGTGTCAACGGGGCGATCATGCACGAATAAAATCTTGCGAGGGGACACGACAGATCCGTCCGGGTGAGGTCTCATCTCGATGAGCACACCGACCGGCTGTGTCTCAGCGGTCTAGGTACGGCTCTCGTTGCGCAGGCTGGCATTGGCTCACCCGCTTCAGATCTGACCACGCTGGCCGGCAGTGCACTTGATCTTGCACAGATGTGACGTCTTTGGAGTCGTAGGCATACAATTGTCCACAGACTCACGATGTATGCTATCGGACACACGACTCGCGCCAGCAGAGGCTGCCTTGTATGATAATCTGCATGAGCCTTACAGTCTAAATTCTTTGTGCATTCGTCATATGCGTACAACTCCGCCAACAGCGGTCAGAAGCATAGCATCAACGTTTGCTGGCAATGCTGCGTCAAGCTGATGGAAGAAAGCGACGCCTGGCTTCTCTGCGCTATTTTGACTTGTTGCGGGATGCATGCCTTGCTCGTCAAGTCCACTGAAATCGATGCGCAAGCTGGCGAGCGCCTCGTCTGCCTCGCTGACGTCACCTCGCTGTCCCTTGAGGCGCTGGCTTTGTCTTTGGGCAGCCTCAAAGGCTGGCTGATCTAGCTGTAGCGTAAGATCGAGCGTCCATTTGTCATTGCCATAAGAAGAAGCTTCTTTGACGTGATGGCGCACATGGCCACGTTCGGCAGGCGAAGGTAAGTCCCATGCCACTACATCGCCGTCAAACGCAATCACGGACCAGATGATACCTGGATGATCGATAACGATGGTCAGACTTCGCTGCTGCTTTACTGCATTGAGCCGGGAGTCTTTGGCATAGATCTTGAAGGTTTCTGCCCATGGTGAATGATATGATGCAGGTGCAGGCGGTAGAGGCACCTCGTAGCTCAGCAGAAACTGCGAGACGGGATAGGTAACATCCCAAGAAGCGACATAGTCGTTGATATCGGTCATGACGGGCGTGGCGCCTTTGATGTCGACAGCCCGGGCAGCCTCTTCGACGAGCTCCTTGAAGAACGGAGCTCGATCTGCGCTTGCGGTATGAAGTGCAAATGCGGGAGGTGAGGTCGTGGTGTTCTCCATATGAAGCACAAATATGCGCTTCGGATGGCCAGGCGTGACTGCTCGCTAAAAGGGTAAGTCATATGCGATATTGCAGCCGAGCTGTACCCACAAACGACCCAACCAGGCTGACTGAAGACGATGATGACAGTGACAGTAGCCATGATAGCAAAGAGCCACAATCGCTTTATAAAGCCGCCACCGAAGCGATGCATGAGTGGGATCAGCATTGGAAAGCACATGATACCAACAGCACTGAGCTTGTCGTTCAGCGCTGCCCGTTGAACAGCTTACAAGGTGGCGTACCTTGTGATGGTAGCGATAATGTTGTCGACCGGCGCATCAGCGCCTACGCGGCCTGTGAGAGGCACGAAAAGGTCGAGAAAGCCAATGAGTCCTTCTGTACCGACGATTGCCGGCAGTAGCTGGCCGAGGAAGTAGGCGCTGTTCGCGACCCTGCTGCCCTGCTTGCTAGCCGGTGCGAGCAGATAGTCGTTGAGTACTACCACGAGTAGCGCCCAGGCCGCACTCAGTGCGAAGAGGTATGCAGACAGTATGCCGGCCGAATGTCCGATAAGAGCTGCTACGGTATAGTAGGTGACGGTACCGACGAGCGCGGCGTGCTCAAGCGTTCCGTCGCCATGCGTGACATAGCCTCGCCTGATTGCTAGCCGGCGCGTGAAGTGCTGCACGAGGGTCACGCCAAGTAAGGCAGGAAAGCTGAAGAGATAGATGCACAAGTGCTCGTGTCTGAACCAGCTGAGAGCACGTCCGAGCAAGTTTCCTTGAATGACCGCCACCACGTTGGCAGCAACGATGCCGGAGAGCAGGCTGATGGGTATACTCGCGGTCATGAGAGCATAAGCAGCCTTTTGCTGCCATCTCACTTTGGCGCTCATAGTGACGACGGCAAGTGCAGCGAGCATGCTGTATCCTACTGCGGCTTGGTCTTTGCTGAAAAGCACAAATACCTTGCCGCCCAGCGCAGAGAAGAAGACCGAGTCTTTCGAATGTGTGATGTCTGAGATGTCGACATCTTGCGAGGTCAGCCAGTTGAGCATTGCTATCGTGTTCTCGCCCATATGCTGGAGAGCACCCGGCTCGATATATTCGACGACGTCCAGCCGTGTATGATACTTGTACGAGTCTTGCACAAGGGCCATATCCAATCCTGTGAGGTTGCCGTAGGTTTCGAATTGTCGAAAGTCGGTGTCGGACAGGATGATACCGCTGCTGAATATCTCGCTAGCAATGACAGTCGCGTAAGGATACGGCACATGAGAATAGGCTTGCACCATCTGACCGGGAGTCAGCTGCGACTAGGCCCGCACCAGGATCTCACCTTTGTAGAGGTTGCCTGAAAGAGGATCTCTGGCCCCGCCACGCCGCATGCTTCGAGATTGATGACAGCGCGTATAGAATGGCGCAGCGGATGCTTGGTGATGAAAAGATGCGAAGCGTCCTGCAGACTCTCTTCTGCGCCGTTGAACACTATATAATGCGTAAGCCTGGTAAACGTGACAATGAGGAGCGCTGACAGAAAACGATCGAGTTGTATAGACGCCGGTCAGTGGAGCTCATCACTCGAAGGGTCTCCAGCATGACGCCAACGCCAGCACCATCATCTGCCGCTCCTGGACTTGGCAGCGTCGAATCAAGGTGCGAGTTGACTAGGATGGCGTTACGTTTGCTTTCCTCTGTACCGTCAGAGAGTCTGACGATGACATTGTCGAGCTGATAGTACTTCTTCCAGACCTTTTTGTTCATGAAGTCGAATAGATGCGCGCCGTCATCCTTTTGGTGCCATACTTCGATTTGATGCATGCCTGCCAACGGTGATGCCGCTAGCTGGCGCTGGAGGTCCCTGACTTGCTCAAGCAGATAGTCGACAGCCTCGACCATCTGCTTCGTGCCAACGATCCGATAGCCTACGTCCTCGCTGAGATACTTGATGACGTCCAATGCTCGTGCCTCTGAAAATTGCGAGTGTCCCGTGACGGGGCTGACAAGGGCTTGATTGGGCGTCGGTAAGGCATAATGTAGCTTCTGAGCGACGTAGCATAGCACGCCGACGTAGACTGCGAGCCAGGCTAGCAAGGAGGACGCTGAGAGGCTCTGTCCATTCGTCTGTGCTGCTCCTGTCGAGCGTTCGTACCTGCTCGGCCTAGCCATGACGCCTGACAATGCCGCCGAGGTGAGGCGTAGAGTAGCAATCGCTCGAGCGTGTCCGCTACTCAGTGCATGCAGGCCTTACCTTGTCGTGGCTTGCGCGGGCGGAGAGGGCTCGAAAGAGACGGGCTTCCACGGGCGCTCGCAGCGGTCGAAAGGCTCTCCTGCTATAGCGAAGCGGCTCCCGGTGTATGTGTGAGATGCTATGCTAGCAGCCTGCTAATGAACATTGAAGTGCGCAATCCAATTCGATCCGACTCATGATGAATTGGTAATTCCGCGATTATCAATATCAATCGACAGACATGCGCATGCCGGTCCTGTCGCCATTCTCAATTGTCGACTATCCCTGCCACTCGCCGAGTTTCTTTCCGATGGACGGCCTCAGCTCGCTCAGGCGTGATCAACTGAGGTGTCCCATCGCTGCTTCCGAGATGGCCAATCAGGTCATACTCGACGCAAGCGAGTAGTTTCAGGGCTGGAGCAAGCAGCTGAGAGAAGCAGCAGAGAGCAGCAGCGAGACAAGAGCGTCACTGCATGACACGAGAGAGGTGTCCATGCAGCCACTTTGGCAGCGAGAACAGTATTGCACATGAGGACAGACCAAAGCAGGCACCGCTGAACAAGTATGAGGCGACCTAGTGCGCAGAAAGCCGCCACCAAAGTGAGTTGACCGACAAAGCGGCCAGATACTCGCGGACCGTCCATGAATTTCACGAGTTCGCGCGCGCAGCTCCCAATTCGATTCGTGGCATTTATGAACCGTCGCGTCAAACGACCCTTTGTGGCATCTGGCCGACTTATCTGCAGACTTGCATATCTCCTGTGACCGGACATGACCTCGCAGATCATGTATGCCTTAGCGGTCTTTGCGAGAGCCGGCTGCGATCGCCGCGATTGGGCAGAAAGTTTACCAAGGTCCCAGGGCTGTCGAGTCTCACGATAAGTGAACAAATGTGCGAAATGCTGGCTTCCAGGGAGACCATGATCAGGCATTGCTAGCCGAAAGAGTCTTTCACGAGTTGTCAGCATCAATCTCTCGGTAGCTCATAACGTTGCTGCTGGTTGAGTTCTGGCAGATGCACCTCCTTTTGATTGGTGATCAAGCAAGGCAGCTTGTTGAAGCCAACTCGCCGCTGACTGATAGCCCGCTGGAGCGGAGCACCGCCCTGGCCCCTCCTCCTCACAGTGGCTCATGGACTCTCGCGGTGGCGCAAACATTAAAGAGCGTCGCTGCCCAGCACACTCGGATTCGCGACGAGTGTCTTGCCCTCCTGGCCCCGGCGGTGTCCTACGGTCGATGAACGTCGAGCCTGCTGCCAGCTCAGACGATCCTCGACAGCGCATACCGCCAGACAAAATCCTCAGGACAATCTCGCCGACGCTGGTTCACCACTATGAACCCGCTCAAGATGGGATCGACTCCAATCTGCTCGTCATGTTGCACGGACTAGGTGCATACTCACAATCAGGTTGAGATGGCATTGCCGAGAGCTCATGAGGCGCCAGGCGACACACAGAAGCCTTTCTCTGCACTCGGCAGGAAGCTCAACCTGCCGCAGACTGCTGTCTTATCCATTCAGGCACCTCGTAAGATCGTCTGGCTCGCAGACGAAGAGTGCTACGAGTGGTGGCAGCATTTTGACGTCACTGGCGAAGGTCAGCAGGGAGCACAATGTGGGGACACAATGGTCACTGACAGCGTACGCATGAGCTAGTCATCATCGAGCAGGATCCGAGCAAAGCAATCGCATGGCTATGTGACATCATCGACTCGCTTCGTACGATCTGGCGTTCAGAGCACATCCATTTCTTTGGTTTCGGTCAAGGCGGCAGCCTGGCTCTCGAAACGTGCAGGGCGCTATCGCGCGTGCAACTCAGGCTTGGCTCGGCAGTGAGCATCCAAGCCGGTCTGATGTCTCTGCCAACTGCGGGGAGCGCTCGCTCAGCGACGCCTGTATTGCTCTGGCTTGCCAAGACACCGGTTCAGGCTGATCAGAGCCAGTTCGAGCGATCAGCAGTCAAGCTGCAGACCTTGCCGATACTGCACCGCGCTTTCGAATCTGCGGAGCTGGCCCGGGTCGCACTGCAAACAGGCATGCCGCGATCTCAAGCAGACTGGTTGCCCATCATGCGCTTCTGGAGCCAGCATCTCAGGCGGAGAGAGGCATGGGAGCTACAGCTGGACGAGTCTGTCTTTCGCGTCTTACGGTGAGTGATTCTTGCAACAACAAATGACGACAGAATACATCCTCCTAGCCAGCGTAGCGAGTATATGTGCCTCTTGTCATCCATGATTCAGCTTGCTTGTTCGCGCCTGGCTTGAGGTAGAGTGACTCGACAGCTTTGCTCCTCGCAAGCTTGCCTTGTTCGAGCTGCACTGCCAGCATTTGAGGCATGCTCGTCCGCACTGTCGGCTCAGGCTTTGTGTCTGACTGCACGATGCGCTTCTTGCTGCCTTCCTGATCCGCCTCATGAGGCAGAGCCTTTTTGCGCTTCCTGGACTCGCCGCCGGCAAGCTTGTCCGTCTTTCTGCTCGCTCTCTCGGCTTTCTCGGCAAGGCAGCGTTCTGTCCAGGCTAGCCGCATCTGGTCTGCGAGCACGCCGGTCGGGTGCAACCTCACGATCTCTTCCTCCTGTCCGTCCTTGTACGGGACGCCCGTGACGGGACACTCCCGCCGTCTGTCGCTGGCCGCCGATGCACGAAGGGAAGCGAGACCGAGCTCGGAGACGACGGCGCCGGAGGGCCGCAAGTAGACAAATGGCAGACCGCCGTTCATCTCTTTGAGCGTGATGGGGCAGACAAAGTGACTGGTCTCAAAAGCAGTCTCCCTGCTGTCCTTGTAGGCTGTCTGTCGATCTTCGTCCGACTTGAGCAGCGGGTTCGGAGTCAGGACGAGATTGGTGACATCCTTGAGTGATCGGATGTGGCCTGCTGTCGCCTGACCCTCGGCGCCAAAGGCAGCAGGATCGAGCAGAAAGGTGAGCAGCGCAGTCTTGTTGTAGATTTTGCCGAGCGGACAGGCCACACAGGGAGGCGAGAGGGGTTGCTGTCGCCGTCCAGGGAGCATGAGCATGCCTGCCTGACAAGGAGTGAGTGGCGTGTCATTGCGTACCTTTGAGAGCGCACAGAAGAACCAGATCGCTCTCTGGATCTGTCTGACATCGCCCGTCTTTGGCTTTGCTCGTGTCTTGACGAGTTCTGTGCGTTGGGCGATCGATCCGCCGTCATTGCCCATCCTCCTATCACTCTCCCCGCAGCTTCCGTATTTTGCAGGTGAGGAGACAGAAGAGACGCGACGGGCGGGCGCGATAGCAACAGTCAAAGCCTCTCAGCTGTGCCTGTGCAGCCTTATCAGCGGCAAGGGCGTGGACATGGACGACGCCGACGATTCTTTTGCGTTCACAACGGTACCCTTTGGCGCACAGACGCCCAGGAACACCAGAAATGGAGTGACCACCTCATCCTCAACTGCCCGTCCGTCTACAACAGCGACAGCAATGCCGGGCACCTCCAGGCAGACACTGCCCGCTGTGCAGAGTAGTAGCACACATGTACACAATGGCACGTCACGCCTCACGCCTTGGCAACAGCACGAAGAGAGGCCCGTTGGTCCCTCCTCGTCTGCCTCCCAGGCTGTCCAAGCTCTCTCGACCCGCAAACGGCAGTCGCTCGATAGACGGGCACGGAGGAGTAGTGCCTATGCACTTCCCTCTCCGCTCGAGCCGCCAGCCATGCCTGTCGTGCCTACGCCTCGGCCACCTAAGCCCGCAGAGCAGCGCGGCTACATTGCAAAGACCGTCAAAGGTGTGCTTCATGGCGCTGTCGCTTTAGATAGGCTCCACTGAGGCGCACTCTGTCATAGAATCGCCTCATACGGCTCACCTTGCCGACGGCAGGTTGTATGAGCACATAGATCCGAGATTACCACAAGACGAACGCGCGCAGATCTTGCTCACCTGGCTTGTCACACGCTTCAAGGATCGAGCCTTGCTCGCCGCCGACCTCAGCGCAAGCACCAGTGAGGCCTCCACCAACGAGATGGCTCTTCGCATCATACAGGCCGTTCATCATGATGTCACGTCGCGCCTCGTCGATCTTTCGCCTGCCAGGCTACCAGTAAGCCTCTCTTGAAGCGATCATCCCGCCCAAATCTTGCGCTCATGCGTGCATGCCAGGTACTGCAAGTTCAAGAAAGGCAAGAAGCGCTTGACAGGCGTGGAGCGCCAAGTCAGCGCAACCTCACGAACAAAGCTAAGAAGATAACTTTGCAAGAACAGCAAGCACGGTGCGTGAATCTACTCTCTTCAGCTCACCGAGACTGAGTTGCCTGTCTCCTCAGCTTCCAAGCCGAGAGTCTTGCGCGGATAGCTAAGTTTAAGAGCTATGGCGTTCTCAAGTCATCTGCCGACGCCTATATCTCTGCAGCCGACCGCTTGACGGCCGAACTTACTTCCGTCGATATCTCTTGCCCTCTGCCACTGCTGGCTGGCTCGTCCGATGAGATGAGTTTGCAAGTGGATGCATGGAAACGTAGAGCTGGCGCATTGCCAAGCTCAAGTCCATCTGCTGCCCAACGCCTGGGCATCGACATGGACCTCATTCGCAATGACGTGCGTGTCCGATCTATTGAGAGATACCCTATCTGACCATGTCCGAGCAGATCGCCCACGCCAGAGTGCTCAGCCATCGCATAGAGCAATGCGTCGACCTGGCGAGCAAGTATATCGAGGCGCGGCAGGCTCAGAATTACCGACACCTCCGACACCTCAATGGCCTGGCCGATGCGGCCATAAGTCGCCAGCATGATGCAGACACAGGCGACGCTTTCATGACAGGCATCAGTGACCTTGCCCCACCGGCGGACGGCACGACTTTAGCTGAAGACCCCGTTCATCTTCTTGAAGCAGTCTCACAGGGTGTATGATGTAATGCTCGGGACTGTTGTAGACCTTGTGACCGTGTTGTGCAATACAAGTAGCGTAGTGTGTTACAGACAACAGGGACGTATATGATAACTGCAGCGTGCTGCACCGATGGGTGCGACTATTGACGGAATGTCTGACTTCGTGCAATGGCGCCGCGGCTTCCTGGCTTGTAGCTGCTCAGAGCAGCAGAGCTGGGCTTCTTGATAACTATCTGAGATCTGCTGCAGCTATCGACAGCCGGTTCCTCCGTTCGGCTGAGCGCTGTGTTCGTGTTCGCCGAGACCTCTAAGAAAGCCTTGCGACCGGCGCCGGCGCCTTTCTGAACAGCCGACAGTGCCTGACGCTTCTCCTCCTGCGTCATTTTGCTCCAGGTCTCGCGATCTGGGAGCGTGACGGGGCTTTTCGCCCCCGTCTTCGGCGTAGATAGCGATTGCTGCTGGCTCGCGGGCGCAGGCACCTTGGACAACGTGGCAGAGGTTGCGCTTCGCGAGAGAGCTGCCCGCCCGCCATCCGTCAGGGTCTGATCAGCAAGAAGGGTGCCCGGTTGAAAAGGAGAGAGCGTCGGTCTGGCCTTCGTGTCTATATTGTCGGCATCACCAAGCAGAGTGCCCTTTGCGAAAGGGGTCGCGGTCGACACAGGCTCAGCGATGACAGCCGCCTTCAGACTTGCCGCTTTGAGGTCGGCGTACGATCGGGAGTCCAGGAGCGTACGCGTCTTAGAAGGTTGCAGCGCATTCGTGTTCGCATCTAGAACCGGCGAGACGACCGGAGAGGGCGCGCTTGAGACGGTCGTGGCATTCTGCTTGGCTTGCGCCTTGAGCATGGGTATCTAGCGGCACGTCAGCCTGGTTCCGTCGCTAATCCAGGAGAACTTACTCTAGCCTCCAAGATTGCTCTGACCCAGGCATCGCGTTCGTCGGCTGTCTTGACTGAGAAGAGATGCGTATAATCCTTCTCAGCATCCTCGAATAAGGTCACGGCATCGAGGCTCTTGATGGCGAATGCGAAAGGCTTTGGACATTTGAGCTTGGTAGCGAACATTGGCTTCACAATATAGGCGTCATATCGCGCAAGCGAGCAGAGATGAACGACTTCTTTCGCCTGATAAAACAGGCTCAGCATCTGTGGTGCGACGGTATGCGCGCAGCTTACCTTCTCATTCTTAGACCATGATATCGAGCAGTCTTTGACTTCGAGGTAGCGTTTCTGCCATTTGCCGCGCTTAACCTCCATCTGTATCATCGTACCCATAGCCTCGTTTGCGTCGACGCCTTCATTCGAGGTGCGGAGCAGCGAGGCAAAGTACGTCTTCTTGGCGATCAGGACACCCGTGTGTGCCGTATCTGGCGTCCATGAGGCACGAACGTCTGCGACGCGCTCGTACTCGCGCAGCGGTCGTTCTAGCCCGTGATTTGACCAGTAGTCCCACAACGCCCAATTGCCCTTCTCTTGCTCGCTGCCCGTGAGAGCACCTTTGACGGATAGCTGCTCGAGCACGTCTTTGATTGTAGTAACCGCAGAGATGCTGACAGTACAAGAGTGGTCGACATCTCCCACAAAGATCCTGAGGAGTTCACTTCCTGCTTCTGCAAGACGCGTTTCGACATTCTGCGAGACTGCAAGCAAAGGTTCTGGACCGCTTACGATTGGCGGTTGAGAGCGAGCCATTTCGGCGATCAAGGCTTCCGAGGTGCGCTGCACCTTATCGGTCTGTGCGAAGGTTAATTTCGATTCTTGCAAGAAGTCAGGCAAATTCTCCGCATGCGGAGAGGCGGGCGACATGCTGCGATTTGCGCTAGACCCACGCCGCGATTGTGATCGAGCCGCGACGCTTTCGTCTGTCTGAGGCAGAAGCGAATGCCCGACAGTGGCTAAGACAGGACTAGACTTTGAGCTTGAGCCGACCGATGCCCCTTGTACCTTGTCCAACTTGGAAGACAGCTCGTCTGCAGAGAAAGCAAAAGGGTTCCTGACGCTAGAGGAGCTTGATGTACGCTGCTTGGCATCAAGCTCGGCGCGTCGCCTAAAACGCTCTTCGTCGCGCAGATCTCGTTGGATGTCGAAAGCATCAGGGTTTCGTTGACCCAAAGGCGTGTCGTCGTCACTTTCATCGCTCATGACAGCGTGCTCGAGGACTTCGAGTCGATCGCTTGGCAAGCTTACAGCCTGCTCAGACTTATTCTCGCTGCAGACTGACGGCTCTCGGCGGAACTTCTGACCGGTGACCGACAATGGCGAATAGACTGATGACGGAGACGATGAGCGAGTAGAGTCTGCGCCCTTACTGTCGCGCAGTGGCAATAGTGACGATCGCCTAAGGGGCGCAGCGGCAAGCGTCGGAGAATTAGCCCAGGGCACGCTCCGAGCTGCAGGAGAGCTAGGTGACGCGAACGGTGACAAGTGCTGCGTGGTTGTGAGCGTTGGCGTCTGAGGCGGGGCGAAAGTTGCTAGTGGCGAGTCTGTGACCTCGAGATGGAGGTGCGGTCGCACGGCCCTCTCCGGAGAAGCTGGCTCGATGACAGAGATGTGACAAAGATCAGCGGCCTGAGCGCTGTGCGAGTGCGGCAAGCTGCTCGGCGCATCTTCCATCGGCGGTAGATCAGGAGCACCGATTGGCAAATAAGTCTGACGCCAAGAAGATGTAGCCGGAGGCACGGGCGACGGCAGTCCATGTGGCATTTGTGGCGCGAGCAGAGCCGATGTCTCGCTGTAATTCTCGGCAAAGAAGCCAAATGAGCTCGCGCCGTCGTCGATGGGTGGATTGTAGAGACTTCTTTGACTTGGAGGCGCCATAGACATGACCACAACGGGGGAGTTGGGCGGATTTGGCGCCAATCGCGGTGCGATGAAGGTATCGTGCTTGCTTGCCATTGGCGACGGCAGTCGTAGATTTGGCGTGCTGGCAGCGCGCAAGAGGGCCGGAGAGCTCGCGTCTGGTCTTGGCGTCGAGGGAAATGAGCCTGACAGTGCGATAGGCTGGGGCGCTTCACGGGGCTTGTTGAAGTCGCCTTCCTGCTCGTCTTCTTCGCCGGGTGGCACGAAAGGTACCAGTACTGGCACTGCATGATGCTCACTTGATTTGGAGCGACCGCTGAAGAACTTTGTGATCTTGAGAATGCCCCCAGACTGCTGTCGCTTCATGCGGGGAGCGGCTTTGCCAACTGGTAACTCGTCACCTGGGCCTGCGATCGGAACTCTGGCAGCTGAGGTGACGGCGACTGCGCGTGGTGAGCTGATGCTGTCAACACGTAGCTTGGGATTGCTGCGAAACAGTCTAAGCATAGGCCCACTGAAAGTGCGAGCGCGATGATCCTTGCCAGATGCAAGAGGCGTTTGCATCAGCGCAGGATCCTGTCAGAGATCGTGAGCGAAGTATCATAGATTGTATGAGCGTCCTCACCTCCAGGAGAGCATTCGCGCTCGGCGACCCAGCTTCAGGCCATTCTGTAGAGCAGTTCGTCATCGGAGACGCATCGGCTTGCCAGTCAGAAGTCATGGGCGAGGCGGCGATCGACGATAGGGCGCTCGTATCGTGCGCGAGAGGCGAAAGGCCGAGCTGTGGGCTGCTCTGATTGGCAAGCGAGTAAGGCTGCCATATAGCCGATTGCTCCGAAAGGCGAGGAGCAGTAGCATCGTTGCATCTGCTCACGGATGGGTGCTGGCCGGCAGCAGACACGAGGGAAGTATCAGCGCTGATGTGATGCGCTGAGATCTCGTAGCCTTCATCAAACTGGAATGAACCTGCTGTGGCAGCCCCAGCGAGCGAAGATGAGAGCAAGGGCGCCGCAGGCACGCCATGGGTGTACGCCAGAATCTCTGATTGCATACCAAAAGTCATCTGGGTGGACGATGTGGGCGGTGTGGGGAAGGCTGCGAGAGAGTGACTAATAATTTCGGGTTCGTCTGTCGACGTCGTCGAGAGGTTGGAACGCAGTGATTTGCTCGACATTGACGGCTGGATACCCATGCCTGCTGCGCTGACATGAGAGCCTCCAAGGTGCATGCTGTTGCTATTCATCTTGCGCGATTGATGATCCTTTAGCAAAGAGCCGGATAATCGCGAAGGGGTGTTAGCTAGAGCAGGGATAGAGCGAGAGCGCCGAGAAGCGATGCCCATGACAGCCCCGCCGGCATCATCGATGGGAGATTCTCTGCCCTGTCGGCCGATTCGTTGGTCGCCCTCATCGAGACAGATCTCCGTCTGCAGCTTGGCGAGCGTCACGGTCCTGAGCAAGGGTGAAGTAGCGTGTACGGGCGATTCACCGCGCGCGAGCTTGTCTAGGTCTGTCGAGATGGAATTGAGCGGCGTCGGGAAGCGGTCGAGGCTCTTGCTGGACAGCTCGGATGCGAAATGGCCAAGCTTGCGCAAAGGCGGTGGAGCGCAAGGCAGTTCGTCGTCGACGGCTGAGTCCTCGGAAAGGACAGGCAGGGTCGTCGAGGCTTTTATCAAGGGCGGCCTGGCCGATGGCCGCGGTATGTCGATCGGTGTGTTGTCGAGAACGAGCCTATCCTCTGCGAAACTATCGGTACGAGGGATCATCTCACGCTGAGCTGTCAAGCCCAATCCGGTCCGCTCGGGCTTCTTGATCTGCAATGCTTCGATGGGTTTGCTATACGGCAGCGAGGACGAGAGCGCGTTCGAGGCTGACAGGTTGTCCAACGGCAAAGGGTCGAGTTGGATCTGATCGAGCAATGAAAGCAAAGTGGGATCCATCTCCCATCCCATCTGTTTTGCTAGTCCCGGCAAAAGCGATCGGTGAGGGTCAAAGTTGGTCGCAACGCGATGACTGGCCAAGCTGGCAGCGATAGGCGGCCTTGAGCTTCCGAAGTTCATGTGATCCTTTGGGCCAGTCGACATGGACAACGAGGTCATGGGTGTGCTGAGGTCACTGTCTGATCGCGCCGAGTCATCATGTGCGCTCAAATGTGAGCCTGTTGAGCCGGCCGAGAAGGAGCGGCTGTCTGCGCTCGCGTTACTCATTGCGCGAGCTGAGGATGACGGCAGATAGCGATTGGTGCTTATAGTAGCTATGCTGGCCGGCTGTCCTAGGCCGAGCCCTAAGCCTTCCATGGCGCAACTCTGAGAGCCTGGCAGCAGCTGTCAATGAGTGTGTTTTGGTCCTGTGTGACTGCCAGCCGAGCAGAACTCAGAAGGTCAATCGAACGGTGCAGAAGCGAGCTCACAGTGAGGCAGTCGGCCGCCTGAACGTGTGCCTGTCTCAAACTTTCCTGTGCCACTCGCCCGCGCTGACGAAAGTTTGGCAAATGTTTCGGGCACGTCGTCAGCGCTACCCCCTTTGTCGCGTCGCTATCACGTGATCGAAGCCGATGGGGCAGCCTGTACTACCTGAAGGTGAGGCCATCTCGCCTGGACGACAGACGAACGACTGGATCGGCTCGACAGCAAGCCATCATCGCGCGGCACTGATCCATCATCAGCCTGCCTGGCGATCAACGAGGTTGGGGACGATGTCAGGTCCTCAGACGGGGCCAAGCACAGACTTGCCCCAGCGGCAAAAAGTGAGCCGGACATCGAGTAAGATGCCAAGGCGGACGAGGACCGTGCAGAGCTCCCTCTCGACAGACTGGCCACGTACATCACTCGTCCTCCTTGCAACAGTGGCCCTCGCTTGCCTGGTCAGTGCGAGTGCTGCGGATACCGTCCCTATCGCGGGGTCAGCGGGCGATCAGGTCCAGTTCCGCGCACCGCCGAGCCGGGACGCACATGCTTTCATGCCTGCACTGTCCTCCTACGTCGATCGGATAATCCAGAGCGTCACTGCTGGCAAGAGTCAAAATGACGAGGAGGATCGCCTGTTAGAAGTTGAAGCGAGAATTGCTGCGTCCGCTCACGAACATGATTATCTCAGCGGAGCCACAGACGAGCAGAAGGGCCACTTTGACCCTACCACATTCGTACGGCAGCATAATCTCGACCAGCTACTGCATGATCTGCCGTCTGCAAAAGACATCCTCTTTCCATCGGCGAGTCGCGCCACCGGAGTGAAGGGTCGAACGAGCGCCGAAGAAGCCAGAGAAATGGAGCGTAAGGCACATTCGGTCGCTGAACTCATCGCAAAGCTCGACTTTGAGAGCTTGCAACCTCTCTCGTCCGAAGAACGCAAGCTCTTTGATCCCGAGTACCACGACAAGAACTATCGCAATCGCAAGCGCGCCCAGCCCATCAACACTGCCGGTCTGCCAGATTATCCACCCACGTGGCTCAACATCAACGATGTGACCACAGTCGCATCTTTGAGCAACGCCGTCGTTCGTCGGATGCAGACCTGGCTTGGCGACAACTTCCAATACGAGTGCGTGCCGCGTTTTCGCGCATGCTGCATGTCAAAGTATCTGACCATGCGACAGGTGGACACCATGGTGGGAGAATCCCGTGCTTGGTATCGCCTATGCGGATCTTGATCTCGCGCTCGGCAATTCTGCAAATCGTACGCTGTGATTGATCACTAGCTTCACATGCTGATCCGACACGTGCAGAGGCTCTCGTCACGGGCATGCTCAATAACAATGACATGGGCGTCGACTACATGATTGACAAGTACATCGACGATCAGGCCTGGTGGGGCCTCTTTGCTCTCAAAGGCTACCAACTCTACGGCAATTCAACCTGGCTCAAGTCAGCTGCTGTGATTCAGCAAAACTCTTCGCTCTACTGGGACGACAAGTGCGGCGGCGGCGTTATCTGGTTGACTTACGAGCCCAACTACAAGAACACTGTCACCAACACGCTATATCTCGCCCTTAATGCTCGCCTCTATCGGGTCACGGGAACAGCATACTATTACCAAGAGGCAATGCGCACGCTCAATTGGTGGCTCGGATGGGCGTTTGATCCCACCACGGGCAAGGTCTACGACGGACTGACCGATTACCCTGAATGCGCGCCAAGTGGCTACCAGATCTTCACGTACAAGTAAGCCTCGAGCTTTTGCCTGTTAGCCGAAGCTGATGTTGAGCACTAGCTCTGGTATCATCCTTACCGGCCTCGTCGATCTCTACTACGCTACAGGCAGCACAGATCTACTTGACCTTGGTCGTACAATCGCATACGCTGCAATGCGCGACTATTCGACCAGCGACGGTGGTGTACTCGAGGAGTCGTGCGAGCGCGACCCCGCCACCTCGGACATGCCAACTCCAGGTTGTCCGCAAGACCAGGTCACCTTCAAAGGCATCTTCATGCAAGCACTGGGCTATCTGTACCTAGCACGACACGATGACAACATATTAAATTATATCAATATCCAGATGCTCTCGGTAGCAGCAAACAACATTGACGACACCTGGCTCATCGGTCAATGGTGGATGGGACCAGTGCGTACCAGCTCCTTGATCGGCTCCTGACCACTTGCTGACATCAGGGTACAGTGGAACGAGACGACCGCCGGGCCAAAGACGCAGCTTTGCGGCCTGGCTATGTTGGCCACGGCAACGTCCGCAAATATCCGTTTTGCCGAGCTGCTTGCTGCAGAAGGAAACACGCAGGTCGATCCGACAGTGACTGTCACGCAAAGCGTCCCCATCCCAACGATCAACGCGACCACTGCAGACAGTGGACCGGCGGTAGCTATCGGCGGGAGCTCTATCTCCAGACCTGCTGGTGCAGGAGCTGGCCTCTTGCTAGCGATCATGCTTGGGCTTGGTCTGCTGGCGTAAGTGCATGGACTCTTCACACCCTGGCGCTCTTGTACAGGCATGCAAATCATGTACAAACAACAAAGATGCATTCATGTTCGTGCTGTTTCATGCTGCGTTGCCGCCGTCGAGGAGCAGATGCGTGCCCTGCGCACATGTGAGCCTGATTACGGACGAAATTCGCGGGCGCGCACGGTCATGTAGGAGGAAGTTGGTCCAAGTAGGAAGCAGACGGCGCCTATGATCTCTTTGGGAGTAGCAGCACGTTCCATGGGTACTTCTGGCCGTGTCGAGAATAGTCCTGTGCTCTGACTGACCAGAAGCGGGGCGAGGACCATATTGATGCGCAGACGATGTGGTCCAGCTTCTCTTGCGGCCGTCTTGATCAGTCTGAGAGCAAGTATGAGGCGTTGCTACTCGAGCATAGCGTGCGACACACCCTAGTATTGCGTGTTGAGTGGCAGTGTGACTGCAGAGTTGCTCGCCTGCATGCAGCGCGAGCTCGTCACCGACGATGACGACGGAATAGTCTCCGTCCGGTGGATCTGCGACTTCCTTCTGCCGATGAAAGACGCGCAATGCAGCTTGTATGACGTTGAAGGCAGATGTGAGCGAAGCTGTCAGAGGGGTGATAAAGTCAGATGGCTCCATTCGGTGAAGGGGCTGTGGATCTGATCGCGGCAAGGGTAAATGGACGATGCCATCCAAGCGGGTGAACTGCTTGCTGACATCCGCGACGAAGCGTCTCAGAGCATCGTTGTCCTTTGTGTCGCAGTGGGCGAAGAGCAGATGGGGTCGTCTCCCCCCGGGAGCGAGCGGTTTGCTTGCCAAGTCGCCGCACAGATTCTTTCCTGCGTCTCTGTTGAGGTCACAGAGCGCTAGATTGACGCCAGATGTGAAGAGATGAGTGACCAGCTGAGCAGCGAGGGGACTGCTTGCCGCATTGGTGATGAGACAGCTTCGGCCCTGCAGAGCGGTACTGCCACTCATCTCAAGCTTTTCGTTGCAATCTCGCGTCTAGGATGTCTCTATGGATCTACCCGATCTGGACCTACTCCTCTGTCTATCCACTAGCCACATCTGACCGCGTTCCCACTTGGTCGATCGTTCTGCCCTCACATCCATTCAAGCGCGTCGCCTCGTCAGCCTGCAGCGAGCTCCCTGGTCGTCGTTGTCGAGTGCCAGTGATGAGACATGTTTGACGAGCACTCCTTCTCCTCTCTGGTCTCCCAGCAGTATGTCTTCTACAACTCGCTCAAGATGCTCGGTCTGCTTGTGCTCGTCGCATCGCTAGCGAGCCATGTCTGTGGCGACGTGCTCAAGATGCCCATCGTTCAGCGCTCGCCAGAGTCACAATTGACCAACATCACGCCGTTCACTGTGACGTTCAGGATGGCAACGGACATGTACGGTATTTTCAGCAAAGACTGTGTACGTCAGGCCTCGCTCCGGTCATGGCAACACTGAACCCTCACGTGCTGCAGACTTTTCAACTCAACTGGGACAGAGTCCTCAAGGTGCGCATCGTGATGTGCTCAGCATTGGGCAACAGGCTGACGGGCGCGCTTCCTCGCAGCGATACATCTCCGTAGCGGGCGGCATCCCAGACTGCACACCGGGAGATCATATCTCAATTCCAGCACTGGTAAGCCGTCTCCTGGTACTTGCATCCTCGCGCTACAGTCACTGTTCGAGCAGGGCCAATACATGTGGTTCATCGAGATGAGCCAGCCCGGCGTGCACTATGCATTCAGCGGAACGCAAGTCATGCCGCGGTCATGCCTGGGCGATCTGACTCCATGCTGCTTGGCACATGACAGGAACGACGCGCAGGGCCACATCCTGACTTGGCAGATGGACGCAGGCTCGACGATCGGCAACATGCAGCTCGGCGACAAGCAGTTCGCCGAGCTGGACTTCAATGGCAAGAATCGCCTGAAGCGCACGAGGAACTCTGACGAGGCGTGATTTTAGTCTGTTGGAGCGTACGAGCTATAGTGTCGGATTCCTTGCGTCTTGGAAGCTACGAAGGTGCCCTGGACGGTTGGCTTGATAGCAACAAGGGTATCGATCGAGCACCCTGCCCATTCGCTCGTCACTCTTGGCTGAAACCCGCTCGGGCTGCTGCCTAGGTCGACTGAATAGGCCAAGCCGTCAGCGCCAGCAATGAGCCATCGGTCTGTTGCGGCATCGTGTGCGATGTCGTTGATGCCAGCATCGTTTCGGCAAAGGGTCAGGAGATGCGCTCCGTCTTGTGTGGTATGGGGATCCCATAGCTGGAGCTGACCGTTGCGAAGGCCGAGGAGGACATGACCGGTTGATTCGTTGCAGGCCAGGGCATCGACAGCGGTCTGAGAGCCCGTGGACAGTCTGCGCTCGACGACTGCAGTCGCCAGATTGACAATGATGATGGAGCCATTCCGAGTAGCACAGATAGCAAGCAGGCCTACTAAGCCTTTGCGTTCCTCGGGTACGATAGCTTCATGACCGTCTGGCGGAGGGCCTGCACTATCGCGATGGACGATGACGATGCGCAACACGACTTCGTCCTGCTGTAGCTGCACGGTCGCCATGCAGACACCGTCTGCGAGCCGCCAGAGCTTTATGGATTGGTCGAAAGAGGCAGTCAAAACGATCTTGCCCTCTCGGACGATGGCAGAGCAGGTGAGACCTCTCGTGTGACCCTTGAGCACACGGGGACATGCACCTGTCTGAGCGCTCCATACACGGGCAGACAAGTCAGACGATGTGCTCAGTAAGACCTCGCCGGATGGGAAAAAGGTCGAAGAGGTGATGTCGCCGAGATGACCCTGGAGCGCTTTAAGGCCGCGTAAGCCTGCAGGCGCGAGTGAACGTGCGAAGAGCGAGCCGTCCGGTCCGCCGAGCACAAAGGTGGATTCGGGCAAGAGCGTGACGTCGAAGGAGAGGAGCTGCTTCGACACGGTCGGATGAACGCGTGAGGGCAATCGACAGACTGTGCCGTGCACGCCCAGGCTGTCGCAGGTGACGACGATGCCCGTCTGTGTATGCGGGCTTCAGACACGGCTGGGCGACGTCAAGCTGATGGAGCTACGACTGACCATGGCAGGTGTGATGAAGGAGAGCGATCGGCCCTGACGGTCGAGCACGGCATCGATGGAGAGACCCTCAAAGGGCTCACCGTCCGCGCAGACCTGCCAGCTAGCCTCTTGACCTTGTTCGTGTGAGAGCCTGATGCGCGTGTGGACGGAGGAGCAGCCGAGCTTGTAGACGGACAGCCAGAACTGGTCAGCAGTGACGACTTGCTGACAGACATCGTTGACCACGTCTGACAAGTCAGGCTGGAGGTCGATATAAGGCAGGTTGAGTGCCATGACTGCAGATGGCTGGCCCGACTGACCGGCCGAACGGGTATCCTCGGAGGAGGAGGAGGAGAGAAGCAAGCGGAGAGCTGGTAGAGCGTTCTATCGATGAGGCATTGATCAGTGCTTCACTCGGCACGGCACGTCACGTCGACGACAATGTCCAAGGCCCGAGGGCGAGCTGACCAAGGGACGGATGCATGGCTGACCGCTGATCGTAAGGACAGCAGGAGTAGCTCAGCACAACATGGCAGAGCAGCTCGCTCCCATTCCCTTCTTCCTGCAGCAGCAGTCTGGCCCGGTAGGACAAGGGGCAAGCAATCCTGCACCCATTGGCCTGAGCGTCCCTCAGGAGCAGCAGCAGCAGCCACTGGTCTTGCAGCCCTCTGGATCAGCTTCAGCACAAGCAGGCCCCTCTGCACCAGCAAGCACGACGGCTCAGCCTTCAGGTCGGTCACTGCAGCACCCTTGCAGCCATTGTCAATCATCGCAGAGCTGATCGTCTTCATACAAATCTGCAGCCGGCTTCTTCTCCCAATTCGATCCTCAGAGTCTCCGTCCAGTCTCTGCATCCAATGGAAGTGCCAATGACAGACCGGCCAGAAGGAATGGCCCCAGCGGCGGCAGACCGCGCCCACACGAAAAAGCCGATCACATTGAGGATGAGACCATGTCACGCTTGGATTCGGCCGCCGGCAGAGCACGCCCAAAGGCAGGACAGGGCAGAGATAAGCGAAGCAAGGGCAAAGGCCGCGCCAGAGACGAGCTCGCCCTAGATGACACGCCCTCCCGAGACACGCGTCGACAGGATCGCAAGGTGTGTCGCACTATTTGCAAAGCTGAGCTTCCCATGCTAACCCCCCAGCATGTAGTCTTCCAACTCGACGCCGTACGAACGCAACCGGAACCGCTCGGCCAGGGGTCAGAAGGCATCCGTATCCATCAAAGGGCTTGCTGCAAAGGCCATCGAAGAAGCAGGCGAGCCACGATCCAGCTCAGCAGGCACGAAGCCCTCGAGCATCCAGGTTCTCCATGATTTTATCGAGCAACGCTGGAACCCTTCTGCTGCCCTTCTTGATCTCTCCGGCATGATACGCGACCCCATATGGAGACTCAAAGGGATCAAACCGCCGGGCACGCGAGACGCGCCCAAGGCCATTGCTGGCGCTCTCTGGAAGTCTGTCTCTCAGACTTATCCTCAAGTACGTCTCATGCCAGCAACGCTTTGACGAGCCAACTAATCACGCCCGGAGCAGATCGTCAGCCTCTCGCTGGCAAATAACGATCTCGAGAATCTCCGTGATCTGTCGCCCTCCTTGTTGGTCCAATATCTGCCTCATCTCCATAATCTGTCGCTTGCCGACAACAAAATTGCGCGCACAAGTCCAATGAATCCCATAGGCAGCTCGAATCGTCATAGCGGCGGTCTCAAGCAACTAGAAGCGCTCGTCCTCACCGGCAATCCCATCACGAGCAATTATGCCGGACGTCAGAGAGACTATCAGAGGTCTGTTAGGACCGCTACCCCTCTACTGGAGCTGATACCCCAGCAGGGATGTCGCGAAGCTGTTCCCGGCGCTTACCTCGCTAGACATGCTGCCCATCGACAGAGGGAGCCTGCTCACCGAGAAGGAGACCCGCTTCCCCTATGGAATGCAGCCAGGCTTTGCAGACTCGGAAGGAGGCCGCTCCCTGGTGGCAGCCTTCCTCGCAAAGTCAGCCTACGCCCTCGCAACTAAATTTGAGGCTGATCTCCTGACTTGCAGATTCTTCGAAAGCCTGGACAAGTCCAGAGAGAATCTTCATGCAGCCTATGCACCATCGGCGTCATTCTCTTACGCGCTCAACAGTATGCCGCCGCAGCGTATGGTCCACGAGAAGCGTTCATTTAGCTCAGGCAACAAGGCGAAAGCATACCAGAACCGTCTCGACTTCCGGCGCTACATCACTATCAAGGACCGCAACGATGTCAAGGCTAGTGCACGTAATCTCAACCGAGCGACGACCCCCGTCGTTCCAACGCTCCTTGTCGGTCCAGACGACATTGTCGCGGCTCTCAAGGCGATGCCAGGAACATCACATCCTCTTGCACGCGCTGCGGAGTTCGTTTTTGACGTCTGGACCCAGCCTGATGCCCATGCGGAAGGCGAGGTGCTCTTCGTTACCGTGCACGGTATGTTTGAAGAAGGTTCGTCGAGCAGCTTGATCCTGGTGCTCGCTTACTTATTCCGACATAGCTGGCACATCGGCTCGCGTTTCTTTCGATCGCGCCTTTATCTTGGCGCCTGCAGCTCCCGACACCATGTAAGCAATCAGACCTGCCCGATCCTTTCGATGCTTACCCCAGTTGCAGCGCACACGCCGCAGGCTGGCCATGCTTGATCATCTCTGATCAGCTTACGCTTCGAGGACATTCGCATGCCTCCGCTTGGGAGCCTGGATGTCTGGCGATAGCGAACCTCGCTGCAGAAGCGCCGCCTGCTGCTATTGTAAGCCACACTCTTGGTTCTTTGCTTACGTGCTGATATCCGTGGACAGACGCCGCAGCAAGAGGCAATGGTTGCCGAGTTCTCGCGTCTCACGCGCCTCAAGTCACAATTCGCATTCGACTGCCTCGCCCTGAACGAATGGGATCCTACACGGTCCATGACGAACTTTGAGCAGCTTCGACCTACCATCCCGGCAGAGGCTTTCGACTGATAGGTCGTTAGAGAGGGGCACTGCATGCATGATTCGGACAACAAGATGTGTGATTCGTCTATCCTTTGCGACCGGTGAAAGATCTAAACTCCTTCTCCATCTCCTTTTGCACATTAGGCAGCACTGGCGCATGCTTGCGATACTCGAGAGTGAATTCGCCTTTTCCTTGCGTCATCCCGCGCAGCTGAGAGGCATAGCCAAACATATCGTTGAGCGAGACTTCTGCCTCAAGCGTGAATTCTTCGTCGCGCACTTCGCTGTCGAGGATCGTGCCTTTGCGTTGATTGATGCCTCCGATGACGTTGCCTGCATGCGATGGTCAGGCAATTCTGTAGCATTCGCATTGGGACCTACCTTGGAATTCTACTGGCGCCACCACCTCGACTTTCATGACAGGCTCTAGCACGACGCCATTGCTGCGTGCATATGCATCCCTGAAGGCTGCCTGACCTGCCATTCGGAAGGCCAACTCAGATGAATCGACCGGATGGAAAGCACCGTCCTCCAGGATAAACCGGCATCCCGTGATGGGATGGCCCGTCAAATTGCCTCGCTCCAGCGCATCTTTGAAGCCCTTCTCGACGGCAGGGATGTACGACGATGGAATGTTGCCGCCTGTGACACGAGACTCGAACGCGGTGTCCTTGCCAGTTGCTTCGTCCATCTCCATGGGCTCGATCTTGCCTATGACTTTGGCATACTGGCCAGCGCCGCCCGTCTGCTTTTTGTGAACATAGTTGAACTCGCTAGGTGAAGTCACGGTTTCACGGAAAGCGACGCGCGGCTTGCCAGTGATGCAGGGGACTTGATATTCCCTTTTCATCCGTTCGACGTAGATGTCTAGATGCAGTTCACCCATGCCAGATATGATGGTCTCCTGCGATTCGTTATCTACGTGTACTCGGAAGGTCGGGTCTTCCTTTTGAAAGCGATTAAGCGCGCGAGAGAAATTAGGCGTCTCCTGACCTTGCGGCCGGATAGCGAGAGAGATGACAGGCTCAGGCACGAACATAGACGTCATCGAGTAAGGTACGGATCCATCGGTGAAGGTATCACCTGACGAGCACTCGACGCCGAACATGGCACAGATTTCGCCTGCGCCGACGCTGTTGATGTCTTCCATTTCGTCCGAATGCATCCGCACTAGACGAGGCACTTTGACGCGTTTGCCCGTCCTGACGTTGACGATGACGCCGCCTTTTGCGAGAGAACCTTGGTAGACGCGCATGTAGGTAAGCTGACCGTAGCGGCCTTCCTCTAGCTTGAAAGCTAGTCCGACGAGCGGTGCTGTGCCGGTAGGAACGAGATCAAGCGGAGGAGCTGCTGGCTTGCTGTAATCGAGAGCAGTCGAAGAGACTTCAGAAGGGTTGGGCAGGTAGCTACAGACGCCATCAAGTAAAGGCTGCACGCCTTTGTTTGCCAGCGCCGAACCCATGAAGACAGGCGTGAATTTGCGAGCAATGGTGGCGCGCCGGATGCCCGCGGCTAGCTGTTCTGCTGATACTGGCTTCTCTTCCAAGAACAGCTCGGCTACCTCGTCGTCTACTTCAGCGACGTTCTCGATCAGCTCTGCACGCTTTTCTTCCGCCATCGTCTGTAATTCTGCCGGTATCTCAGCGCTCTCGACGATATCGATACTACTCAAGGCGGTCAGCGCATTTAGCCACTCTTGACAGCAGGACTTGCCCCTTCTCGCCTTCGTTACGGATGACTCTCATACGAACAATGTCAATGACACCCCCAAAGTCATTCTCTGCGCCGATCGGGATTTGAACGGCAGCAGCGGCGAGCTTGAGCTTTTGTCGTATCTGTGTCAGAACCCTCCAAGGATTGGCACCAGCACTGCCATACGGTGATCAGGCATGTTTGCAGAACTTGGGAAGAAAGGAGCGCACCGGTCCATCTTGTTGACAAAGGTGACACGAGGGACGTTGTAGCGGCGCATCTGCCTGTCGACGGTAATGGTTTGACTCTGTCGTGGAGGCAAAGATCAGAGAAGCTCTGGCAAAGGTCCAACAGACCAGACCAACCTGTACGCCAGAGACAGCACAAAGCACGAGCACTGCGCCATCAAGAACGCGTAACGCTCGCTCGACTTCTATGGTGAAATCGACGTGGCCTGATGCCGGATGTCAGGCTGAGCGCGACAGAGCTCAGAGGCTGCTGACCTGGAGTGTCGATGATGTTGATCTTGTAGTCATTCTGCGCTTGCTTGACCGGCGTCTCTCTCACAGACCAATCGCAGAATGTAGCAGCACTCTGGATGGTGATGCCCTTTTCTCTCTCGAGTTCCATGGAGTCCATCTTTGCGCCTACCGCGTCTCTCCCTCTGACTTCGTGGATGGCCTTGATGCGTCCGGTGTAGAAAAGCACCCGCTCGGTCAGGGTCGTCTTGCCTGAGTCGATATGGGCAGAGATGCCAACGTTGCGCATGGCAGACAGGCGTTTGATGTCGCTGCTATTGAGCGAGAAGACGTCGGTCGGCAGCTTGCCATCCTTGAGTGCGGCTGCAGATGGCGCTGCATGGGTCGCATAGCCTCTCCTCGATCTCGCTGCTCTCGTGATGAGGCATGCCGACGTCTGTGGCGGCGATGTCAGAGGTGTCGCTGCCCTTGCCGGAGTGCTACAGCGTCTCGCTGGCTGTGCGATGGGTCTGTAGGCTGCAGTCTGGCCTGAGGAGTGTCCGCAGGTGCATCTGAGCACTCGAGCTGTCCGTATCATCGACTGAGCCGGCTGTCGATGACTGTCACCAAATTATTTTGGCAGAGGCAAAAGCCAAAATCGCCATCAAGCCAGCAGCACCAGTCGGCGTGGTCTCGGTCCCTGACGGCGGCATGGAGGTCGAAGTGCGGCCGCTGCCCCCCGACAAGCCAGCGTCGAGGGAGCTGAGCAGCACCACTGACTTTGTGGCCGGCTGGCTCGGTGGTGCCCTCGGCATCCTCATCTGCAATCCACTCGAGGTCTACAAGATCAGACTGCAGACCTCAGTCCCTTCGTCGTCCCGCGTTGGCTCAGGCAGGCTACCGGCTTCGCTGCCTCACCAACAGAGCTTGACCTCGTCAGGCGAGATATCCTCACGGGTCTTGTTGAGTCAGAGCACGCCAATCGCTTCCGGTACCAGTGCGACGTTGACCGCAGCCCGAGCGTCCGTGAGACCGACACTGCGCGCACTGTGGGAGCAGGAAGGCTGGCGCTTCCTCACCGCCGGAGCTGCAGCGCCCATCCTCGGACTCGCATTCATAGACTCTGCATTTTTCGGCATATACGGCCGTGCGATGTCCCAATTGTCCCAAGATAGACAGGTCCGCCACGCTCGATCTGCTCGTGATGTCCCTTCGCTGATGACATGGCCATGCAAAGGATCCCGCAATGCTCAGTCGCGTCTTTGTCGCAGGCGCGACGGCAGGGGCATGTTGCGCCCTCTTGCAAACGCCCGTCGAAGTCGTCAAATGTGCAGCGCAAGCCGAGCCAAAGGTGCCCACTTCGCTTCAACGATCCGTTATTGAGCTGACATGGAAACGATCGCAAAGCCACCACCGGGGCGAACGGCACTCGGCACATTCGGCATTGCCAGGATGATCTTTGCGCGCGACGGACTGCGCGGCTTCTACGTGGGCGGCCTCGTGACAGGCGTCAGAGATTCCATCTCATCCGGCATCTTCTTCTGGGCATGTGAGCGTTGGCCTTGATGCACCGACATCGATGATCTGATGAGCTAGCCAGACTTTGCCATCCGGCGCACACTCAGAGGCGACAAGGCATTCGAGCCTTCGCCGACGTCGTCGGCGCAGGACTCGCCCGCCAGTCCGACCTCTCCAGCCGAGCTAGGCAGGATACTACTATCGGGCGCCATAGCGGGCACACTTGCTGCCGTCGTTCCCTATCCGTACGTCATCCCGTGATATCTGGCTACGAGCTAATTCTGAACGCTCCAGCCTGGATATCGTCAAAACGAGGCTACAGGTCGCGGGAGCACAGCCACACGCTCCAAATCAGGCCCCGAAGCTCTCGATAAGGCAAGTTGCCAATCAGATCTACCGCGAATCGCAGCAAGCCAGGTCGTCTGGCTACACTCACAACCGGACCTCATGGATGTTCAGACTAGCCAATCTACGCTATCCCACCAACGAACTCAATAGACAGCAGCTCTATGCGCGCATCACGGGTCTCAAGGGTCTCGCGCGAGGTCTCAAGCCGACGATGGTCAGCTCCGCCGCGGGGAGCGCGGTTACGATTGGCGTCTTCGAGGTCGCTTGTTACATGTTGTCTCAGCAGAATGTTGCTGTATAATACCATGCACCTAGACTTGGAGAGCGAGCCCGCCTGCGTGCCGGGACCAGCTCCGAGCATGCTGTGATCTGAGCCTCCTCGGGGTCCCTCCGCCTTCGGATCCAATTTGTACGCGAAGTCAAAAATTGTCAACTTGTCAATTATTGCGCTCGACAGACTCGTCAGGCTCCGATAAAGCAATGGCTCGTCGGGTGCGTGCTCCCCATATACTGTTACCATCTTGCTGAAGTCGAGGACAGCGCAAGACCAGGACACACCTGCTCAACGCGCCTCCTGCAGCGGTCAACGGCAAGAATGCGATACCAAAGTCTTTCGTCGTCGTCTCTGGGGAAGTGGGCTCTTCGGCGCAACAGCTCGTGAGAGACATTCGCAAGATACTCGAGCCCAACACTGCTTCCCGGCTAAAGGTGCATCATCATGCACGCGCTCTGTAGACGTGCTCATCAAGCTTGACAGGAGCGAAAAAGAAATCGACTACGAGATTTTATCGCCATGTCGGGACCTTTGGGTGTCAGCCATCTGATCGTCCTATCGCAGAAGCTCGACGATCTTGATATGCCAGAGACTGCGCTCGCTGGCTCGATCGCAAATGTCAATCTGCGCCTGTCACGCCTGCCGCGAGGTCCGACGCTGAGCTTCAAAGTCCTGCGATATGCCCTCATCCGGGACGTCCTCAACATGTCCCGAAGACCGCGCAGTCCAGGCGCAGAATATGCGACCGAGCCCATGGTGAGCATGTCTCCTCTGGCAGTCGCATATGCTTACATGACATCTCCCAGCTTATCCTGAACAATTTTGGAGGAGAAGACAAGCATCTCCAGCTGATGACGACCATGTTTCAAAATCTCTTCCCGCCAATACAAGTCCATACTGTGAGTCTGCTGCTAGTCCCACTTTCAATATGCTCACTGGGTGATCAGATGCATCTGACACAAGCCCGACGCGTCCTCTTGCTGTCTTACAATGCTACCACCCGAACTATCGAGCTTCGCCACTATCTCATCACTGTCAGGCCGTTAGGTATCTCTCGTCCGATTCGCAAGATCGTGCAAGGCGCAGCAGCGCATAACAGGATGCGAGCGAGCTCTGTCGCGTCGGATAACCTTACCGGCCTCAATCGGCCGCGCAGAGTCGTCAGCCTCGCCAGCGCACACGATATATCGGACTATGTACTTCAGCGAGCAGGTCTCAGCGAGAGTCCTGTTCGCGAGGGCACGCCTTCGTCCGTAGGCACAGGCGGGTTCGATGCAGCCATCTCTTCTGCCTCCGAAGCGTCATCAGACGAGGAGGATCCCGACTCAAAGGCGGTCTCTCTGCCACAAGACTATGTCGGGCGAGGTAACCGTCGCAGCGAGAAGCGGGCTATCAAGCTCACCGAACTCGGACCAAGGCTCGAGCTGGGCTTGACCAAAATCGAAGAGGGCGTCACGGGCGCTGGCAGCAAAGGCGAGGCAGGCAGCGTACTCTTTCACGAGCTGGGTAGGTCGCGCCATACTGTAACAAGATGCTAATGATGGCTGACGATGACACTATACAGTCCACAAGACCAAGAAGGAGGCAGCAGACATTGCTCGTTCGCTTGCCGAACGCCGGAAGCTGCGAACGGAGCGGCGCACAGAGCAAGAAGCCAACGTTGCCCGCAAGAGGGCTGCACAAGCAGAGCTCAAGGCGGACAAGAGAAAGGCAAAGAATGGCGACACAGCCGAACAGAACGATGCCGGCGCAGATGGCGCGGACGTTAGCGAAAGCGAAGACGAACAGGAGCTTGTCGATGGCGCGGCGGATCAAGTAGAGGAAGAGAACGAGTTCGCTTATGAGGATCAATTCGACCTGGCTGCGCTCGGCGATGATCGATCAGACGAGGAAGACCTCTTCGACGTTCCCGACGAGGAGGAGCCCGTACCGGACAGTGGTGCGGAACAGCCAGGCGGGGAGCCCTACGATGCTCGTCAGACGAAGAGGACAAAAGCTTAGCCAAACTAGTGTTGTTGTCGCGAATCTATGGTCGTCCTGCAGACAAAGGCTGTACAACATGCGGCTCAATTTCATTTGGGTCAAGCAGTACGATAGATGAGATGTAGTCCCGAATCGGTTGAGACAATCTTGCTCGTCATCTCGCCTGGCTGGAGAGCAAAGGCGGCGTCTTCGAACGGCTTCTGCATCGCGCCCCTGCCGAAGCTGCCGAGCGCGCCAGCCTGAGCGTGAGAGGAGCAATCCGAATGCACGAGGGCAAGCTGTTCGAACAAGGCCCGGTCTGGCTTGGGGTTGGGTACACTCGCGCCTTCGTCAGAGGGACCGGTCGAGCCAGGCACGAGTTCACGGTAGTGCCCTGCAAGAATCTCGTAGGCTTCTTCGGTGGTGCGCGTCACGTGTGACTGCTCGAAACTGTCAGCGTCCGCTCACTGGAGCACAAAATTGTGGAGACTGCGCTTGCCTCTTTCCACGAAGACGGTCTGCGCGAGCCGCGGTGCTTGATGAGCAGATGACTCGCGCTGATCTTCTCAGACGACTGCTTCCGAGTCCGAGCGATGAGCGCACACCAAAGCTGAGACCATGCTTGCGCGTACTGAAGGGACCTTTGGCGCTGGCTTCCCGCCCGTGAGCAGCTCGGCACCAGGCAGACTTGCGATCTGTTCCCTGGATAGCTGAGGAGGAGCTTCCCAAAGGGACTCGTTCGTCACGCTCGAGCGAAAGTAGGGTCGCTGGTGCGTTCGAGAGAAGTAGACACCCCATTCCTTGGAAGGGTCTGCCATCCCCTTCAGGCGAGCGTGGGCGTTGTACGTGTTCGGTCGAAGCTTGAGTTTTATTTCGACCCGCTTCGGGCAAACGCGATGAAAAGAGGGGGACAGCACCCAACACGCGCACACTGGAACTGCAGCAGTCCAGACTGGCAGTCTGACTGGGGAAGTAATCCGTCTTGCAAGACTCGGGACTGCCCACAGAGGACAGAGCTCGGCCACGGCTGCCAATCGTTCATCGATCATGCTGTGTTTCGTCGCCATCAGCCCTCGCGGGAAAGCCTAAAGGCGGCGATCCGGAATCGCGACGGCAGTCAGAGCGACTCAGATTGCCTACAACACCTTCCCTCTGGTATCACTGCAACAGCCTCCCCTTGACGGTCAGGTTGAGGCGCAAAGATGAGCAAGACCCATCAACAGTGGAGCAAGGTTGCTTCCTCTATCGGCTTTAGGCCCACGCCCGCGTCTGGATCCTCTCTGCTCGCCGTCGTCAAGACATGGTCGCCTCAGACGCCCACATCTGGCTCTCTACCGAGCAATCAGGCGTACCTTGCGCTGTCGAGCTCAGGTCTGTCAGATCTCTCGTTGTCGGCCTTTTCGACGGAAGCGGCTCCCAATAGCTACATTCACCCAGAGTCAGCCGATCAGACGAGAACGACTTCTGTTGGAGGGCGCTCGCTCGACTTCTTCGATTCGGCTGCTCCTCTTGAGGGCAGTGGATCTGCAAGCGTCCATGCATCGGTATCGAGATCGCGGAGACGTCATGCCAGCCCTTCACGGCGGCAGGTTCCAGGAGTCAACCGCACCAGCGGTCTCTCGAGCCTTTTGAGTTATGTAAGACCAGCTAGCGTGTCTCTGCCGGTCTGCGCATTTTTTGATGGACAGACCGAGTCAAGTCACTCCTACACCACCTTGCCGCCCTCCGCGCGGTTTGCCGCCGGCACACATTCGCAGAGCAAAGCTCTTCCAAACCAATTGCTTCAAGTCTCATATTCTTCAGCTTCAGCGTCCTTGCAGGCGCCTTATTCACCCGCCGGTCCCGCATCATCATTGCACGACAGCGGTCTAGATGGCGGCGCCAGAAGGACCGGACGGGGGGTAGACTATAGTTCCGGCCCAAGCTACTTATCTGGCGTCTTCTCTGGCGCAGGTCTGTTGCCCAGCAAGCGATCATATATCTTCTCGCACGGCGCCTACGGCATACCCAAACACGGACATCAGCAAGCAGGCACAGGCGGCTCAGGGAGGGGTCCGCGAATTAGTCACCCTCTTTACCCGAATACGTCCCAGGGTGCCGCTGGCGAGCTGAAATCGCAGCGCGATCGAGCCTACACCTCGCCTACTAAGACGGCAAGAGAGGATGTCGGGCTCAGCGTGCAGGTGGGCGAAGACGCCTACTTTCTCCGCACGGATTCGCTCGGTGTCGCCGACGGCGTTGGCGGTTGGTCTGGTCACAAGGGGGCAGATCCTGCACTTTTCTCGCGCAAGCTCATGCATCGTGAGCTTGATGCTCTCTATAAGCGAAACACTTGAAGCTAACTTTGCTATCCCAGACTGCTCATCCGAGATGGCACGATATGATGATATTGAGGATGAGATGTTTTTGCAGTATTACGACGTCGATCCCGTGCAAGTGCTTCATCGTGCCTCCGAGAGCTGTCTATCCGAAGCGAGAGAGGAAGGAATTATAGGAAGCTCGACCGCTCTGCTCGCTATCCTGCGCAATGACGAACTGCGCCTCGCCAACGTGGGCGACTGCTGCTGCTCGTAGGCTACCTCGAATCGTGCGCCTAGCACTAGCTGACGAGCCTCACAGGATTATAAGAGGCCAGGATTACATCTTCCGGTCAGAGGAGCAGCAACACTCGTTCAATTTTCCGGTACAGATTGGCACAAACTCGAAAGATACGCCCCTCAAAGACGCGCAATCGTTCACAGTCAAGGTGCAAAAGAACGATGTACGGTCTTCCGGAAAGCCGAAAGTGCCGCTGACAGGGAGCGCAGATTGTCATACTATCGTCGGACGGTCTGGTCGATAATCTGTTCGACGAAGATATTCTCGAAGAGGTCCTCCGCTTCGCGCACTATGCTCCTGCTGCACCCACGCCAACAGAAGTGCCTCGGCATGGCAATGAAGCAAAAAGCGCACAACTCAATCTGCTCAGATTTTCGCCTCAGGCAGTCAGCGAGGCGCTATGCAGTCGTGCAAAGGCAGTCAGCGAGGACCAGAGAGCGGTCAGCTCGCCCTTCCAACAGCGCGCAATGGAAGAGGGCATTCACTATGTGCGCTAGTCCTTGATATGCGAACGAGAGCTGACTGTCTCCTCTGATACAGGTCGGAGGGAAAAATGACGACATTAGTGTACTTGTCGCTGTCGTGGGTGACTCGGAAGACAGTGCAGTATGTTAGTATTGCTCGCAAGATTGATCAATTGACTCGAGCAAGCAGGACCGCAGATGATCGAATCGTATGCTTCGAAGTATGTCAATATGTTGTATTGGATTTGCTTGACTTGCCAGCATTACCCAAGCGTGTGCGATGGACACCTCATTTGCAGGCCAGCGTGATCGCCCTGCATGGCAGACCGGCCTGGTTGGCTTCATCGCATAAAAGATTGTAGCTGCAGTGACACACTGGGTAGCGATGCCTCGTTGAGATGGCCAAGGCAGGTCTTAGCAAGAAGGGCGAGCGTCTGCGTTCCCAATGAAACGAAAAAGGCTCAGAAGTGGGGCAAAAGGTTAGGACACCTTGTGACAGGTCGAAGAGATTGCTAACTATCCTAAAGGATAGAGAGACGGTTTGGTTTAGTTTGCAATAAGCAGTTCAGCGAGACTCGGTGGTGACCTCATCGTCGTCGCTAATGCCCGAGCATAAGAATGTTATGAATTTGAGATTTACACTTATAAAGGCGCCCTTCTCTTGCGGACAAAACTTTGTCGCGCGATAATAACAGTCTGCGACCACTTCGGAACGCCTCGCTAGGTCATGGCCGCCCTTATCAGCATCTTCAGCGCTCACCCGTAGAAAGATTGGACACTGTATCAAGTCAATGCAAGGGAACGTCACATTTGGTGTTAAGTAACGACAACAACAAGCTATATAACGACGTTCGCAACTTCCTTTCATGTAGCCCGCTCGAGCGGCTTTGGCCAGGCGCGCTCGACGTCCGTCACCAGCGAATCCGACATGACTTCGAGGCGCATCCAATCTGCCTCTTCTTCGAGCATCTTATTCAGAGAATATCCGCAGATGCAGGTATTCTTCATTATATTCTGCACATCGTCGGTCGTTGTGATGCTGCCTTTCCGAGGATCTTTGGCTGCATAGACTGGCAGTACGAGCGATTCGAGCATGCAGCAGCAGCTCGCAATCGAGATCGCCTTCTTGATCTTGAGCACTCTTGGCTTGTTCTGTGCGTTCAGATATCGCACCTCGATGGCCAACTCGTGCGTGATTCTTATCGGAGTCTGTGTACCAGGCTGGGTGCTCGGTCGCAAGAGATTGTCATTTGGTATCCTCGAGACATGCTTGATCGAATACTCTTCGCTGGCGTCGAGATCTGCAAGGTGTGGACCAATGGAAGCATTGCGAGCTGCCCGCTTAAGCTCTCGGCCGCGCCGTGCATTGGCGCTGAGACTCGGACCTCCGTTTGCAAGATATTCGTGCGTTGGCGACGAGGGACGCGTCGCGTGTGGCGAGACACCGCGACTGCCAGCGGGCGAGGCCGAGGCTCGGCGATGCTGGGAGACGCTACGATTCCGGTTGCGAGCAGCTTCTGCAAGCTCGGTAGCAAAGCGCTCTGCCGTGTCGTCCTCGTCGTCATAGCCGTTCAGTGCAAGGGCAGAGGGCACTCGACGGGGCAGGTCGGGTACAGGCACTGTCGTGGGAGAGGCATCGGACTGGGCGTGTTCTGAGACCCCGTCAAGCCTGATGAGCGGCCGCCGGATAGTAGCAGGATGTAGTATTTTGTTTGCTGGCGGTGCCGGCGCTCCAAACACAAAGTAGCGCAAAGGCGTCAACTCGAAAGCTTGGTCGATATAAGCCGACACAGACATCAGGGTGACATCGGTCGGGGGCGAAGGTAGCGACAGTGAGAATAGCACGAGCCCAGATATTGTCAGATGCTCCGCCGTGACAGCGATATTGTACGGGCCCAACTCGTCTGTGTACTCTTCAATATTAAGCGTCAGGCCGGGCGGCGCATCTGTTGGACCGGCTGGATTGCTGATCATCTGACAGTAACGCTCCGCAGTGAGATCGGAGCCGAGCGCGCCCATGCTTCGGGCATTGACTGTGACTTTTGAGATGATCTTGCCATGTCGACACCGCTCATGGCAAGGTACGCTCGCAGGCACGACGAACGTATAGGCAAAGACATGCGTGCCCTTGTCGAGCGCACCTGGGGTGATGACGAGCTTCTGCTGCCAGAGAATGGCACGGTCATGCGGTCTGTCGGGTACGTACAAGTCGGCCGTGATGATGAGTTTGACTTCGAGACCGTCCTTGAGGTCTCTGCTCTTTGGCAGCGTCAAAGTGATCTCGCCCTGCAGTATCGTGTCTTCTGAAGGCTCTGTGTGTCTAGCTATCGGATCTGTGCTGCGTTGTGAGCTCTCATGTGGAGGCTCTATGTGAAACGTACCTGTCGGATGCAAAAACAGCATGGGCGGGTTGATGGCCAGCTTGAGCTTGGGCACATCGAACAGCATCTCCGCAAGCTTAGCAGTTGCGCGAGCTTGCAAGCTGCTAGTTCTTACTTGGTCAAGCGCAAAGCTCGACCTCCGTCTGAACGGTCTCTCAAAGGCTTGCTGACAGCTAAGCATCAGCGTCACTCTTCTTCTGCGTAGATAGGTCAGTGCTCACGCAGATCGACTTCTTATCCCTGTGTCCGCCTTGCGCTGGCCTCTGATGACTCGGCGAGCATGACTAAGCGATCGAGCCCCCCCCTTGATTTGTGACTCGCCGAGACGCGAAAGCTTTCGAGTCACGCTGCCACGTGCACGCTTTGCTTGGCCTCGAGTCACGCAAAATGTGCAGTAGAATCTTGAACGTGGTGCATTAGAGAATAATGGTACAGGACAAAGAAGTTTGCGACATATACAGAGCACTGTTCAAGTTCGTCTATACGCCGAATGAGATGCGGAGATTCCATCGAAATTGAATGATTTAGACAATATTGCGTTCCTTGTCCCATGCTTGCTTCTGAGCATCATGCTCGTGGCCCGGTCCTGTCATGGCACTCTGTGAGACATTGCTTTCCTCAGCTTCGCCGCCTGATCGTGCTGCGCCCGTGCCGGGAGCGGCACCGCCTGCAGCTGTTTTCTCGCCTTCACCGTCGATCTGGGTGCCACTTGAATCGTCGCTGTCACCCTCTGGATTGTAATTGCCCTCGAGGTCTCGGTTGACGTAAGCAAAGTCATAGCAGAATTCGTTGCACTGATCCTCGTCCATGCCGATGATCTCTGCGTCTTCCGATGCGCGGAAGTGCATACCCGGGATGAGATTGATGACAAACATGACGAGGAAGGTACCAATAGCGGTCCAGCCAAAGGCGACAAAGATCCAGTAGATCTGCTTGTAGAGCTGCTTGTAATTCTGATCGAGCCAACCGCCTTCGATTTGCAAGTAGCCATCGTTGGCGGCGACGCTGGCTTGAGCGAACAGACCGGTCAGGAAGAGACCAACGGCTCCAGCGACTGCGTGGACCGCGAAGATATCGAGAGCATCGTCGAACTTGAATTTGGCCTTCAAGCTCGTAAGCATGTTGGAGATAGCGGCCGCGATCACGCCGATGAGTAGCGAAGCGGGCGCACCAACGAAGCCTGCAGCTGGGGTGATGGCGACCAGGCCCGAAATAGCACCCGTGCAGAATCCGATGACGCTGAGCTTCTTCTCGAGACGGTAGTCCATGAGCATCCAGATCAGACCGCCGCCCGCACCTGCCAGGTTGGTGTTGAAAATGGCGAGAGATGCCTTGAGGTTGGCAGCAAAGGTCGAGCCACCGTTGAAACCGAGCCAGCCGACCCAAAGGAAGACCGTGCCGAGCACGACATGAGAAGTCGAATGGGGACGGAAGGCAAGTCTTGGCGTGCCAAAGCCTCTGCGTTGGCCTAGGAAGAGCGAGTAGACCAGGCCGGTCGTGCCTGAGCAGATTTCGACAGGACCACCGCCAGCGTAATCTAGCACGCCAGCTTTGTAGGCCCAGCCCATGGGCGACCAGATCTGACGCGCGATTGGGCAATAGACGACGGTCGACCAGCAGAAGACGAAGAGAGCCACAGGCGCGATTCTGCCTCTTTCGGCAGCTGCGCCAATTGCAATCGCAGGCACGAGTGCCGCAAACTGTAGTTGGTAAAGGCAATATGTGATCTGCAAGCTCAGTCAGCACGAGTGCGGCGCACGAGCGGGCGCCACAAGCTGACCTGAGGAATCTTGTTATTCGCCTGGGCAACAGGCTGTTCGAGGACATTTTGGAGACCAAAGAAATGCAAGCTGCCAAACACTGGGCCGCTCGAGGTTGAGAATGCAAGCGAATAGCCCCAGAAGAACCACTGAAAGGCCATCGTGGCTGTACAGAGCAAAGTGACGAGAAGCATCGAAAGCGCGTTCTTCCGCCTGACAAGGCCCGAATAGAGGTAGCCGAGTCCAGGAATCATGATCCAGACGAGTGCAGTGCAAGTGAGGACCCAGGCGATGTCACCTGGCGAAAAGGCGGCGATCGTACCATCGGCCTGTGTGGTGATGAGGTCCGTTCCGTTGGAGGTCAGGAAGGTCGCCTGGTCGGCCGTAGTGACCTGTGGTGGAGTGGAGATGACGCCATAAGTGATGTTGACCATCTCTGCGAGTCTGTCGGAGTGGCTCGGAACGGTCTTGGCAGATTTTCGCTAGATGAGCTTTTGAGGGCTGCTACCGCTCTACGCGGAACCCGACCGGCTGTCAGTCAGGCAGAGCGATGCTGGCTACCTGATCCGGTGTGGGTACTACTAGCCAAGACAGCGCTATGCGGCCAAGAGATGCGCAATCTTTGTCTACTTGAGTTTCAATTGACGGGCGGCGGGGCGGAAGCGGAGGTGACCGAGGTACCGAGGGCAAAGCTGAAACGCCGAAGAAGGCTGCTCTGGCCTCAAGGCGCTAATGGAGCAACGCTTCTCAGCGTCCTGAGCGAGGGTGAGCTGCTGCCGTGAATGGGCTCTGCAGTCAGTATGATATGCTTGGACTGGTGCCCAACGACGTCACACCTCCCCGCGCGCTATCATTGCCGTTCAAGGAATTCACGATAAGCCAATTGCTTGTCGATCCAACGTGGCTACGCTCGATTGTTACTCAAAGGCCACGTGGGGCTCCTTGCTCGTGTGAGCGGACAAGCATCGAGCGGGATCATGCCAAGCCTTCAGGAGATCCAGAAGTAGATGAAGTATCTTTGTTAGCCGTCGAATACGATGATGTTACATTGCTACGCTGCAATGCATGCTCTTTTTTTTCGGCTTCGGCAGGGTACGCACTAGAGTACGCTTGAGCATCATTGAGACAAGTCGACCAGGCCTCGTCCGAACGTCTGCGTGTCGGTGAGCGCAATGTCCTTGCTCACGTTGGGCTTGGCCTGGGCGACGATGAGGTAGGTCGCACTCAGGAGAAGTATGATGGCGCCCTCGCCAGTGGCAGTGGCATAAGATTGATCGAGGTCGGCATCCTCGACAGTGAACTTGGTACCATCGATAGAGAAGCTCCCCTTGGACGAGGCACTCTGACCCGACCTCTCGACCTCTAGCTTGTTGGCGAGCACGATGTCGATCAAGCTCTGAGCGAGCTCTGCGTCTGTGGTCTACACGCCTTGCAAGGTCAGCAACGTCCACAGATTCGAGGCAAGACTGCCTGCCTGGCTGCACTCACACTGAAGCCGGGCTTTGTGTTTGCAACGAGCTGGCCGTCCTGCTTGTCGAAGGCGCAGGCGCGTGTAAAGCGACTGTTGGAAGTCATCAGTCGCTCTTCTATCAGCTTTTCGATGTCATAGTTGCTGCCCATCGACTCTCGGGCCGCTTGACTGCAGTCGAGGCCGCGTCAGGATGCTCGCAAAGGCCCTCAACCGGAAAGAGCTCACGGGACAAAGTCATTGTTGTCTGCCTTCCGCGACTGTGTTGCCGTGCCCGTTGCTGCCATGGCTGTGTAGTGCTCCTGCCTGCTTGCTGCTGTGGCTGTTCTTCGGCGACGTGACACGCAGATCGATCTCCTCCGAGATCGCTGACATCATCGATGAGCGCGTCTTCTTCTCCTAGGAGCCCACGCGTGTCGCTTTGCTAGCCGGCTAATTCGGCTGCGCGACCCGTCTTTATAGCTTCATTCGTCATGAAGAGCCGCATCGGCCTCATCCAGCGAGTGGCCAAGCATGCTGCCCACAGTGCGCACAGACAAGCTGTTGTCGACGTCCAGCGCGGATTGACCAAGACTTACAAGGACCTCCTCGACGATTCTGTCTTGTTGGCCCGCCGCATGCAATCCAAGCACGGCCATGGTGGTCTTGCTGAAGCGCGAGTGATCAGCCTGCTCAGTCCCGGCTACCCTTGGGTCATCACCGCGCTTGCGACCTACCTCGCAGGCGGTGTCCATGTGCCACTGCTCCACACCAATCCTGCAGCTGAATGGGCCTATAATGTGAAGGACACTGGTGCGAGCATGATATGCCTGGACGGCCAGGATGGCGATCAGGTCGAAAAGGCAAGCAAGCTCATCAGCGAGCACGAGTGCGTCCTCCACCCCGATTCTCACATTCACGCTCAAGAACGAGAGCAGCGTCGAAGCTGGACAGCTGTTCAAGATCAATGAAGCAGGTCCCTCGGATGACCTACCCGAATTGACCGATGTCGCGCCGGATGCGCGGGCTTTCATATTGTATACGTCCGGCACGACGTGAGCGAGTACTACGGCGAGTGAAGCTCCTGCTCAAGGAAAGCCACAGAGGCAAGCCAAAGGGTGTCGTCTTTTCGCACGAACAGATTGCGTCTCACCTCGAGGCAATGGAAGAAGCATGGCAATGGTCGTCAAAAGTCGATGAGCTGTCGATATCGCGAGCCTCTGAACTGATGAACCGGGCAGGACAAGATACTACACTGCCTGCCACTTCACCACGCACACGGAATCGAAAACGCCCTCCTTACCGCACTTTGGGCAGGCGCAACCGTAGAAATCATGCCTCGCTTCGATCCTCAGGCGGTATGGCTTCCACGCGCATTCGAGAGCCTGTATTCATTGAGGGATGCCAACACAGATCCTTGACCGGTGGCAAGATCAACGACGGGACCTGACTCTTTTCATGGCCGTGCCGACCATATATTGTGAGTCTGCGATGTCATCCCGGGTCTGGGCTAACATATCACTCAGCTCGTCTGCTTCAGACTGCGGCAAAGGCAACGGACCAGCAGCGAAAGGATCTGCGCGCTGCATGTGACCAATTCAGGCTTCAGATATCAGGCTCTGCGCCTCTGCCTACGACAACAAAGCAACGATGGAAAGAGTTTAGCGGCTGTACACTGCTCGAACGGTACGGCATGAGCGAGACATCAATGATTCTGTCATGCGGCATCGACATCGCCACTCGCATTGACGTAAGCCACGAACGCTTGGCTCAGTGTGAGCTCAGATGGGCTCTCAGGGACACGTTGGGCACCCTATGCCCCGCCAGCAAGTCAGACTCTGGAATGAAGATCAGCAACAGGACGTCACAGATCGACTCGACACCCCTGGTGAGATCCAAATCGCCGGAGCTTCTGTTTTCAAAGAGTACTGGCAGAGGCCGGAAGCTACCGCAAAAGAGTTCACTTCAGACGGCTGGTTCAAGACGGGCGATCTAGCACAACGCTCGAGCCAATTTGATGGCTCTTACAGGATCCTCGGCCGCAACAGTACGGACATCATCAAGTCTGGAGGGGAGAAGATCAGTGCTCTGGAAGTAGAACGTGCTCTGCTCGATCTGAAGTACGTCAAGGATGCCGCAGTCGTGGCAGTGCCGGACGACAAGTGGGGCGAGGTTGTGGGCGCGGTGCTGGTGTTGACAGCGTCGAGCCAGTCCATCGATATCAAGTCTCTGAGGCAAGATTTGCGCCAAACTGTAGGTCATTTTCGATTCAGTACATAAGCCTGACTGATGTGCTGCTCAGCTGGCTGCATACAAGCTGCCCCAGAGAATTAAGATCTACGACGAGATTCCACGCAATGCAATGGGTAAAGTGCAAAAGAAGCCGCTTTCACGCACTGCTTTCCCGCCAAGCAGTCAGACAGCAAAGCTATGACAGGATGCTGCTGCAAATAGAGTGTACAACATATCACCGAAGCAGAACGACAACAGTCACTCATGCCGGGTCTGGTTTGCTCGCCTGAGGTGGTGGACAGCAGCTTCCGTCCGCACAGTCAGCCGACACGCACTGCACGTAGCATGAATCCTGGCCAAGATTGCATCAGCATAGAAGACCTCTTATGCACAGCAACTCACGTCGACTGCTTCGACTTCGCTCAGGGTTGCTAGCTGGCCGACGGTTGGCTTTGTGGGCCTTATCCTCTGCTCGCCTATTATTTCGGGCTGTATCGTGCTCGAGTGGATGCCATATGAGTGCAGCACGGTCCGAATTCGGTCACTGATCTCGACATAGTCTGTCTTCGAAGGGACAAGGACGTGTACGGATGCCACAAGTACAGATTCTGACAGAGACCAGATGTGGAGCTCGTGAACAGACACGACGCCCTGTACTTCCATGATGGCATCTCGCACGCGATCGACGGGCACTGTGCTTGGTGTCCCTTGCAGGAGTATGAATGACGCCGACTTGACTGTGAACGCAGCTAGGTCAGCCTCGTCTACACAGCAGGCGCAGGACGCTTACCCAGAGGTAAAGCGCTCGCAAAGATGATGCAGGTGATCAGGAGGGATATGGCAGGGTCAAAGTAAAAGCGGTATTGCCATGTAGACAGCCAGATGACGAGCCCGGCTACAATGACCCCAACATTGCCGAGGGCATCGCCGAGGACGTGAAGGAAGACACCACGCATATTCATATTGCCATGAGAATGTCCTGTACTCCCTGCTGGTTTTGGCCCATGTTGGTGTCCATGATCCTCCTCATCATCTGCATCTCCTCCGTTCTCGTGAACATGCGGAGAGCTGTGATCGTGATCGTGCCCGTGAGCGTGTCCATTGGACTTTGTGCGAGAGGGCAGGAATGGCGCGCGCTCCGATGAGTGTTCGTCCAGAGATTTTGAGCTTATGCTCGATCGCTTTGGCTTGTTCGGTGTATTGATAGCGCCGTAGCCGGCGGAAGGCCCTGTCTGGGAAGAGACGGAGCTGCCATATCGATGACCCTGTGCCCGGCGAACGACATTGGCTCTCGCTTCTGCAGGGTGGACGAACAGCTCGTCGTATTCGCTCTCAATGTCGTCCTGCTCATCACGCGAGCTCGAAGAGATCGAGATGGCTCTGGATCTCCTGTTGGTCATGCGACCTTCCTCGGCGATGTTTGACGCGTCCAAGGCATTGGCATGCGTCTCTGTCTGATCGGACGGACTATGGGTGTGACCGCCATGGCCACCATGCCCATGCTCTGCGCTGGATCAGCGACGTCCCAGTATCATGCTTTTTGTGAAATCAGCCTACCGTGGAAGAGGAAGAGGCCGACGACGTTGCTGAGCAGGCCGAGCGAGCCGACGATGACGACGAGCTTGGGCGAGCCGACCTCTGTTAAGCGAGCAAAATGATGAGCGACTCGGCGTCTCGAGAGTACAGACGTACCTGTGGCGTTAAAGAATCGCTCGATGGCTTCCATAAAGATGGAGAAGCAGAGAGCGAGCAGGAATACGCCGTTGATGAGAGCGCCCAAGATCTCCGCGCGCTGCCAGCCATAGGTGTACTTCGAGTCGATATCTGCCGCTGATCGTTGTGCGAGCTTGATCGCGTAGAGGGCTACGATGAGCGAGCAGACTGTGACGTCGAGCCTGAGTCAGCAAAGCAGCGAGGGAGACGCCAGGAGTAGTGCCGCTTGCCATCATTGAGCATCTGCAGATCCCGACAAGTCAGCGCCGTCGACGAGATTGATCACCAGAGGGCTCACATGAAAGCTGTCTGCCACAAGGGCGAGCGATCCGACCGCATAGCCCGTGATGAGCTCAACTAAGAGAAAGACCGTGTCGATGGCCAAGAGAATCTGCGCATGTCAGCCAAGTGGTCAGTCACCGGATGGTCGGGTCACTCGGCAGCACGCTTGCCTTGATCCTCGTCGTTCGACCCGCCATTCTGACTGTGCTCTCTGGCCTCTCAAAGCCTGCGACCGCTGAGCGAGCCAGGCACCTTTGGACTTTTGCCTCCGCCGCCGCCGCGTCACGTCTTGTCACTCGGAGTCCAACGTAGTACGTCGACTGCTCCGACCTCGTGCCGCTCAAATATGTCTGGCAAGCCCGTGACAGCAGCATCGTCATGTCGTCGCTTACTCTGTTGGTCCCCTCAGCGGACGACGGACATGTCAGAGTGACCTACGAGGAGATTCACCTTATCATTGGCAAGACGGCAGCAAAGATAAGAGATGAATTCACTCCTGATATGATGATTGCCATTGGTGCGCCTGGCTCGCATCATTGCTCCTGTACTTATCCTCTGTTCCGCAGGTGGAGGGTCAGTCATCTCGCTCTCTTGACTTGGCTTTCTCACGCGACGGTCGACACCTACAGCGGCTTCTTCCCCGCTCGTGTCCTCGTCAGTCAGCCCCTGGCCTTGCGTCGGTGCCAAACCTCACTCGTGTTGACTGCAGCGCTCCTTCCTCAAAGATTCCAAAAAGCGCAACATTCCTATACAGGTAGACCATCTGGTCGCTAGCTGGTTTCTGCGCGTGCGGTAAAACTCGCGCCCAGGCTATCGGTCTCTCGCTCTATGAGGAGCTTGGCGCGCTTGATGGCTCACTCAACGGTCCGTCGACGACCGAGGAAAAGCTTGGCAAAGAAGTCGTCCGGACCCAGTGGTTGGATCACTCCACCCTTGGCGCGCGTCCACTCATCGGTCGCAAGATCCTCATCGTTGTCCGTGTACCGAATCCGCTCCATCTTCCTGAAGCGCTCATGTACTGCCATGCAGGACGAAGTAGACGACTCGCGCACGTATGTCATCGCTCTGCCAGGTCTGTGCTGCCCGACTGAACGGAACTTTCAGAACACTGGGCTACGCAGTCACCGAGCTCCAAAAGGACGTTGAGCATCAGCTAGCCTTGCTACCGCCTGAGCGTCGCTCAGCCGTCAGGCCGACAGAGTTTGCCGTTTTCGTTGGTGCGCGCAACTTCACGCTCACCCTGTGCGAGATGGCCGTTGATGTGCCCTACAGTACACAACAAGCTCAAGGAAAAGCTCGGTAGCATCCCCGGGCATATCAAATACTTCTCAGGTCACATCAGGCTCTGACTATGGCTGACTTGATGAACTGACGCCGTCACAGGCGAGGACATAGAGGATGCATGGGTGGATGTGAGCCCCTCAGATTCAGCTCGTCTGCGAGCTGACAAGATCGTCACAGTACCCCTGGGAACAGACAGGCAAGCAGTGTATACGCTCCAACAACCTGACTGACCTCGTTGACAGATATTGTCCTGCACAACAAGCTTGCTCAGGAAGCCAGGGCACGGACAAATTGATGTTTCGTGGACATTCGCGCCAAGCATGCATTCCTTTCGACGAGTCTTAGATGACAACGCTGAGCATGTCACCCGAAGAACCCTGTATTGGCTGGCCCATTGGCCTTTCGTCCGCGCTGCGTTCAACCGTGCCGGGCACAGCAGATCCAGCTTGTGCTTTGCCGTAACCATCGTAATAGTTTGGACTGCATGCGACCGGATCAGCTACCCATTCGATGGGATGGAAGATAGGGACGGACTTGCGATACGCATGGTCCGTCCTGGGCACAGTCACAGGCGAAGTAGGCTGAGGGTTCGCCTGTCCTGTACTTGTCGCTGCTGACTTGATGCTGAGCATGTGCGAGATGGCCGGTCTATGCTCGTGCTGATGCCTCAGTGGCGGCAGATTATCGAGATGAATCAGAGGCTCCGGTTGCGCGGAGCGAGACCTTGACTTGTACACGCGAGAGATCTCATCGCCAACGCTTTTCGGTCTGAAAGGCGGGATAGGTTGTATGTCTGCCAGCTTTAACGGGCTGTGACTAGCCTGTTCATAATCTTTGGACTTTGCAAGCATTTGCGACACCTGTCCTATAGCGGTCGGCTTGGTGATAGGAGGAGCCGTCTCTTGTAGAGAGTGATCGCGTTTGTGGAGAGGACTATCGCTCGGCGGCTCAATCCGTCGCATCGCTCGGCGATGACCAGTACTTGTGGACGCAGCCTCGTCCAAGAAGCTCGTGTCGGCGTCCCCGTGCAGCGGCGCAGGCGCGTAGCGGCTTTTCTGACGATTGCGATTGCGTCGCTCGCGCTCGGCATCAGTGGCACGCGATGCGGCAGCATTGAGATCATTGATGGGAAGACCTTGTTGAAGACGGGGTAGCAGATCACTTTGGTAATCATTGAAGATGGCCGGCCTTGCAATCGGGGATGGCATGAGCAGTTCTCGTGACGTCATATGCTCGAGATCCGTCATGACATCGGTTGCTGACAGCCGCCAGATTGCGTGTGCCTGCAGCGCATTCCTACTACTGGCTTCCAAATGAGATCGGGCAGGGTCGTCCAACGCAATGAAAGGCCTCGGCTCGGGTGGAGGCTCGTAGCCTAAGGACATGGGACCTGAGGGCGCCCGCGCTATCAGCCTGATCTCTGGCTCTAGTGTCGGCGCTTACGATGAGGCTCGAGCACGAAGTGCTCGTGCGAGAGTTTCGCTCGCTTGCGATCTTGACAGGTGACGAAAGTCGCACGGTAAGCTCGCTTCTCGTCCTGCTCGAGCGCTTCTAGGTCAGCGGCCGCGTAACCGGTATGCACTGCACGCCCGACCTGCCACCGTGTCCACACCCGTCGCAGCTGCTCGTAAAGCAGGAGCTGACCTTCTTCTTCGCGGCGAATCTGAATTTGCGCCGCCGTCCGCAAACGCTCTTGCTTCTCGGTCTGGAGACGCGTCAACAGGTCCGTCAAGAGGGGATGTGTGCCTGCTTCAACTAGCTTCTGCTCATATCTGACCGTCGCGAGCAGCCTGCATCAGGCAGCGTCAGCTGAACGAACAGGCATCCGAGATTGCTCTTACTTGTGCCTTAGCGCCTCGTTCTGCTGTCGTTCCTCCTCAAGCCGCTGACGTTTACTTGAGGTTATTGCTATACGACAAGCATATCGATAAGCTCAGTCTGTCATACATATGCGACAATATACCTGAGCCTTCGCGACGGCCCTGTGCAGCACTTCTGGCACCTCGGGCGCCTGTGCGAGCCTCTCGCACATCTTCGGGGGAGGTGACACCAGTGTTCACAGGTTCGCTGTCCTCACGAGTGCTCAACGGCGAGCTTGATCGTGACTCTCTGCCTATAGAATTGCCGAAACGCGCGAGCGAGGCAGCATTGTTACGCTCGAAGGCTCTATCGAGATCGCCGAGCGTGATTGAACTGCTCGTGTGACTGATCCCATCCAATTCTTGCGTTGGGGTTGCAAGGTGCTCAAGAGATTGTCGTTTGTCTGAGTGAGGTTGCGCGGTCTGTGCTGATGCCTTTTCGTCAGAAAGCATGCTTTTGAGCGTCGAGCGCTTAGCGTTGCTGGCAGATTCGCTATATTCCGATTCCAATGAACTCAGGTCGGAAGACGAATCGCGCGGGCGGAGCGTATTCTCAGCACCCTCGGGGCGAGCGTCCGCAACAGGCGAACTGGATCCTAGAGCACTGTTTGACTTTGTACGCTTCGTGGGCAAGTCAATGCTGCCTTGCTCTGTGGCCACTTCTTCGCCTTCTGCATCGTCCTCACCGCCGCTGCTCGAGTTTGGATCGACATATACTCCCTTGGAGACCATGACAAGTGGTCTGGCTGCGACTTTGTTTGGCTGAGTTTGGTCGCTTAGACGTCGGCGAGAGCTACTTTGTTGCGTACCCGGCGCCTTCTGGGGATCTCCTCGTCGTCTGGCTGGCGCGCGCTCCCTCTGTGGAGAGCCAAATCCGCTTTTGCTCGAGGTCGATGAACGTGGACGGCTTGACTGATTGAGATCTGGCGATAAAGAGGCCGCGCTCGTGAACGCGGCGATCGAAAGAGGCGCGGGCGCCTGTGTCCGTGCGCCATTTCGGCTGGAACGAGATTTTGAAGGCGCGTTACTCGCGGCTGATGATCTGCCGCGGCTGCGACTGTCGGGCTTGCTTGATTGCCGCCCTGGTGGTATATCCGACCGCTCATCGTATTTGACGTGCGCACGCCGCCTGCGTCCTGAATGACTGCTGCCGGGCTGGTCAGATTGTTTCCTTTCGCGTCTTCGCTGTTTACGCTCGGCTCGGGTCTCAAACTTGATGTTGGCTGCTGCTGTGCGGAGGGCAGCCAGCTCACGAGAGGTGCCTTTGACGTCTTGGTCGATTTCTTCATCGGTCGACGTTTCAGAATTTGACGAGTCATCTGCCTCTTGCTCCGAGTCTGACGATGTTTCTATTTGTCCTGATCTGCTCTTGTCCTTCGATATAGACCGCGGTCGCGTGGGCACGACGGTCTGATCTGCGCTCGAAGAGGTCACAGACGTCGAGGCTGATCGAGACGAAGTAGATGTGTCTTGCCGAGACGCCTGGCTTGCTGTGGGCAATGCGTGCTCGTAAAAAGACGCGGCAGGAGCGGGCTCCATCTTGCTTATCGTCTCGGCGACGGGTGACGCCTTTTTCGTCTTAGTGCGCGATCTGGGCACGCTGCCCTCTCGCGGTACGGAGGTGCGACGAGATGCTAAGCCCGCAGGTAGCGGAACTCCCTCCACCTCGATGGGGGGCGATTGCGACTTCTTCTGAGTATAGGCAGAACTCGAGCCCTCACCAAACTTGGGAGTCAAATCATTGTATACGGCCGCATTGGATCGCAGAGCGTTCAATTCTCGGACAGATCCGCCGAGACTGCGCTTCTTGCCACCATCGTGACGGACTCGCTGGTCGGGATGAGACATTCCGCTCGTGTGGAAGACGGACAAGCTGCTCGGCGAGGGCGGCGTTGTGTCTGCGCTGCTGGCTGGCCGGGCTGACGTTGACGCTGCCGTCGACGTTGACTCAGTCAGTGTCGATACAGACGAAGCTGAGGCAGAGTCGCAGGCTGCACTCATAGCGCGCGCGTCGTCGTGCATCGTGGCGTGTCATCAGCACCATTGGCGGCGGGTCACTGTGGGGATATCAGAGCGCGTCTCCGCTGTCCAAAACCGGCGAGTTTGGCGAATTTACCTTTGCCATCGCCGCAGCGGCATTGCTTGCGCGGGATGCAATTCAGCGCTGGTTCCGATAATCTAGCCAGAGTATGGCAGAGCTTGTACCGGCCAGCCCTGATAGAAGCGATTTGCAATGCAGATAGCGTGGATGTTCTTCGTAAAGCAATTTAGCATCCTTCCACAGACTTGCCCACTCTGTCAACATTCTTTGCGACTACTTGCGGTCCGTCGCACTGGGTCGTCGACCGGTGCACACTGTGCCACTATAAACATCCTCCCTCACTCGACAGGGGCCCGGCGAAGAGCAGGACCGAGTGGGTCGAGCTGACTAGACTGATCAAGCTGCTCGCTCTGCTGCTGATCGCCCCACATTGTGACAATGGCATCGCTCATCACGACCACTCGATGCCATTGGAACGACAGCACACAGCTGGCCTTTGACCCTGTCTACGCTATGGCGTCCACGAGAGCAAAACACGCACCCGCTCGAGGTACGCAGACAGAGGCGCATACCAAATCGTGCTTTCAGCCCTCTCACGAACAGACTCGTCTGCACTTTGATGGTCTCGCCGATCGATGCCGAGCGCAAAGACTGCCGAGCGTAGTTGGGACAAATCTAGTCGAATACGCTAGCGAGCCGCACGCTGTCCAGTACGAGCCATTCGATATGTGGCCCGACGAGCCTGCATCTACTGTTACGCGTGGCACTTTGACACCGAGAACATCAGACAATGTCATCAATGGCAAGCCGGTCAGACAAAGTGACAGTCCGGCGCGACCGATTGCCGTTAAGCCTGCGTACCGCGACACGGTGCATGCAGATCCGGACACTGCGAGAGCGTTCTCGAGCTCGTACGACGATCAGCTATATGTCCCTAGACCTCATCGGCAGATCTCGTCTGAAGATGACCTGCTGTCCACTGGCAATGCCAGCGAGTTGCAGTCCGATTCTCAGCCGATAGGCAAGCCGAAGACGCGACCTGCCATGGGCTGGCTATCCAGTATGATTGCAGCAGGAAGAAGGCCAGATCGTCATTCAGGTACGCCCGAGCACCGGGAATCGATCGATTCCAACGCGTCGCTCCCCTCGCCCCTGCAACATGCACACAAGTCAATCTTGGCTAACAATGGCGCAAATGTCCTGAGCACACGTCGAGATCAACCAGACTACTTCTCTTTCAGGCGTGCCTCCGCCGATACAGCGAATGCATCGAACAGGCCAGGCACGCAGCAACGACGTTCATCTGGCCCCGAGCCAAAGACAATGGGCCCAGCCGAGCCTGGTTCTATGTTGCCGCCTCCAGTACCCAGCAAGAGGCTCAACAAGCAGGAGACCGCAGATCAAAAGAAGCAGAGCAAGGTTGTTCTCTCTGAAGGAGCAGCGGTGCACATTGTTCTCAGCGATGCCAAGACCTTTCGAAAGGTTCTCGATGATCCGATAGCATTATGGAAGTTCGGAAGATTCCTCGCCGAGCAGATGTCAGCGGAGCCGTTAGTATTCCTCTCTCAAGTGGCGTTCGTTCCTGCTGAGATCGCTGCGATAGCTTGGTTTTCTGGCTCAACTCGACACAGCTTTGCAATGATTTGAAAAGCGTCACTGCACTCACGAAGCAGCTCCATCGAGCACACGTCCCGACCTCTGCTCTGCTGGCCCTCAATCTGTCGGACTGCGAGCGGGCTACGCTGCAGCGAGATACCGATAGACTTCTGTCGCTACATGATCCATTCGCCGCCGCACGAGCAACTGCGTTTGATGTCTTGCACAAGGAGCTTTGGCCGAAATTCATCAAACATCGGCTTCAACTGCTCAATGAAGCCAAGATGCATCTCGAGTCTGCCTCGGCAAAGAGTCTGAAAGTAGGTCTGGCGTTTGCCCATTCGCTTCCTGCCTGACGTGATGCAAAATAGTACATGGAAAGCTTCTGCATCACAGACGCCTCGGCAGGCCGCTATCAGCCTATCGTAGCCTGCACAGACGCATTTGTCGTTCTGACAGGCTATTCGCGCACAGAGCTCGTCGGAAAAGACTGCCGTTTTCTGCAAGGCCCAGGGACCTCGAACGTCAGTCTTGGCAACCTCAGCCGTGCTATTGCGGGCCAGAAGCCGGTCTCGGAACTGTTGCTGAATTATACAAAGAGTGGTCAGCCCTTCTGGAATTTTCTGCGGCTGCTCCCCCTCTTTGACGAAACGGGCGCCTGTCGTCATTTCCTCGGCCATCAGATCAACGCATCAGCGCTCCTGACGGATTCTAGCGATCTGAGTACGCTTCTCCGTGACGATCTTGACGACTGCGACGATCTTGAGCTTGCTAATGCAACTGACGGCATCGACCAAACCCAGCCCACCGATCTAGCGACTCTTCATCGCGTGGCAGTTGCTGCTGCAATCAAGTCACGCATCTCCACTCTAGTGAAAGATGGACAGGTCGACGGTCGAGCGACTAGACGTCGGCCAGCATTGGCTGGCCGCTCGAGCAGCAGATATTCCGCGAAGCCGGGCGAGCTTGCTTCGCCGGACATCGAAGCAGAGCTCACGACACGCGAGACAGCTTTAGCCAGGCTTACTCTCGGCTCTGGTCAAGCGAAGGCGCCCGACGTCTCGTCCGTCAAACACCGCAATTCCCTCGATTGGAATCTGCACGGCATCGTAATTGCACAATACTCGCCAACGGACTATTCTGTAGAGGCACGTAGGCTATCGGCCAGACAATCGCGAGGCGTTTCGTCCATCTACTCCAGCGAAGCTTCACGAGCTGCGTCACGAATACCAGATACAAGCAAGATCGCACTAGAGAGTCCGCTAGAAAGCTATGTCATTGTCAACCCTTGCACGCACCGCATCACTTTCACCTCGTCGCAGTTGTGCGCCGAACTAGCACACGGCGTCGATTTCGCCAAACTGCTGAAGGCCTACAATCCTGCAAAGGTCTATCGCGACACGAGAGACGCATTTCAGAATCGTCGCAACGCAGAGATACACGCCCGTTTACGCCTACGCGACTTCGAACTACCTCGCGACGGCACCGCAACACCCTGTAATGAGCCGATCAGGGGCCAGATTAGCGGCGTGCGGCTCATCATTCGCCACTTGACCGACAAATACGGTCAAAATGGGCTCATTGTCGTCCTGTTTCAGTGACGTTGTGCTGCATGCTGTGTTGTATCATGCCCGTGCAAACAATTACAATCAGCTTCTCAGACCGGCTTCTTCGCTCATATGGATGTGTGGAGGTTCGTCTACGACTGGCGCAAGCACTTTGGCGGCTGACATGAACCTGGCGAACGCGTCAGTCAAGCAGAGGGCGGCCTGCCAGCAGCGAATCTCACCAGGCTGCATGCGAGACGCCAAGGTCTCTGATGCTGACGGCCTGCTGGCTGCAGGTCGCGACGAGTTGCTCAAAGGCGTCTATTCGAAGCGTGAGCTCTTGTAGGCGTGTTGAAAGGAGGCTGATCTGCCGTGCTTTGAGCGATTGCGTGCTGCTCGGTCCAGGCGCAATTGACTGCCTTGACATGCGGCCAGCGAGTGTACGAGGTCTCAGCAGTGCGACGAGCCTCGTGATCAGCCGGATGTAGCTGACAGCGACGCTGTGTGCCTGTGGGCAAAGATGACTTGACTCGACTTGAGCTTCCACGTTAACAACGCGTCCGTTCGCCGGTGGATTCCTGTCGTCGAGCACCGGGCAAACGGTACGATCGGTTTAGCGACGAGTGCGCAGACTGACCTGCCTGCCGCTCAGGCTACCTCGACGCTTGATCTCTGTCCTTTGACCGCAACAGCAGGATCCGCTGCAAAGTGCACGAACTTGAGTGCGTGTGTCTGCCACAGCAGCTCGGGCAGGATCCGAGAGGTCTACGACATCGATGTCTCGCAAATCAGCCGGAGCAAGTGTGCGTCGGACCAAAGCTCGCAGTGACCGAGGCACGCAATCCCAAGCGATCCCTGCGCTGCCGCACAGCGACGCCTCAGACTCGTCGAGAGTGAGCCGGACACCAAGTCTTGCACAGTCTACCACTGGCGACGATGCAGTGCAGCCAGCACGAGCGACAGACGATGATGATGATGATGATGACCTAGATCGGCTTAGTCAAGATCAGCTGCTCGTCATGCGACTTTTGCTACACGAGACCTCTGGTTACCCCGGCTCAAGCAGGCAGCACTCAAAGGAGATCATCAGTGCAATCGATGCCCGTCTCTTGCTCACAAAGCCGAGACTGCAGAGCTCGCTGATGACCAAGTGGCCAGCCACAAATGACAGAACGCTCGCACCCCTCCCCAAACGTCGACGGAGTAACGAGCGTTTGTCAGATCTGCATCAGGGCCAGATATCGCCCGCGACTCCTGTCGTCCCGAATGGAAGACACCTTCATGATGATGTCCTTGAAGCTGCGTCTAGCTCTGATGGGCATCACAGTGGTATGTAGCGCGAAGTATACTCGCCATCGCCGCTAAACAGTGTTGCAGACGTATGCGCACAGGCACATTGCGCAGAAAATCTTGAGCATATAGCTGACGGGCGATCTGGTGAGCACACTTCGATGTCGTCCGCACCAATGTCGGCAGACTCGCCCTCGGCGCTCTATCCGCCGATCTTCAGCATCATCGAGCCATGGACAAGAAAAGTCGCGTCACAGACGAGTCTATTCAAGAACGCGTACGAAAGCCCAACAGAATCGACTCGCACTTGCTCGCCGCTCGTAGCAGAGCACACAGGAGTAGCTCCACAGGAGTGGGTGAAGCATCCAGAGGCGCAGTCAATTTTGCATGACCTCGCCGCTTCTGTCAGACGAACCCCTTCGACACTGCTGGCGTCGTACATTAAGGATCGCTGTGCGGAGTCGGCGGGAGACAATTCAGAAAGCGCAACTGAACAAGCAGTACCTGCAATTGAGATTTCCGCAGCTGAAGCAGATATTGGGCCGTCTGAGGACGACGAACACGAGGCCGGAGCTCTCGCACCTGCAATTTGCGGCGCTTACAAGAAGAGGAAGGTGCCTCTTACGCCTAGCGACGCAGCCTCGGACTCCGACATCAACTCTCGCACTGGCCTGTCAGATTCATCCGACGCTTCGGAAGCTTCCGATGCCTCCGACGTCGAAGCAGATGACGAGAGACCCATCAAAGCGCGCACACGCTCAGCAGATCTCAAGATCGATGGCGTGGACATGACTGATATCGTCCTGAATCGCTCTGCTCGCGAGTGCGATCTCAAGGCACTCAATGGCTGGGACGGCGAAGCGGAAGCAGAACACGATCCCGATCGTCCAGCGATACTGGATCGCTCTAGAACTACTCGCAAGGTCGATATCAGCCAAGGTATTGGCCTCGAAATGCTAGCGCTGGTTCGAGGTGCGTCTCGTTCGCAGGCCAATGACTTTCAAGCTGAGCAGATACAGGTGCGGCCGTATCCGCCTCAATCTCGCGCTACACTGCGGGTGCAAGGCTGCCTCGCTCATCCTGTCTATCATCGTATCGCAAGTGGCGCAATCCGTCCCTTCGAATGGAGCGCGTGGCAATCAAGGCCGCTCTGGCTTACGAGCCACGCTATGAACACTCAGCAAGCATATCCTTTGGCACTGAAGACGTCGAGCGTGCAAAGGATATCCTCGCGGCAGCCCGCAGCTCAGACGGGCTGAGAACGTCAGCAAAGAGGAAGAATCGCCCGCCTCTTATCACAAGTGCGGCGCGACCGATCACAAAGCCACCTGCGATCGAGCCGACACTCTCGACACTCAAAGCCATCACTTTGCCAAACTTGTGTGATACTTCGCATAGACTGGCTGAGGAGGGCCATGCAATGGATGCATGGACGCGCTCGCGCAAGCATGGCTACATCACCCCGCCTACATCAGAAAGTGAAGATGATCTCAAGGATGACTGCAAGCTCATCGCATTCAAGCAAGTGCCGGCGCCCCATCTGTCCGACTTCACTTTCGAACGGATCGCGCCGGCTGCAATCGAGATTCGCTCCGAGGAAATTCGTAGATGCATGGCGAAGATCAGCCAGGCCAAATTCGTCATTCGGGAGAGAACCCGCAAGCTTAAAGAACTCAAACAGCTCCAAGATGCAAAATCAAAACTGCTCGCTGAAAAGGCAGAGTTGGAAGCGAATGTCCTGGAACAGGCTCCTCCACCTGCTCGGATCATTCGCGCATCTATTGGCGTTCAGACAGGCGAGGTTGATGGCAAGGTCATCATTCCGCGCACTTACGTCCCCTTGATGACGTATGCGGAAGGCGAGTCAGTCTCCCAAAGGCGAAAAGTGACCAACCCTTCGCCAAAGTGTACTTGTGGCAAGGCGCACTGTGGCAATGCCGCTAATGGAGATGTGAAGCTAAAATCAGCTGAGAAAGATCCTTCTGCTACGACCAAATCAAGGAAAGGCCGTAAGAAGAAGCGTGACAAGCTGGCAAACGCCAAAAACCCGCATTATCGTGACAATTATGTGCCATCTCGTACGCGCTCGGCTGGTACACATGCCGCTTTGTCGAGCATGTTCAGCGAGAGCACGGGCTCCATGAAACTGAAGGACTATCCTGACAGCTCGATCACACCTCACCCTCAGCTGGGCGCATCTAAGCTAGTGCCATGGATTGCAGGACAAGACGAATGGATCTGCTCAAATTGCGAATACAAGTTGCTCTACGGGCCTGCAAAGGGCCTGAGCGCGATCCTGGACGCCCGCAACAAGGTTCTGAAAGTTCGCACGAAAGCTCAAGAGCGTGCTTCTCGCGCGGCCAACGGCAAGGGCCCTACAAAGGGTGACAAGAAGTCCAACAGATCGAGCAAGAAAGTCGATAGGGTTGTCATCAGCGTTGGCACTCAGACTGACGCCTCGTATGGCGCTCTCGCGTCGCGTGAGCCCGCGAGCGGACCTGGCAAGCAGGCAGATGTATGAAGGATTCATGCATTCAGCCAACTTATGAGCGAGGCCACGATAGTCCGCGCAGCTGCACTGTGATCTGGAGGCAAAGCCCTGCCCTCGCGAAAGGCAGCCTTTGTCTCACAGCCCAGCCGATAAGCTCGCATGATGAGATGCTCCCATTGACCGCTCTCGAAGGCGTCGCGTGACATCTCGACTGGCTTGCCTTGTTGCTCCATGAGTCTCTTGAGGCCGTACTCCTCGATGAACAATGGTCTCGGAACTGCAAAGGCGGTGATTAGCGCTTCGCAAAAGCTCATGTGACCATCGCTTACCATAGATGAATGGTGTTTGAGTGGCGACAGCTTCGCTACAAGTGCCATAGCCCTGCACGTACGTCTTTCAGAGTGGATGCGACAACAAATCGGAGGACTCACTAGCTTGCCCAATATGACATCAGCTGTGGCGGTCAGATCAGGCACGTATACATCTTTGCCCGTTGTATAAAAGTTCGGTGGCAGCAACTCGCCGGATGAATTGTCGTAGCCGCACAAGATAGCAATCCAGCCTGGCGGCAGCAGTCCACACTCATTCGATACGTCCGATGGATAGGATCCGTCGTCATGCGGATCGGGCATCGCTAATGATATTGTATGTCGCACAGGCGAGGGATGTGTGAGAGCCGGTGGCGCGCCGGGCACATACAGGTGGTCAGGCGTTGCCAATGGTCGGCTGACTTGGCAGGCTACCTGCGACGGAACTGCATCCGACAGAACGGCTAGAGGCAAAGGCGAGCCTGGGCTGATGGGAGAAGGGGGTCGGCTTTTCGGGTTGGGTATCTTTTGACCACCGAAGCTGACGAGCAGTATTTTCGTTGTCTGTGGATCCTGAAGATGTGTAGGTATCCCGATCGACGTCAAGAGACGAGTCCGCTCTGAAGCGTCATAGATACTCGCCTTCGCTGGCCTGACGATGAGAGGCATGTCGAAGCGTTGCCTCTTTGGTGTCCTTACATTCCGCACAGAATCTGGCAAACCTATCACATCTAGTATGGCCGTCGTGAAAGAGCCTTTGTTCAGGTCGACCCATGCTGTGCTCGGCAGACGTGCGTCGCCATCAAAGGCAGGTATCGGAATCGCGCCGGGTAATCGAAGAAGCAGGGACGCATTGGCATAGTCAGCGATGACCTGCTCAACGAGTGGCGCCAATAGCTCCGCGGGAAGTGGTGCCGAAGGATCCTGACTGATGCTGGAGAAGTCGTCCAGGGTGGGCAGACCGTCAGGAGCTGAGCGGGCTCGACGGCTCGCGACGCTAGACGACTGCGTCGTCGGCGAGACGGCAAATGGTCTGAGCATGCGAGGAGCTTGATCACGCAGGGATAGATAGGAATAGCAAGTGCAGAAGGTGAAGTTGGATATGATTGCAGCGGGAATGCCAGCGCACTTGGCAGCAGCACTGTGCGTGACTGAGCCCTTCCTTCCACTCTGTGTGAGCGTAAAGGCGTACCATGGCAGAAATGGCGCGTCAACAAGAACGCAATCTATCGTGTTTGCTTTGAGAAAGGCCGTCTCTGCTTCTATCATTGCTGGCCTGCTGGCCATGAATTGGGCAAGGCCCTTGATGGTCGCAAGTCTGTCGACATCATATGCTTTGGGCTGAGATATACCAGCGTCAATGAGTGCATGTCTGTAGGTAGCTCTTGGTCTCTTCGAGTGCGGCTCCCTTCGGGAAGCTGACGGCTGCCACTCGAGTGCAGCAGTGAAGACATGGCTTGGCGCATTCGTGATGATGTCGACCAGATGTCCTTCTTCTAGGAGTGCGATCGTCAATGCTGTCACTCTCGTACAATGCCCGTAGCCATGTCCGGAGCAATAGTAGGCAAAGTGATGTTGCTGGCTCATCTACGCAGGGGCAATCTCCCGCCTGCCATGCGTTCGTTCGACGTTCGTTCGACGCGTATCGATTTATCAAGATATCAATCACCGAGAGCGCGTCAGAACTAGACCCGTCAAGCCTTGCAGGCCCAGGCCTCGTCCTCTGCGAGTCAAGCTCGCAGTCATTGTATTGCAATCTGGTCATGCAACACCTCCGCCTTGATGGCGCAGCCACGAATGTCGCTCGGGGCTACGGAGATTCGACGATCAGATTCTGTCCACCACCGAATGGATGAACAAGGAAGCAAACAGCTGCTGTTGACCAGCATGGTTCGAGAGGGGCAAATGCCGGTAGCCTGTGCAAACATTAGCAGCGATTCGCCGTCCGCTAACGAAAGGGAGCACTGACCCGGCAAGAGGTTCAGCAGACTGACAGTGTGTCGGCCGAGGACGACTTCGTTATCGTTGTCGTCATTGACACAGAGGTGCAGGAAAGCGAAATCCAAGAGACCGAGCTCGACTTCGATGTCGAGTTCCCAGACGGCATCAAAGATCGGGTTGAAGCCGTTCCCACTGCAGAATGGTTAGCTCGCTCAACATTCATGGTACGAGCTTACTGTATAGTCTGCGAGCGGAAGCGATACGCGCGCCCGCCAGGTACCAGGACGCTCGCCTCTACGTACGGAGAGATAGGACGAGCATCCTCGCTCACGAAAGCGCCGATGCCCTCCGCCGGATCGGAAGGACGACTGAGCTGCTGAGCCGAAACAATCACCAGTCTGAGCCGGTACGTATCCACCCTGACGAGAGCATCCTTGTCTTTCTCCAGACCCTTGCGACGCAATATGTCTGGCTTCAATATGTAGCCACACGTCCCATTCGTCGAGAAGAACGCCGCGTTGACTTCGTAGCCGAGGTCGAAGGTCTGAAAGTTCATGGCGGCCATGGATACACCGTTGACCCAAAATTGTAGTGGGCTGAAGTTGCTGGACGTGAATCGCGTTGCCGAAGGATAGCATCGAAGCAGATGCGTTCTACTGTGAGCGATCAACTCCATCCGCGCATCCCGGATCGTCTTGAGCATTCGACGCTCGCCGAGAGAGATCATGTGTGTTGGTGCATAGTGTTCCTTCTTGTTGAAGCCCCTACCCTGAACACCTTGCGTATACACTGCCAACCGTGCCAGCGCAAGGGCTGAGACAGCATCAGAAGAGCCAATGCTCGCAACCAGTCGCTCTGGAGACGACGACAGACGCGAGGAGGGATTGCGAGTGTTTGAGCGCGGGGGCGAAGATGACCGCATCTTACGGAAAGCATTATTGAAAGCTGCAAACGAGTCAGTCGCCGGAGCAAAAGACAACATGAGATAGTCACCTCTGCCGAGTCCAGCATCTGACCCGTTGGCATCTGTCGTGTCGGTCGACGAAGTGAGATCGGAGCTGCGTCGTTGGATCATTGACTTGACGCCGCTTGTGGGAGCAGCTTTATTCAATGTCTTGCACTTGATCAAGATGCGGTGCTGGAGCTCATGGGGGCTGGGTAGATCGCAGAGTTCATTGGTGTCCGTCATCAGGCGATCGTATACGAGAGCAGGACCGAGCAAGTCACGCAAGAGTGAAGCCAGTCGAGCTTGTCGAGCATTGTCGCAGTGTATCTCGAGACTGAGTATGACGGGATATGAGGATGCGACAAAGGCATACTTTGCGATGGCGCGGATCGCTTCACTTGCCTCGATACGTGTAGTGAGCGTGCGGCCGTGATAGATGACCGGCTCGCTTGTGCTATCTGTACCATCCCAGACGTCAAGCTCGACGCTACGGCAGCCCTGCTGAAGCGCTCTGATGTAGCCCTCGACTGAGCTGTTGCCTGCCAGTTGGCCTCCCAGGAGATATGTGTTGTGTGAGCTGTTGATGAAGTATTCGCATAGCGGCCGCGTCATGTCCATGTGTACCCGGGCTTCGCGTTCTGCGATGAAGCCATTGTCGGCGGAGGCCAGGAAGCTGGTAAGGCCCTCTGTCGTCATGTGGAACTTTTCGCGTCCGTCGAGCATCAATGTCGCAGCAGGGTCAGCGAACTTTTGGTGCAGCCCCTCGAGTGCGCTGTCGGCCATCTGAGATTTCTGGCAATCGCGCATGAAGCGCTGAAACGCAGGGTAATCAAGCAAAGGCTGCGTTCCTTGCTTTTGACTCTGGCCATACTGTCGAACGATAGCTTCGACATCCTTTCGGTAGCGCAGAAGACCGACAAAGTCTTGGAACTCGGTAAAGCTCAAGAAACTGTCTTTCCTGCGGTCGGATAAGTCGAAGTAACTTCGCAAAGTGAGGAGATCGACACCGATAGCCAGACGACGACAGATACCAGACACTTCTGCAAAAGACAGTCTGACGTGATCGTCCTGGATGTTTGCAGGCGACGCGGTAGCCTCGTCAGCCGATTGAAAGCCGCTGACGGCGAGGGACCAGCATTGTCTGAGAAAGAAGCGCTGTCGTCTACGGACGTGATCGAGGCCTCCGATGAGTCTCGCGCGCTGGTTGAAGAGACGAAGAAGTGCATCTCGCCACAGCGTAAAAGCCTCGTCCGACAGCGCAACGAAATGAAGCATCTTGAATTTGGCAGCAATGGAGGTACTGAAGACGAGCGTCATCCAGCGAGGCTCAGTTGTGATAGGAAGACCGAACTGCAGCCTGTACGGTCGACCTTCTTCTGCGAACCGTAGCTCGCGGATACTCTCTAGATTGACGATACCGCCTTTTCGCGACTCGTAAAGCAGTCTGCCCTCTTCGGGGACAATCTTGACGAGTCGCTGCTGTGCTTTCTTTGCGCTCACCTGCATGCAGCGTGAGCCACCGTGCGTCTGTGAGGCCTGACCAAAGTAGATTGACCTTGAGCAACAGCGTTCCTTGCCTGAGCCTCGCTGGGATCCAAGACTCGGCGGGCGATGTCGTGAGTCCATCGCTATCGTCCGCTTCGTCCGCTTCGCGCGGTCGAGCTGGTAGCTTGAGCGGTCTGCGGGCGTTGCGCATGCTCTCGTGCTCCTCGAAGAATGAGGAGTCAGCCATGTGGCACGGCTTGACGGCTCTGTGCGGGCGACGTGCATGATCATGCTAGCCGGAGAGGAGCAGCGAGGCTGTCATAGCACGACGGCCGACTGCTGCTTGCGTACATTCGACGTGGAGCTATGGACCGTCGATGGGATCGGCTGGGGGGCTCGACGAAATTGGCGCGACTGCTCCGCGTCAACAGCAACGTCCGCCTTGCGAGCTTTTGAGCCTCGTGGAAGCCTGGGCACGACGACTGCGGCGGCACTGAGCTGGTCCATACAACCCTCGCATCCATCAATCATGGCGAGCAGCGGACCGCTGAACCCGGCGAGTAGTCCGCAAGCTTCAGAGGGTATACTCGGTCAAAAGGTGTGTCTCAGCAGGGCCATGGCTGCCGTGATCGGAGCTCAGACAGGGCACCGACTGCACAGACTGATCTAGCCATCTCCAACATCCTCGTCAAGTCCGGTCTCGGCTTTGGCGTTGGCGTCGTGCTGAGCGCACTACTTTTCAAGCGTCAGTAGATGGAGGCCCCGAGCACGAGCACGAGCTGAATACTGTCCTGTCTCTTCCCTGCTGCGTATCGACATGCTTCACAGGACGAGCGTGGCCTGTCATCTTCTCCACAGGTGCCGGCCTAGGGTCGGGCTACTCGGACGCAGAACGCATCTTCAACCCGGCGGGCAACATACCAGGCTATCGCATATCGCTCAAGGACAAGCGTCAGCAATAGACTATCATTGCATTGGAAGTGCGCATCGCTCGATGAATCCATCGCCAAAGCATGCCGACAATCTGACTTTTGTCGGCGCGCGAAAGCCAGCCTTGAAATTCTTAATGCTTGGCACGAGCTCTTGCGTGAATCTGACTGCAGCTGTGGACGTATGTCGGTGCTGAGGACGTGTCTGATGACGCGCGTTCACGGCTGCTGCCTAGACGGACAAGCGAGCCGCTATCGTGTCCTTGCGCGCTCCTCTTCGTCATTTGGCTCTTTTGACTTTCCGAAGCGCTTGATGTTGCTGTTCGCCATCGGATTGACTCTGCCTCCCTCGCTCGACTTTTGTTCGACGCCCAGATACAATCTCTGGTACAATACAAATGTGCTGACAACGAGCAAAGGCGTGGCCAGGATGATCACTCGCAGACTGCACCCTGACACTGAGATTGCACACTGCTGTCATTCAGCCGATGAGCGCACCGTTTGCCTTGCGGGTGCAGCTTCCCGGATCCTTCCATAGTGCGCGTGCTGGACGGCTGTCAACTGTTGCTTCGGCGTGTCTTGAGCCAGCGGAAGAAAAGCGCGAGCTCGTCGTGGCTTCAGAGACGGAGAGTACCCTCGCTGATCGCGCTTGATCTCGTACGGCACACCTCGCTCTGACAGATCATCTGGCCAGCCCGAGAAGTTGGCCACAGCACGCTCTCCAGCAGATCTGGGCTGCTCCCATCGGCTGTGCCTCTCATGTTGCATCGCTGATCTCGCGCGCTGCAGCTCATGAGATCGCCTACAAGGAAGCACGCTGGAGGCGCTAGCCCCCAACGCACATCATGACGTGACACGCTACGGGCTGACCACTGTCTTATCGTCAGACCCTTGTCGCGAAATGTGTCGTCAATCCGTTCGCTCGGCGTTTAATTGACGCCCTTTCAATAATAAGGAAGGCTTCTTCTTCTACCACCAGCTGACTGCATCGATCTCAAGCCTGGTATCTGCTAACAAGCTGCGGCGGACACTGCTATCACCAGGCAAACTCAAGATCCCACCTTGTATGCATTGCATGCCTAGTGTCGCGAAAATTCAAATATCGCCCCGCGTTACAGATTCAAGAGTGACTAGATAGCCCGCGGAAATTCGCACGATTCTCTTCACTCGACTCGACTCGACTCGACTGGACCCGACATGGCATTGCAATTTCGCGCGATCGCTCGACGACCTGAGAGGCCCATAGAAGCAGATGCGCAACCTCTTCCAGGATGAGGACACCTTCCAGCTCCAACGAAGCAGCTCACTGTTCAAAGTCAATGATGGATCGGAACTGTACTGCTGCTCACGGCTTTCGTCCTGAGGTCAAAGCGTCCGGCCACAGGGAGGAGGATGCCCGATTCGAATCAACCGATCCTCCTCAATCTCAAATTTAGACTGACGCATGGGCGCATACTTCGCATGTGCCTCTGGCATACCGTCCTCTGTGCTGGCGATCAATGCATGACATATACCATGGGTTACACCACCGCTCCGTTGAGAATGGGAGGCAGTAGCTCTGCGAGAACGCGTTGCTCATACTGACGTGTCAAAGGCAGCTGCAAATGAGCCTGGCGTGCCTTGACGGCGACACGCCTAAAGATGGGACGTGTTTGCAGCGAACGAGAGCTGTCTAGACCGTTGCTAGATGTAGTCCGACTGCCGGGATGCGGCCGCTGCAAAACGGGTGGCTTCTCGGATGATGTGGGCATACGTCTGTTGCTTGGTACTTACTTCTGACGGATTGCAGACACGCAGGATCGAATGCTTGCGCGAGCACCCTACGACGTGCCGAGTCGTGCTGAAGCAAGCGTCGAGAGGACGGGGCCGGAGTGGCGGGGCCAAGCAGTGAGAGGCAGATCGGTATGCTTACAGTCTGTCACATGCATCTGATTGCTAGCGGCGCCTGCAGCTTAGAATGGGTGCTTCGTGAACCGGAGCAGCACTTTGACGCGTCGAGGATTTTCCCTTGATGTCTCAACATGGCCTCTATGGTACTTTGAATACGACCAAGCTCCCGAATCCCGCAAGCCTCCGAATAGTCCTGCGGGTGGTCCGGTGGTCACAGTCGCTCGTCCGGCCGCCGAGCGGAAGCCCTGAAGGTCAGGGCGAGGCAAAGGTCGATGCCATGAAAGCCTAGTGAGCGCCATCCTGGAAATTGTCGAGCCAACATAGCGAATGTTGAGTTTCGGCATCTGCTCCGGGGGTGCACGAGCTTCCGTGCGTTCGTCTCCTGACTCGCAGAAATGTTGCTACTCGAGAAAGCGGATAGGGTATCGCGGGAGGTTCTCGATGCATGATGATTGCTGCTGACTGTTGCATCGATGACCTGCTCACAGTAAGGCGCGAATGAGAGCCACGATGCGGCTCGAAGCTGCCATGTTGTTCGGGAATCTTTGCAGTCGCGAATGAGATCCAAAGAGCAAGCGTTTAGATCGTATGGACTGTATGGAACGCTAAGAGGCTGCTGTACCGTCTATACGTGATGTGCTAGCGGCCCCAGATGGGCTTCTCGATGAGACAGAAGCGCGGGTTTGCTGCTCGAAGCGTGGAGACCTTGCCAGATCAGCGCTGCAAGCTGCACGAAGTCAACGAAGGCGACGCGCGTTTCCATAGCGAGAGGCAGAATGATGGAAGATGTCTCAAGGTGGTCACGAGATGTGCAGAGACAGACAGCAGACTCGCCGAGGCCACCAGCACCTATTCGAGCAATATCGAGCGAGCCCAGCGACGAGGCGACCGCGAGACCGTCACTCGAGCAAGATGGAGCCCTGACAGACCGCGCACTGGCCATAGACACCTCTCCCGACAAGCCTGCACATTCAGACGTCCTTCAGTCACGCATACATACCCTTCTGCACAGTCAGAGCTCAGCCTCGACAAAGTTGGCAGACTTGCATGCTGTCAGCATGCTCGACTCGCCCTCGTCCAGACTCACCTCGCACTTCCGCACCGTCAACGTCTCAGACAACGCGAGACGATACGCGCATATGGCGTCTGCTCGGGTGGCTAAGCAACCGGGCCGACAGGAAGCAGACGCTCGTCATGTGCGCGTCGACATCCAGTCCATCGTAGATCCACCGTCTTTGCTCAAACTCTTGCGAGGCCGGCGGAAGATGCATCTAGATGATCATGCACGTGGAGGAATGCAAGACGAAGAGCGCTGCTTTCCGCGCATACAGCGCTTAGCCAATGGCGCAGAAATCATAGAATACGGCAATGGTCTAGAGCGAAATATCGATGCTACTGGTTGGAACAGGAAGAACAAGCTGGCTTTCATGGACACCCACGGCATCGACATTTCTGTCGTCTCGCCTTCGTCATGCAGACTGGACTTTTTAGACGCGCAAGACGCCATTCAGGCCGCAACAGACATCAACGCGGAATTGCTGCAGTACTGTCAAGGGCCGGTCGAGACGACCTCTGTGCCAAAGATCGGTGACAAGCCTGAAATCGTCATGTCCGATAGGCCAGAGAGTGCAATGCTCGGCGCCCGTACGCAGAGCTCGAGTACGCAGTCTGCAGACATGTCTGGCATCCTCTCGCCTTCGATTTGGTCCACAGGGATGGACGAGACCTTCAAGCCCTTTGCAGAGCGCCGTCTGTACGCGTTCCTAGCGCTGCCCCTTACAAGGTCAATAACGAGCGATGATCTGACCGGCTTTCTCGATTCGAGCGAAGCATCTGAGCTTTATTCTCGTGGCTACGCTATTCCGACTGTCGGGCTAGGCAGAGGCTTAGCCGACCCTGCCCTCGAGCCGCTATGGGCAAAACTTGACGACCAAGGGACGCCTGTGCTCATTCAACCTTCTGGTCGATGCCACTGGAATGTTCAGTTCCGCCGGGATATCGCATCGCACCCACAGCCTGGCAAGCCACCGCGGCGTGATCATATCGCAGATGCACAGTTTCTGGATCACGAGTCGAATGACGACGACCGGACCGTTGACGCGCTCTCTAGTGCCTATTCGGAGGCATTCGAAATGACCGTGGTTCGTGTAAATCTCCGCTGCGAGATCGAGATTGCTGATCTGCCCTTTAGACTTTATCTGAACTGATTCTTTCCGGCATCATGGACCGATACCCGAGTCTCAAGATCATTTTTTCACAAGCTGGCGGTGTCTTGCCCCTGCTCGCTGTCCGCTTACATGCCGCGCTTGGCAGACACGACGATTTGCGCCACAGGCTGGAGAATGACGTGCGGTGGTACTTGGGGAGGCAAGGCAAAGCCAATCTAGAAGTTTCACAACGCTGACATGCCCAATCGTAGGTTCTTCTACGATACTGCTGATTGCGGTCCCGAAGAGCTTGCCTACATAGAGGAAGTGATCTCCAACTCGCCACAGTATGAAGGCAAGGAGGAAGATCTGCCCTTTGTCGATCGAGTGAACGAGCGTGCCGACTTTGATCCAATGGACCAGCGACTGGGTCCCTCTCGCATACTTTTCGGTTAGTCTTTCACCGCTGCGTGCAAGCTGCACTGCTGATCGCGCGAAGGCACGCGACATCCGTATCACCCCCCTTCCTCCCCAGATGACCTGATCAATGGGAGGTGGCCCATCGTCAATCAGAGCATCTCTGCTATCAAGCGGCTGCAGACATGGGATGATGACGCCAAAGCCGCCGTCTTTGGCTTCACCAGCCTCGAGCTGCTGGATCTCGTGTTCTAGCGAACGGACGAGGGAGTAGACGCCTCAAGGTTGCATGGTCGATCGGCCACAAGCGACACACAAAGGATGATTGCAATCATGTAGTCCAGGGCTCAGAGATGAGTCTTTGAACGGTGATGAGCGCGCGATATTTGACACTCGGGTCGGGCGAATTGAGCAGCTCGAAGATCTTGCTTTTGCCGCCATGGTCTGTGACAAGCCTGAAGAGGACGTTAGATGATCGTTTTCGGGCTTGGCTATAGACCTACTTCTTGCCACCATCAAAGTACTTGACGAATTGACCGATATCATTGCAGGCTATCGCTCGCACTTCTGGCTCGGACGCCTCTAGCAGATCAAGCAACGTCCTACGAGCTCTTCAGCTAAATGCTCATGAAGGGAACACGAGCCATACTTCAGATTGGCAGCACTCTTGTCTGCGAGCTTCTTCGCGTTTTCCTGCCAGAACTCTACTGATTCGTGCGGAGGTGACCAAGTAAGCTCGCCCGAGTTGAGCTCCGTGACATATTCGTCATAGGTTCTGCATTCTCATGAGTGTGAGTCACCTGTCGATCACTCACACGTACGTCATGCTCTTGGCCGCCTCCTTGAGTTGTTCGATAAGCCACTCGTTGTCTTCCTTTATTTCCTCATCTGACCATTGCTTGCTCTGGGTAAGCTGTTGGAGGTGCGGCAATACTTTAGCGAGCAGCATTGCAGACAGCGTCTCTTCGGGCGCCTTTGTGGCAAGATTCTGTGTCCGAGTGAGCGCCAGCACGAGATAGTGATCTCGATGCGTACCCTGAAGGTTGCCAGCACTACGCGGGCGACTTTTTCCTTCGAGGCATTCTTCAATATGTCTGCGAGTAGGGTGACGAGCCCATAATGTGCATGCGCGTTCTCGCAGAACCTCCGCTCATAGCTCAGCAGCCAGAACGCGAGACCTAGTTGGTATTGGATCTGAGGCGGCAGAGTGCCGGTCTTGTCTGCGAGGCCGTACCGTAGGAGTGCGACAAGACTGGCCAATGTCTGTCAGATCTGCACAAAGGAGAGACCGACAGCCGACGTACTCTGCGATGAGCTTGCCATCGGCGACGGTGTCAGTGCCCGCTCCGTCTCCGTTCGATTGAGAGATCTCTCGCGTCAGCGCTAGCTGTCTGATGTGAGGGTTGCGGAAGATAGCGCCTGCGCATTGCAGACAGATGCTCTGCACTTCCGCGTCGAGAGTGGTTCTGTCAGATGATGCCGATCGGAGCGTGTCTGAAAGCGCGACGATGAGACGAGTCGAGTCTGCATTGGTGACGTCCTCATTCCCCCTTGCCTTGCGCGTCAATGCGATCCACACGCGAGGCATGGTACATACGCAGCGAGCGTGCTGAGGAGGGCAGCGCTCTTTAGCCGGACATACTCGTCTTGCGAATCGAGGTGTCTGCAGGAGCGATGAGCCTCACGCTCGCTGATCTGATGGCCGGACGTACTTGGCCAGCGCTGGTGTAGGATCCTGCCTGAGTAAGACAGGTGTACGCTCTTCGTGATCGGTCAGCATGTCGGTGATGCATGCTAGCACGTAGCCGAGCGTGTCTGCTCGAGTCTGATCTCGCAGCAGCCTGACGAACAGTCCAGCGTAGGACTCGGTGTCCTGTCTTGGAATGAGCCTTCTTGCGGCGGCTCACTTCAAGCGGCACTGACTTCTGATAGAGTGACCTCGGCCTTGCCTCGAGTGCCTGACACCTTTGAGATGAGTGAGACGTCCTCATTTGATACGAAGCCAGCTCGTGCGTATGCCTGCCTTTCCCTCCAGCCCGAGCGCTCGCTGAGACGGCAGACGTACCTCCCAAGGTATGCCCTTGGCTTTGATGCGCTCGGTGAGCAGGTCGAGCTTGGGCGACACTATCGCAGCCATGGCCTGGCCTGGCCTGATGAGTGTCCGCTCACGTGCTGTCCGAACGTCTGCGCGTTTTCAATTTGATCAACTTTGTCCTCGACCGGCCCGCCTAACAACACCCCACAATGGATCGCAAAGCATCTGGCAGTCGTGATGCGGCACCGGCTAAGACCAGCCGAGCACAGTCGATTGCATCGCGCACGCTCGCCAGCGCAGGACCTGTCAATCTCAATGGCACGAGAACATCGGCGCAAAGCAGCACAATTCCTACCGCCTCGTCCTCTAGAGCTCGCCCTGGCTCGACCGTGATCAGGCCAGAAGCTACACGACCACGTCCTGCTGTCAGTACGAGCGCCTCGTCGTCGAAAATTCGTCCCGTACCCGTCGCAAACACAGCGGAAGCATCACGTTCACGCCCTGGCGTCGCTACAGGCACTCAGCCTGCTGGCCCGTCGACCGTCTCGACGCGCATGCAAGTCGTCGTACGATGTCGAGGTGGATCGGCTGCTTCATCCGCCAGCGTCTTTGCCCGCCCAGATACCCAGGACAGCGCACGAGCGACAACTTTCCGCATGAGTCCCGTCAAGGGCACTGACATCATGGTAGACGTGCAGACGATATCCTCCCTCCCGCCACCCTCGCCAGTCAAGAACTCATCAGCTGTGTTAGCTGGCATCAGCCCGGCTGGAACGAGCACGATAGCGAGCAAACGAGAGACCCGGTATGAATACGACCACGTCTTTGGACCGGATGCCGATCAGGGATTGCTTCACACGCATGTCACCATGCCTATACTTGATCAAGTCATTCAAGGCTTCAGTTGCACCATTCTTGCGTACGGTCCCACCGGTACTGGCAAAACGCACACGATGATCGGTGACACAACACCGGTTGTCGGCACCTTTGCAGCCGATGCCGGCATCATCCCTCGCAGCCTGACACGTCTCTTCCATCTGCTCGAGCTACAAGGTACCGACTACTCCGTCTCCGTTAGCTTTCTCGAAGTCTACAATGAGCAGATCCGCGATTTGAGTGCTCCGCAGCAAGAAGGCGACGAACCTGTTGCGCTCGACATCTACAATGACCCTGGTCGACCGGGCGCAGTGACTGTCAAGGACATGAGGGAGACAACGATCACGTCAGCCGACAACGGTCTAGCCATTCTTCGCGCTGGTACCTTGCGACGACAGACAGCAAGTACCAATTGCAATGACCGCTCCTCGCGAGGTCATGCCATCTTCACCGTCAAAGTCACCGTCAAGACTAACGAGACTGACGTCAAAGGCGAAGAAGTCGTACGTATTGGCAAGCTTAACCTCGTCGATCTAGCAGGCAGCGAGAGCATCGCCAAATCGGGCGCTATCGAAGCCCGCGCAAGGGAAGCCGGTCTCATCAATCAAAGCTTGCTGTCACTGGGCCGCGTCATCAATAGCTTGGTCGAGAAGAGCACTACATCGGCTTCCTATCGAGAGTCGAAGCTGACCCGTCTGCTCGAAGAGTCTCTCACCGGTCGAACCCGTACTTGTCTGATCGCAACGATCAGCACGGTCAAAGACAGCGCAGACGAGACGCTCAAAACACTCAACTATGCTCGTCGTGCAAAGTCTATCGAGATCAATCCCCAACGAAACAGTACGACTACAAAGAGTGCACTGATCAGTCAATACAGTATCGAGATCGAGCGTCTCAAGCGAGATCTGATTGCTTCTCGAACGCAGCAAGGCGTCTACTTCAGTGATGAGAGCTGGCTCGAATGGTCATCGGCGCTAGAAGAACGCAAACGACTGATTGCTGACATGACACGCAAGAATGAGCTTTACCAGTCACAGCTTCTTACAAAGGACGAGCAGCTCGAGCAGACTGGCCGCTTACTATCGTCCCGAGACCGAGAGCTGGAACGCTTGCAGACGCTGCTAGATCAAGCCAATGATTGCAATGCCTCTCTCGAGTTGCAGCTCATGCGATCCCAGACGGCCGAAGACGTTGCCCGCCAGCTCAGCGATCAAGAAGCAGCCAAGCGCCTCGAATATCAGCAGATTGCGCTAGAGGCAAAGGCAACAGCCGATGGTCTGATCGACAAGATTGCTCGCTTGCAGGCACACGAGCAAACCACGCGAGCAACAGTCACTGCTGCACGCTCAGCTCTGCTTGACAGTCAAGATGCACTCCAGTCGGGCATTGGCACTGCAGTGGACTCGAGTAAGACTGCGCTGGACAACATGAAGCAAGCAATTGCTACAGTGTCTCGTGATAACGCTGAGGTGTGTCTGCTGATATTTGGGTGGAAGTGAGCTCACAGCTTTGCAGCGACTCGCTACTCTGTCTGGTGCACACGCCCAGATAGTCACTGCTGCGGACGTCGCAAACAAGCACATGAGCACGGTCGCGGCTAACAGCGATGCCATGATCGCCGATCTGAAAGACGGCATCGACGGAATGCTCAAGTCGTCCTGCGCCTCTTGGTCGCGTTCACTTCGATGCCTTACCGATCAGATCGATTATGCGCTGCACCTGGCCGTCAGCTCAGCTAAGCAGCAGCAGAAGACCGTAAGCAACGACAAATATCGTGCGGCTGAGCTGATCCGTTGACCAGGCAATTGCGTTTCTCGATGAGGCATGCCGGCTCTCAAATGATATTCAAAGTACTGTGGACACGAAGACAGACGAGCTAACGAAGCAAATGAGTGACCTCGTCGGACAGCTCGACCGTCTCGTAGAAGCGGACACTACCTCGCAGCAAGCAGACTACGCTCGGATCGAAGCTCTCGCCGCGACAGATCAGCAAACTGACGAAACGCGCATCAAGGCCATCACAGAAAGCGTCTCCGTCTTTCTACAGGAGCAGCTGGCCAAATTGGCGGACACTCGTCAGAAGGAGCTGCAAGCAAAGATTGCGACCGTCAAGGCGTCATCCGAGAAGGATCTGCTCGAGCGGCAAGGCTATTGTCACGCCATCTCCAATGATCTCGACTCCATCGGACACGGTCTCCGTGACCTTCGTCAGACAACCAAGATGTCTAATGCGAGCGGCGTCGAGCTGCATGCCGAAGCGAAAGCCCGTCTGCCCTCCGAGCTCAGTGCAATGGCCACAGGTTCGATCTCAGCGCAGGCAGAGGCTCAGAAGACCTTGAGCACCCTTGGAAACCACCTCGACGCGCACACTGCCGAAGCTAATGCCCTTGCTCTGCGTGTCGTTGGTCAAGCACAATGCAATGGCGAGCGGGCCGAAGCGTCACGTACCGCAATTGACACGATCACTAACCTTGCCGAAAGCGCATCTCGAGGGGATGCTTCGGCTGGCGATTCACTCGTTCGTCACTTGCATTCTGCCACGGACGGGGCTTCAAAGACAGTCCTTCTCGACCTCGCTGAGACCATGAGCTCAGTCAAAGCCAACAGTCGCGCGCTGACCGCGCAAACCAAGAAATTAGACGCCCTTCTACCAGCCCTGCCAACCGGCAAAACGCCTGCAAAGCGTCGCTGGCAAGCACTCGAAGAGGTAGGCCTTGAAATCGGCGGGACGGTCCCACGGATCGCTCTTGCTGAAGTCTCAACGAATCATGGCGGCCGGCAAAGCATTATCTTCGACCGTCCGACAAAGCTAGATCGCCGAGGCGACACGCACGAACCGACAAAGATGGCTAAGCTGTCTTGAGCATGCATTGTAGCATCCAGTGCAGATCTACTTGGTGGAGACCATCCTTTGGCGTTTCCTTGCGACAATGAGAGCATGATTGAGATCATTACAGGATGCTGCAATGATGGCTAGCGGATCCGAGTGAGCAGATCACATGGGAGCTACTACATCAATCGTGAGACCGCCAAGTGGGCAATGTGGTCGCGAACCTGCCCAACTCGGGCATCTGGCAGTGTCACACTCTGCAGAAGCGTCAGACGCCAAGTAGCCTACTTGTCGCAGCATGCTCACCAGTGGCAACGTTGATATTGTACGGCTTGTCTGCAACAGGACCGTCCTCGCCGTCACCGACTAGATGTGCTTTGAGCCAGGCCAACAGGAGCGCCGGACGAAACTCACCGAGATCCACGTTGAAGCCCACAAACGACGAGCAGCAGTGTCCCGATGGCCCGGCGAGGGCCTGCTTGACATATATAGTGTAGCTGGCGATTGTCAGCTCACTGCAACCATCGAACGATTGCGCATTCGTGTAGGAGATGACCTGAACAGCAGCATCGCTGCCAGCAAGCTGCAATAGTCTATCAGCGGCTTATGTGCTCTGTTGACCAGCAACGCACGTCGAACGCAGCAGGTACTGGTCCACTGATGTAGGCGGTACGAAGATTGAAAGCCAGCGATTTGCTCGTCGGGGCAAGTGAGTTAACGACGGAGAATTTGGCAGGGGAGCAGACTGTAGATCCACCGACTGACGTTATGCGAGTGAGTTCGATGACGTGCGGCAAAGCTTTTCGAACATACAGTTGACAGTCCATCTGAGGAAACATCCAAGATTGGCTCTTGCACTCAATACAGCCGTCGTAAGCGGCGTCGAACTTGCGATGCTTGCAATGGCCAGCATTGCCTACTGCTAAGGTCAGCAGGCTGGATATCAAGCTTAAAGCTGACTGACGAGGATGACTTTCATGATAAGATGCTTTGACTGCGACGTTTGCAAGAAGTGCGTTCGGCGGACGCTGCTACCACGGAATTGTGTTGACTTGAGACATTCTGCACGTGTCCCTCTGCTCGTCGCTATGATACTTGTCCGTCCGCTGGGGCTCGGGCGCTCCCTTCGCTCAGACCTGAGGTATCCAGCGAGCGGGTTATGGTCGTATAGAGGGCGCTTTTCGTACATGCCGCGTTGTCGGGCGGTAGAGGGCGCAAGTCTACTTCTGTCCGCGCTGCGGTTTATAAACGCACATGCATTTGTTTGCCACACTTGAAGATCCGATATGGCCGCATCGAATATGCTAACACGGGGCAGTGATCAGAATGTCGGTGGGTAGATTCGCAGATTGTTGCAGGTGACCCTGCCGGTGCAAGACGCTTTGCGAAAGCGAGCCAGTATGACTTGCTCAAAGCTGCACTGGTCAGATGAGCACCGTGAAGCGTATAGAAGATCGAGCAGCATTCAGGAGCCGCAGTCGAGGATATATGAAGTCATGACAAGTAATGGTACCCAGCTATGATTATGCATCCTTCTTTGATGCGATGACACGCAAGAGCAACACAGTGAGCTCCACGTCGATATACGCTTTGGGCATGTTTTGTCAAGTGGAATCGCATCCATTGGCCTGCTCGAGTTATGGAGGGGCTGCTGTGCTGAGTTGAAGCTGTGTGAATGTGTGCGTGTGCGCTGACTGTCTTTACTTACCCGGCTGCTAGCTTGACAAGCTGATAACCGTGCCGTAAGACGGATGCAAGAAGCTGACTATGGATCCACCTGCAGCACATATGCATCGTGAAGTGATTGGAACGACATGAGATAGCATGTAAAGGGCTTCCGGGGGACCGCCGATTCGCTACTGGATCCAAGAACAGGACGAACCGGCTCTGGGCGCGCCAATTTGGACGCGGCGAAATTGGATCTCAAGCTCGTCAAACGATATCATCTGTCAGCACACTTTCGTGCTATGCCTCGCAGACTTGCTCAAACCGAGATCCAACCATCCCCAAGGCTTCTGTAGCTCAAAACAACATGGAACGTGCCAAACAAAAAAAGCAGCAAAAGAAAACGCTTCACTCAGCCCGGATTCGAGCCGGGGACCTAGAGATAAATGTCTGACTTGATTTAACCAATTACAGTCTCTCGCTCTGCCAACTGAGCTACTAAGTGGAGATGTTGAAGGTACATGCCTAAGAAATATATACGGCTTAACTAGGTCCAGACAGGATCTGCAAATCGCGCACGTAGCGCATGACTGAGGAGTTGTGGACGTAGCCCTGCCCAGGCGTCACATACCTCATCTCGGTCAGCCCAAACAATCAAGGTGCTCACAAGACCGAGTAGTCTCCAAATAAAGTCAGTATGATCCTGTTCTGCGCTTGCCAGCTCGCACAGTCTATACATCGGACCGATAAGCGACGATATTTTGTAGAAGTCAGCCAGCCGGACCGCAGAGCCATTGCCGATGTGCATCGTCAATGGCTAGCAGAATGTGAGTAGGCGACACCTGTCGCAGGCATCGGAGGAGTCGGCCGCTTCTCACTGTCGAACGAGACTTTATGCTCGTAGCTGATAGAAGGCGAGATTCCGCACGGCGTCCATCTGATAGATGTTCGGTCATCAATAGCTCCTTGCTTGCGGTGAGCTGGACTCGTACAGTCTTCTGACGAGCTGACAGAGGCAGCGAGGTTGCTGTGGAATGCCAGAGCTATTTCTTGACGGGATCAAGTCTGCTGCGCCTGCTGGACCGTCAATCTGCTTGCATACCTGTATGCGAATGAGTGCTACTTCCGCCTCTTAGTTGACGAGTCGACATCATACGTGTGCCTTTGCAAGCCAATGCTCGCAGCAAAGGCTCAGTGCGCTAGATCATTGAGTGTATGACCCATCTGCTTGTATGTCCGTGGTGATGGGCGAATTTCGTCACCTCCAGACGCTGGCAGCTGTTGCTTTCGCGAAGGAGGACCTGGCGCTTGCCTGCCAGATTGGTGCTTCCTTACTCGACGAGATATTAGGCATTGAGTGTCAAATTGGGACCGGCCAAGCGCGCAGACGGATCCGCATTCTCGCAGCCCACACTGGCAGAGCTCGAAGGTGATTTCTGAACTCGTCTCTGGGCACCGCACACGTGTGCTCGTCATGATCATATGCTTTTTGCAATTCTTGTTTTGCTTTGACGACGCGACAAAATGCGCGGTTGGGCCATCGCAGTCTATTGATCAGTCATAAAAGCTCGAGCGTTCGCGTTTGCGGCTGGTCGAGCATGCGAGACCTGAGTGTGCCATGTTTTTGGCATGACGGTCTGACTGCAGATTTGCAGCCTATCTTGAGGTACAGAGCAAGGCAACTTTTGTGGGCAGCGGCTGCTTCACACGTCTGACGCAAAGAATTAAAGCCCGTCGGCTTCTTTGAGAGATACGACGGCGAGTCAGCACAAGATCCAAAGCATTCTGGACGAGAAAGCAGTCAGCCGTCACCACTCCCTCGTACGTGATCGGACGATTCGCTGCGCATGTCTGAAAGGTGGCAAGCACATCGAGAGCACTATTGCCTCTGAAGCATTCTGCCTCGTAGATGCAGATGCATCTCTATGAAGCTGTCCAGGGGAGGACGGCTAAGTGAGGGCTAGGTTGACACGATGTGCGATGATACGTTTGATCAGGCCTCAGGTATCACGATGGCCCCACATGCCACAAGTGGGGCCCGCTCTCGAATTTTTGAAGGTAAGGTGCAAGCAAAACGCAACATCAGTATGGCTTTCAGTGCGCTCTAGTATCTAGCCTGTTGCTCAGCTGATGTCGAGTGTCACAGCACCGAGAGGAGCGCCCAGAGGTGCCCCGAGAGGCCGCGGCGGATTCAGTGGTGGCAGAGGTCAGCAACAGCGTCAAACTCCAGATTTTCGAGCTCATTCACCATACAGGCGGCGGCTTCGCATCTCGAGGCGGTGATCGTGGTGGTCGTGGTGGCTCCCGTGGTGGTCGTGGAGCTCCCAGAGGTCGTGGTGGTCCGCCGGGCCGAGGCGGTCGTGGTGGTGCGCGAGGAGGCAGAGGAGGAGCCAAGTCAGGCGGTCCCGGCAAGGTCATCATCGAACCTCATCGTCATCCGGGAGTCTTCATCGCAAAGGGCAAAGAGCATCTTCTCGTCACTCGTAACCTCGTCCCCGGCGAGTCCGTCTATGGCGAAAAACGCATCACGGTTGAAGAGACTGTCGCAAATCCTGCAGAGGGCATGCCAGATAAGATCAAGATAGATCACAGAGTCTGGAACCCTTTCCGTAGCAAATTGGGCGCATCGTGAGTGCCCTTCAGGCTGCTCAGCTTGGGCTAAAGATCTGTGCAGCATCCTCGGCGGTCTTGACAATATACACATCGCGCCAGGCAAAAAGGTCTTATATCTTGGGGCAGCAAGCGGGACATCAGTCTCACACGTTGCCGATATTGTCGGCGAAAAAGGAATGGTCTATGCTGTCGAGTTCTCGCCGCGAAGTGGAAGAGACCTCATCGCAATGGCCAAGAAGCGTACAAATGTGGTGCCAATCGTCGAAGATGCGAGGATGCCCAATCGCTACCGCTTCATCGTGCCTATGGTAGACGTTATCTTTGCTGATGTTGCACAGCCAGATCAATCACGGTGCATATGACCCGCTGGAGTTGCTACGTCTGCTGACACTGGCTTGCTTCGGACAGAATTTGCGCGCTGAACGCGCATCACTTTTTGAAGAATGGCGGACATCTGCTCATTTCTATCAAAGCAAGCTGTATCGACTCGACCGCCCCAGAGGAGGTCGTTTTTGCATCCGAGGTCAAGAAGCTGCAAGCCGAGATGTTCAAGCCTCTCGAGCAGCTCACACTCGAACCTTACGAGCGCGCTCATGCGATGGTCAGTGCGACGTACCTCCGCCATAAAGCCTGATATTTGCTTTGATGGCTGTCTTGTAGCAAGCATGTACCAATGATAGTGCATTCTGCATTATCGCAAATGTTTTACGTCTGCGTCGATGTGGCCCGCCCACAGATCAACACAGACCTGCTTGCGCGTACCAGGCTCTTCATATGTCGGAACGGTCCTTCTCGCTATCCGCCGGTCAGCTCGGTATCTGTCCAACGGGGCCAATGCTTGTTCACACTGACACTCTGTGTTGACATGAACACGTCGTCGGCAGTCCAAAGCTAGCCTGCGCACCTGCTAGACGCCAAGTCACGAGACACTTGCGCTGCCAGCGCTCGATGGCTCGAGAAAGCGCGTTCGTACAAGTCCAAGGAATACCATAAGGCTTGATCTATCAATCACTTAACGATCCTTACCAAGGTGAGCCTGCCATAAGCCTTCGAGCATAGCCGGTGCTATCGTGACAGATGTGCAAGGGTCTTGGCTGGACTCCCACGAGGCCCACCATCGCTCTCCGAGGATTGCCGTCAGATTCTCTCGCGGCCCTCTGTCGTATATTCGCACATCCGGCTCGATGGCGGCAATGAAGCCCTGATGCCGTCTGTTGTCGCTATGTATGCCGTCTGCAGGTATCCAGAGTCGCAATCGATCGTCAATGTTGCCACCATGCCTGCGCCAACGACGCGCTCGCTGGACCTCGACGGTCCAAACACCCTGAGCGATCTGCTGCGTACCGACGATGAGCAAAGCCAGAGCGACAAGCTGGACAAAGACTGCGATTGTCACAATGAGTAGAGTGGCCACGCGAGGCTGCGACAAGAGATAGTGAGGATCGCTGGATGCGACAGCTGATCGAGGTACGACGAGCGCCAGATCAGGCTGGTGCTCTACGATGCGGTCTAGATGCCAGTAGCCAAGCAAGAGGCCTATGAGCCATCTACAGACTCGCGTCATGGGCTGAGCTACTCTCAAACTACCGCAAGCTCACCTAAAGCCAGGACCACCACTCCAGGAGTACCAGTGATGCCACCACTCTGCTGCAAGCAACTCATAGCCCAGGCTGTCCGTCGTCCAGGTAAGCTCGACAACTTTACTGACTTGTGAGATCGTCAGTGGCAGGATGACGCTGAGTGCAAGCGTCAAGAGAGGCTGAACGAAGAAGCAAAAGTGTATGAATGCCTTGCCCGAGGCCGGCGATGTGATACAAGTGCCAAACCAGGGGCAGCAATGGTCAAATCCGAGCCGACAGCGTTTGCAATCCCGACAGTGTCTCGCGCGCGCAGGCCGCCAAGAGCCATTGCAGGCGTCTTGCCAACACCTGGTAGGCTCGCCTTGCCTGTCACATTCGAATATAACTCGCTTTTCTCTGACATCGTCTGGTACTGCTCGAGGTGGTCTGGAATGGTCTCGAGGCAGCAGGTAGACGCTTAGATAGTTGTACATCATTGCACACAGTAAGACGTTGAACCCGACACAGTATAGCACGGCCGAGCGGGGCCTTTGCAAAGTGTAATAAAGGTAGGGCGTCGCGTGAAGCGACACGATTCGCCATCCATGGATTATGAATACGAAGAGCGCCGGCGGGATGACCCTCCCTGACGCATAAGGTCTGACTGAGCTTGAGAGAGAGTAGATCATTGACTGTCTCACCAAGAAGACGATTTGCTCTGAAGCCATCATTGATTTGAGGAAGCTTCCTTGTGGTTTCAAGTGTCGCGGGAAGAGCAGCGGCGCCGACGATCTCTAAAGCAGCCTGCGTATGACTTGCAGGCTCTATCTTGCGTCCTGAGGTCGTTCTGAGCGCGGTCATGGGTATAGATTGTGCAGAAGCATATGCATGCTGTAGGCTATTAAGACAGGCGGGCAAGTGAACGCGAAGGTGCCGAAATTCAGAAACCGTGCTACAAAATCAAGTAGACCTGCCACGCCGAGCTGAACTGATCAACGAAAGTGAGGTCACCAAAGCCTCTGTTCAGAAAGATAGCACGACCAGGCAGCTGCGCTTGCACCTGATCGGTATTGCTTGGCAGCTCTGATCAGTAGGCTCGAAGAGGACGCTCTGACGAGTTGGTGTGCTCACGCGAGCGAGCCCACCGCGCCTGCCTACTCGACGTGCCCTCTGTGTTGCTGGTGCCTGTCGCAGGTTACACACTTCCTCGACCCTGCAAGAGAGCCTGATTGCCTGTCGCCAAGCGCAACGTCGCCGAACGACGAGCTGGCTATCACCTCGTCAATCGTGATAGATCAAGCTCGCTGTGGCCGACTCGGGCAGAGTAGAACATCTCTTCAGACTTGAGAGGATCTCTCCCGAGCGAGCGACAGAATGCTTCCCTGGAATCCGCCCGCCAGTCTAGGTCTAGGCACTCACACTACGCCTGGCGCGTCCTCTAACCAGGCCAGCACGCAAGAGGCCTATGCCGCCAACTCTCAGCAGCAGCCACTTCAGACTTCCCCGACCAATCAGAGCCAGCAAGCAAATCTGCAAGGACCGCAATCTCAGCTCGGTCCAGCTCAGCAGCAGCAGCAGCAGCAGCAGCAGCAGCAACAACAACAACAGCAGCAGCAGCAAGGCCAGCCTCAACAGGGTCCTGCCCAAGCTGCAGAGGGCGCCTCGCCATGGTCACAAACCCCACCTGTCAATCTCGCATCTGTGCTACACTATCTCCAAACCGAATGGCGGCGCTACGAGCGAGAGCGCAACGAATGGGAGATCGAGCGTGCCGAGATGAGGGCGAGTCGTGCGCGTGCGTATCTATCTCATGTGCTCAACGAATTCGATGGCAGGCTCGTATAGCGCTGCTCGAAGGCGAGCGCAGGGGTGTCGAGAATCTCAAAACAGACCTCATGCGACGCGTCAAGATGCTCGAATACGCGCTCAGACAAGAAAGGTATGTTCTCGTGCGTTCTCGAACGACTATAGCTCATCGCCCAAACTTTTAGGTCAAAGTACCTCAGCACGAACGCCGCAGCTGCCAAAGATTCTGCAAAGCCCAAGGACGGCTCCGAGTCAGAACAAAAGAAGGAGCCAGCATCGGCGATACCGCCGGGCAAGCAAGTCGCGCTGAAGCTCAATGACGATGTCCTCCTCTCGAGCGGCAATTCGACAGGCAGCAATAGTCCACGCAATGAACCTCGTGAGCTCAGCCGAGGATCGTATATGAAAAGCAGTTCCTGATGAATCCGCTCAGTTCCTTTGCCCGAGCTAGCTGCACCAGCTGCCGGCCCAAGCAACACGCTCAATATCGCACCTAATATCACCCGGCCAGGTTCAGCTGCAGGTATGGTAGCCAATGCTGGTCCCGCAAACGGCAGTAATCTGTCTGCGTTCCATGCTCCCGTTGGTGCATCTACGCAGGCTGCATGGAATCCGGCACTCGGAAGAGACCCCAGAGGTCGAGCAAGAAGTCGCGACTATCTTCGCCAGTGCCTGCAGGAAATCACATATCTCACTTCTTCTGCCAATCTCAACCCTTTGCCTGCAAAGACGCCTGCCGGAATGCAAAGACCTCGCAAACTGCTACCCGAGAATGCCCCTGTTCCTGCCGCACAGTTCACCGGCGTTCCTGCTCCGTCGGTCATACGCGCTGCCGGCACATCCCCGACTGCGGTAGAGTTGTCAGCTGGCACAGGTTCAGCCGCAGAGCCTCTCAAGTCTGCTGTCACTACTGGGCCGTCCCCGCTACAGGCCGAAGTTACCGTCGAAGAGCAAGCCGAAAGTGCTTCCTTTGCGGCACCCGAGCTTCCTGACAAGGAAGCCAAAAGTCTAGAAGCCCGTGATTCTTCAACAACCAAAAGTACGACATCTGCTGCTGCGCTGACGAACGGAATTCGTGTCAATGGCGTCAGCAAGGGCCCGCATATGCTCGAAAGCGAGACTGAAAGCGAGAACGAGGCTTTCGCTGGCAAGATGGTAAACCGAGTGCGGTCAGATTCGGCCTCGACAGAGGTCGGGAGGGAGGATCGACTTGATGACGAGCTTACCCACGCCACCTCAACGATCAACGGCAAGACCAGCGTGCCATCAGAAGCCAAGGTATGGCAGACGCGCAAATCGCTGAGAGGGTCAGCACCTCTCGAGCTGGCCTTCGATTGTCCTAACAGCTGACGCAATCTCGGCAGTCATCTTGACAGTGTCCGGGCGCTCACTTTTGACCGGCGTGATCTCACAATGGTCTCTGGCGGCGATGATCTGACCATCAAGATCTGGCGCGCTGATATGCATCATCGAGATGCGCAGTCCGGGTCAGTGAACACGCTTTATGAGCGCGTATGTCACGCTCATCTCAGCTCCAGCTTGCCGCCTCTGCCCGAAGAGCTACCGCAAGCGACCTTTCGGGGTCACAGCGAGGCGATCACAGCCCTGGCTATATCGAGCGACTCGAAGCGAGTATACAGCGCGAGTCTAGATCAAACTGTGCGAGTGTGGAGCATGCCTGCTCACGATGCAGAGCCCTATGGTCCTGTCAATCCTGCGGTTAAGCTAGCCGTCTTCGAAGGCCATGCTGACGCGATTTGGGATCTCATTATCCTTCCACTGCCGACGCAGGACCAAGAGGTGCTCGCGACAGCCTCTGCAGATGGCACCGTCAAAATATGGAGCACCAAGGATCTCAAAGCGCCGCTCCAGATGAGCTGGACATATGCAGGCAACGAGCCCGCAGAGGCCGAACAGCCAGGTCCTCGTCCGACACCTGTGTGCTTGGCAGTCTGTCAGACCGACTTGAAAAAGATTGCAGTAGCGTACACAAACGCAATCGTCAAGCTCTTCGACTTTGAGACTGGCGTCCAGACGCTGGCGCTCAAATCTGACGAATCCTATGGTTCGTTTTCGTCAGACTTTCGATGACCTGCAACTGATGAGAAGCTCCAATGCAATATAGATGGTACACGAGCGACGCAGATCAACGCGCTCGCGAGTCATCCTACGCTACCACTGCTCTTCAGCGGGCATGAAGATCGAGCGATCAGAGTCCTTGATCTCGCAACAGGTATGACTGCACAAATGAGAAGCGGCTCTGCTCATCATCAGTGAGCGGGCAGGACAGTGCACATACTCGATCGAAGCGCATCAAGACGCGATCACGAGCCTGGATGTCAGTCCGTCGGGCCTGTTTCTCGTCTCTGCCAGCCATGACCGCTCGATTCGATTCTGGGACGTGATCCAGACGCGATCTTGCGTACAGGAGATCACGAGCCATCGCGTCAAGGGAGCAGAGGGCATTCTCGTGGCACGCTATCATCCTTCTGCGCCTCTGTTGGCGACAGCAGGGGCAGACAGCCTCATCAAGCTTTATGGCTGATTACTCAACGAACGAAAGTCTCTTCATCGTCGCACGAGAAGCGACGCTTAGATGTATACTGTCTAGCAAGTATCTGTACCACCTGCATCGCATGCTGTCTCTGCCCCGCTCTGCAGCTTCACATACTTGACCGGGCATTGCAATGAACAGACGCGCTCAGAACGGCTTGTCCTCATCAGGCTTGGTGTCCTTGTAGTACTCCTTGACCTATCGGAACTCCGTCAGGGCGTCCGTGCAGGCTGCGAAGGAGACTGACCAGCGGAACCTTGAGGAGGACATCCTGCTGGAACTTCGGGATAGAGCTCGCATAGACGAGAATGCCACCCTGGTCATGCTCTGTATCAGCCGAGGCGTGCAGCGGAGAGCAGTGTGAGACAGACTGCAGCAGCGACACCCCAGACGGCGAGTGTGGGCGCCCATCGCATCATGACAGAGGGCGTGATGCTCATGATATTGAAGGCTTGTGCCTTGACGGGCATGGCGAATCGAGGTTGTCTGTCCGTTCTCATGAGCTCACGGTCGATCAGGAGGAGACGGATCCGCTGACGGCTTGGGTGCTGGCGCTTTGGCCATCCTCAGCTGGGTCGTCCGCATGTCTCACGAGGCTGCTCTGCTCGTCTTGCCGGGCAACGCTGGCGGGCAGAGAAGAAGCGCGAAAAGGCGCTCGTTCGCCCCAGCGGCCCTGCGCTCACCCGTCAGTCAGTCAGTCAGTCAGTCAGCGATGTCAGCAGCGTCAAAGCGGTACGACATGGCCGATGGTGGCTCCCTCCTCGAGCTGCAAGCAGAACTGAGCAAACACCAAGCTCGACTGGGCAAGCGAGAGTCTCCCAACCCCTCTGCGAGCTCCAAACCGACCAAACTCGGCTTCCGAGCGACAGTCGAGAGCTCAAAGGACAAGCAGCTCAGCCAGTGGGCTAAAGAATCCAAGGAGCTCATCAGGTCCCGGCAGCAGAAGCAGAAGAATGGCGCAAAATCGGTGAAGAAGCGAAAGACTGATCACGTCGTCGATGCTGTTGAGGACCGGTTCAGGCTCTGCCAGCCGTCATCGGATCAGATTGCTGCTGCACTCGAACGCAAAGCTAAAGCATACGACTTGCTCAAGTCAGGCTACACCACCTCCTTCACCCTGAATAGGTTTTAGCTGACCTGAGCATGCCACGCACAGACGAGGCAAGACGGCGGGCCTGACTGAGGCTCAGATTGCGACCTTCTCCGTCGACTTTGACAAGAAGGCGTGGGACAACCCCAAGTCTGAGGACTCTGAGGACGAAGGGCAAGCGACTGCTCTTCCGGACGACGAACTCGTCGAATATGTGGACGAGTTTGGTCGCGCAAGGATGATGAAGCGTAGCGAAGTGCCTCGTCCGGGCCAAGCATCGCCAGATGGACCTGCTTCCATCGGCGATGGCACCTTTAAAGCTGCACCAGAGAACATGTGCGCCTGGTACATGATCGATCTGCACGAGCTGACAAGCCGTGTACAGGTCAAATCTCTACTACGGCGATCAGACGACTTTTGCAACGTATGAGCCCACAGAGGAAGAAATTGCAGCGCGGCATGCCAAGGTCGAGGCTGCCTTCAAGCCACTCGAGACGCATTACGATCCCAACAGCGAAGTACGAGAGCGCGGTGCGGCGGCCTATGCCTTCTCTGCAGACGAAGCAAAACGGCGCGAGCAGCTCGAGGATCTCAGCGCCTTACGCAAGGAGACAGAAGCCGAACGCTTCCTCGCTACGACCAAACAGACGCCTGCAGAGAAGCGTGCAAACGAGCTCGCACAACGTAAAGCGCTCATCGAAGCCAAACGGGCTGCTCTGCTCGCCAAGCGCGCGCCGGCTGCCGAGGCATCCCAAGCCTCTGCCAAGCCTGCTCGGCCCGATGCTGCATCGTTCCTAGACTGACCCTTGCCTGCATCTGTTGTGGTGTTGTTGTGTCACTATGTATCGCCCGCTTCACCCTCCGCTGACGGGCGGAATGACAGCGACAGTGTCACCCGGCTTGAGCTCATGCTGCGCCTCTTCGTCTCTGGGGACGATCTCCTCATTGACGCACCATGCACTCTGACCGAGTACTGCAGCCAGCTCTTGGCGTACGCCAGCATGTCGGTCGAGCAAGATGGAGCTCAGCTCCTTCAGTTTCGTGCTGACGGCTAACTCGATCTCTTCGGATGACACGCCGCCCAGCGCAGTCCGAGCGGATGCAAAGTAGAGCAGCCTGATCTGCGCCCGTCCACGTGCATCAACATCTGTCAGCTCCGTCCGAGCATTGAGACACTCACGATCATCGCCCAAAGCACACGAGCACGAGCACGAGCGTGCCGCGGATGGGCTCAGCTCAAGCTCGAGATGGACCGAGCAAAGTCGAGCCCAGGCCGGTCTGTCGAGATGCTCAACGGTGTCGATTTCCGATCGCTCGCAGGTCTCACACCTCGCAATCAGGCCTATCTGCTCAAAGGTCGGCCGGTCTCCTGCTCGTCCTCGTGACTGCATGCTCACGCGGAGGGCGTTTGATGACGCAACAGCTGGCCTGACGACCACACTCGAAGTCCTGTGCTGTCCCCTCCCGAACCTAGCCAGACGACTCGGTCTGCCACCGAGCGAAACAGAAACCATTGTCAATGAGATCGCAGCAAGTCGTGTGCCCAAGCCCATCAACGTCGGCCATCTCATCTCTGCACAGCTTGCAGACAGCACGCCTTCGTACGAGGATTGTACAGAGCTCATCAATCGGTCCGCTTGCATCGCAACAGGCGACACGCATTTTGACGCGCTTCTCGGCGGCGGCATACGCGTAGGCTCATTGACCGAGGTTGTAGGCGCAGCGTTAGTCAATTTAGCGCAGACACGTACATGTAAGCTCACAGCATGGGTGCAGATCAGGTGGCAAATCCCAATTTGGCCTCAAGCTTGCACTGTACGCTCAGTTGCCGAGCACGAGCAATATCGCCCCAGGAGGCGTCATCCATATCACTTCCGAGGCAAGCTTCGCCAGCGGCAGGTTGCTCGAACTTGCAGACCAGCTCGAGCTGCAAGGAGACCGTTCGCCCCGAGAGTTCCTTGACAACATCCATCTGACGCATTTGCGTGATATGGAGACACTCGAGCATATCGTCTCATATTCTGTGCCGGAGCTCATCAACCGGCACGCGAATCGACCGTCGCTAGGACATGACAATGATGCACGAGAGGCGAAGCGGCAAAAGAAAGGAAGCCTTCTGCCGATCAGATTGCTCATCATCGACAGTCTTGCCGCTGCCGCTCGAACAGAATGGGACACATCCAAGTCAGGTATGTTCGAGCGATCCAAGTCGCTGATCGATCTTGGCGAGAAGTTGCGCTGTCTGGCAGAGCGATACCGAATCGCCGTCGTCGTCATCAATCAAGTCACGGACGATTTCAGACACCAACCTGGCGCGCCGGCAACACTGACACCCGAGGCTACTCAGTCGGATCCAGCCGAAGAATTTCTCACTTCGACGCCGACCATGCAAGGCGGATTACAGAGCGAGATGCCGGCAGAGCTAGTGTACGCACGACAACACAAATACTTTGGCGGTCAATCTGCTCGTCTCCGCAAGACTGCCGCGCTGGGACTGCAGTGGACCAATTGTATCAGTACACGTCTCATGCTCAGCCGGATATCATCGCTCTACGAGAACGACGGGGTGACGCCTGCGATGACGGACGAGACGGAAAGCAAAGCGCAAGCCTACTCTGCGAGACGACGGGCGACGCTCATCTTCAGTCCCTTTGCACCTCATGCGACACTCGAATGGAAGCTCGACAAGGCAGGCTACAGAGCTCTCGGACCGCCTGCCCTCTGTGAACGCTACACGCATCGCGATCGCGGGTAAAGCCGCGCGTTGAGACTCGTCAAATGTTGTTGTACATCGACTTGCACACAATTTTTGGCTCGACGAGTCATCGATATCGACATGGAGAACGGCTCATCACCTCTCATCGTGGGCGGACCTAACGGCACAACAGCGCCACAGACCAACGGTACCAACGGCATCTCTCGGACGGCAATGACCAATGGATCGACCAGCCTGCTAGGCCAATCGCAAGGATCAGGCACCTTCAACGTCAAGAGCGGCCTTGCTCAGATGCTCAAAGGGGTCAGTCCCGGGCCCGATTGTGCTCTTGGACTCGGCTGAACAGTGGCCACGATTGACAGGGCGTCATCATGGATGCAAGTCGTCGTCAAGCACGCTCATCTCGATGGGCAAAGGGCTGATGTCGAGATCGCGATTGACAGGTCATGAACGTCGAACAGGCCCGCATCGCAGAGGAAGCAGGAGCATGCGCCGTCATGGCACTCGAGCGCATCCCTTCAGAGATCAGAAAGCAGGGCGGCGTCGCTCGCATGTCAGATCCTGCGATGATCAAGGATATCATCGAGGCCGTTACTATCCCTGTCAGCCTTGTCCAGTCGCTTGCTTGTCAGTCATGCTGACGTTGGTCGTACTCCAAGGTCATGGCAAAGTGCCGCATCGGCCATTTCGTCGAAGCACAGATCCTCCAAGCACAAGGCGTCGACTACATCGACGAGTCCGAAGTGCTTACGCCGGCTGACCCTGCCAACCATATCGCCAAGCACGCCTACAAGGTTCCCTTTGTGTGTGGCTGCAAGAACCTCGGCGAAGCGCTACGCAGAATATCAGAGGGCGCAGCGATGATCAGAACCAAGGGCGAGGCAGGCACGGGCAATGTCATCGAGGCCGTCCGCCACCAGCGCCAGGTGCAGTCTGAGATCCGCAAGGCCGCTGCTATGGTACGTGTAACCCGGCCTTGCTCTTTTGTGTCGCGAGCTGACAGAGTGAGACAGTCCGATGAGGAGCTGTACACCTTTGCAAAGGAGATCTCTGCGCCATACCATCTGCTCAAGGAAGTCGCGCGTACAAAGCGTCTACCCGTCGTCAACTTTGCCGCGGGCGGCATCGCAACCCCTGCCGATGCAGCGCTCATGATGGCGCTCGGATCGGACGGCGTCTTTGTTGGCTCGGCCATCTTCGACTCTGAGAACCCAGGCGTGGTCGCAAAGGCCATCGTCCAGGCAGTGACGCACTACCAAAACCCGCATATGCTCGCCCAGGTGTCTACTGGCCTCGGTAAGCTCATGAAGGGCGAGAACGACCTCAACAGAACAGGCCTAACGAAGATGAGCGAGCGCGGTTACTAGGCCACTCCCGGCGTTGTATCATCTGTCTGTGCATAGCTACCGCAACGGAAAGATCCCGAGCACAGCTGCACTTCCGAGCTCTGAGTTTGTGAGACAACAGATCAAACATGAAATCAGCCATGCTCGTCATTCTTGGTGCGTGCACAATAGTAGCTGGGACACAGGCGCCCTTTGCCACAGTGAATACGTGTAGGCAAAGTTGAGGGCTCGACCCCTCGTGTGGCACTAAGAGACTTTTGGCAGGGTTGCTCGATGATGCCGGCGAGCTCGCCAGTGATGGCGAGAGATACTCGGGACACACTGTCAGTGGCGAACTAGACTTGATCATAGCAGGCGTCAAAGGCGGATGCGGTAGGACCACGCAAGTCCAGCTTAGCGAGACCTTTCTCCACGCTGACGTTCATTGCAGGCTGCGCTGCGTCGATGGCCGGATCGTCGCTCCTAGCAAGCTTGCTGACATCCCGACTTCGATCGTAAGCCTGACCTGTCGTAAAGTGGCCGGCCTCTGCGCCAAACACGGCCCATGACCAGGGGCTAAGCAGCTTTCGGCCACTGCAGTCTGCCCTGAAGTGCATTCCACTGCTCCAGAGTATCCTTGCCGAGCTGAGCGACAAAGTCCTCTGCGCTCGAGACGCGCTTGATGAGTCCGACTGATGTGCCAGACCAGCAGACGAGACGAGAAGCATCCTTGCTTTTCACGGCCTCTTGATAATCGGCCTTGACGTCGTCCTCTGATCGGCCTGCTTGTAGCTCTTTGTATGTCACATTCATGATGCCTCTGCCATCGACCTGCTTGGGCCAGCTTGTTGTGCCGCGCATGACATCATAGACCATCGTGCGCGTTGTCTCTGTGCCGTGAGAATTGATCATGAGCTCCTTCTGAGCGTCAGAATAGAGCGACTCGTGCGTAGCGACTAGCGCTGTGCCCAGCACGATGCCATCTGCGCCCAGCGCAAGCATCGAAAGAACTTGCGAGGCTGTCACGATGCCTCCCGCCGCAAGGACAAGCTGATCGTACTTCTTGTTGCTCTTCACGGTATCGATGACTTCGGGCAGGAGTGAGATGTTGGGCAAGCCGACCGAACTGCCGTGGCCGCCAGATTCCGACCCTTGAGCGATGATGACATCGACAGGCAGATCAGCCGCCTTTGCCGCATCTGCCGTGTTGGTGACGAGCACAAAGATGATGACTCTCGGATGTTGAGGCTCACGTAAGAACCGGATCCAAGGCTCCAGATCGTTGCCGAACGACAGCCAGATGGCTCTGCATCGTTGGGCAGACACGGTGAGCTTGCGCCTTGATGCCGGCTCGTCTACATCTAGCTTGAAGCCAGTGAACCCATTGCCGATCGGGAGTTGATCCTTGGACGAGCCTAGCAAGCCAGCCGCATGATCATACTCCTCTTGCATCTTGGCAGCATCGGCATCCTCCATCGACATGAAGCCGAAGCCGCCCGCGCGAGAGACGGCCGCTGCGAGCCTGCTGCCCGCTGCACCGGCCATGGCAGCGCCCACAAATGGCAGCCGGCATCCGAGTAAGCGAGTGAGAGCTGTAGGCAATGCGACAGACATCCTCGAGCTGACTGGAGTTCACTATCCAATGACTCGAGCGCGTCGAGCACGCGCACTCAGGCCGGGGACCGCCGCTTCCCCGCGTTTGACGGTCTAATGAGAGCGCAGATGTGAGACAATGAGCCCTTTTGGCTTTGTTAGTTGGACAACAACAGACAGTATAGGTTGCGCTGGGTATGAGCGACTGCTGTACACTGAGGATATTAAGCGATGAGCTTGATCAAAGGGCAGCCTTGCCGGCGGTCTCGCGCAAGAAGCAGGCGACGATGCCAGAGATGACAAAGAGCGAAGCAGACACATAGAGGGGTATGCTTGTCGTCAGACCGGCATAGGTTGCGATGATGGGCGCCTGCAGGCCACCGATGCGATTGAGCGATGATAGGATGGCTTCTGCCGTCCCTCTGTTCGGAGACGGGATCGATTCCGGAGAGACACAGTACAAGATACCGTACATACTGTTCTGGAAGAAACCGGCAGCATAGTTGATACCGAGAACGGCCGAATTGGTTGTGGCGATGGTGAAGATAAAGAGGAAAACGCCCACAGCGACAGTCGAGACGGCCAGGGCGAGCTTACGACCGCCCAGAGAGAACTTCCCGCCACTCCGTGTTCGTTCGACAAGCCAAGATGCAAAGAGCGATCCGGGAATGCCAGAAGTCGAGATGATAGCATAATTTTTGTAGGTCGTGTTGACGCTCGTGGCGGCGGATGCCGATGCCGCTTTCTGAGCCAAGAATGTGGGCAAGAAGGCATTATAGAGCGGGTAAGCGATACCAATGGCGAGCCACAGCCACATCAACAGGGTAAAGTTGATAGCAAGCTTCGTGGTCGAAAAGAGAGGCTTGACGTGGGCAAGAGAAACTTCTGCCAAAGCGCGTTTGACGAGCTCCTTGTTGGTATATTTGATCTCCGACATGTCTGAATCGGGCGACCGAAGCTGAAGATCACGCAGAGTAAGACTGATCTCTTTGCCGTTAGCTTTCGCAATCGTGTGCATGACGTCGAGCGCCTCCTGATCTCTGCCTCGCGCAATGAGATATTTCGGCGACTCTTGAACTTTGAAGACGAGGAAGCGGACGAGAAACATAGCCGTCGTCAGTGCTCCCAGGGTATACAGCGTGTATCGCCAGCCTTGATTGTTCTGATTCGTGCATGGCACATTGTCGGGGCACGAAAAATTGACGATGAAGACCCATGCGATCAGAGATGCGATCAGCTGCTACCTATCAGCACAGAGTGAGTGCTGAAAGGCGAGCCGCTCACCTGACCGACTGACCACCAGAGTGACATCAGCACGAGCGTCCACTGTTGTGCTGCTGGTACTTGATCGAGAAAGAATGTAGAGTCGACAGGGAGCGAGCCACCGACGCCGAAGCCCGTGCAAGCGATCAAGCTGCACAGAGCAACGAAATTGGGCGATGCACCTGCCGCTAAGCCAAAGACGCCAGAGAGTCCTTTGCAAACGTTGAGCCAGACGTTCCCATCTCGAGAGCGCGCGACACTTGCCTAGCGTGATGTTGAAGCTCAATCTGCGGCCAACAATGTCGGCACTGACGCCCCAGAGACTGGCACCCAGGATCAAGCCAACGTAGAGCGAGAGCGTCACAAAGGCGACGTGGCCTCCCGGCGGGCTTAATTCACGGGTGATCTGAGGCAAGATGATGGCGACACCCTGTAGCCATATGTTGTCATTGAGGAAGCCGAGGGAGCAGAGCATGAAGAGCTTGTAGTGATATGCGCCCCATCCGATCTGGCTCATCGTTGAATTGATGAGTCCGACTTTGTAGAGAAAAATCTCATCGACACCATTGTCACGAGCGCGTTCGGCAGAGGCATCATCCTCGACGGTGACCTGCCCTCCGAACTTCTCTGGATCTTTCTCCCCAAGAGAGTCAAGCTTCGTTTGGGCTCTCTCATTTTGCCCATCCTTGTCGCTCAGGTCTTGCTTCATTGTGCCAGCGTCATTAGTCCGTTCTTGCTCTGCGTTCCATTGCTTCTCGCCTGGGGCACTGAAGTCAGTGTTCATGTCGCTGATCGACGACGGGCGAGTGGACACAGGCTTGAGAGCTCGAAAGTGTCGACGACGAGTCCTAGGAGCCGCGAGATCTGACAAAATTCGGTTCTTCTGTCTTGGCAAACCAAGCTCTGTGGGTTTATTTGGCGTCGATCGCTCACGGAAATCTCAGCGCTCAGTCTCAGGAGACAGGGGGCACGATGACGCGATGACAGTATTCGTCACGAGCACGAGAGCACGCCTGTTGGAACAGATAAATAGTGCCACATGACGAAGCGCACTGCTCCTTACGGTTCGTGGGAGTCTCCGCTCTCCGCGGAGCTCCTGACCCAAGCGACTGTCGACATCCGATACGTCTTCGTCGACAGCGTGACGCATGAGCATTACCACATTGAACTTCGTCCGAGCGAGAAAGGACGCAATGCTATCGTCGACGCTCACGGCAAGGAGCTCTCCTCGACAACAGCTTACGATGCTCGTACACGCGTTCACGAATACGCCATAGGCTGTGCCGTTGCTAGGAATGGCCGAGTCGTCTTTCCCGACTTTACGAGCTTCGATGTCTTGCGTACCGACAAGAGCTCAGGAGAGTGGTCAAAGGCAGTCTCGGTCGTGCCCAGACATCCTGCCTATCGATACGGTGATCTCGAGATCTGTCCGACCGAACCTGATCTGCTCGTCGCCGTACGTGAGGATCACACGATAGACGAGCCCAGCAAGGTCATCAACTCAATCGTTCTCGTTGACATGGGCAAGAGAGAGACCATCATGACACTCGCCGGCGGTTGTGATTTCTATACCACGCCAAAGCTCAGTCCGGATGGCAAGCTGCTGTCGTGGATAGACTACAACTTGCCCAACATGCCTTGGGACAATTCGAGGGCCAATCTGGCCAAGTTCGACACGTCTACAGGCCTTAGTGATGTCCAATCCATCGACGGCGGTCTGGAAATGTCATACAGCGTATCTCAATTGCGATGGTCTATTGATGGCTCCCATCTACTCTGGCTTAATGACTCGACCGGCTACTACAACCTGTACGCGCGTGAAATCCAGTCCGGCAAAAACGATCTAGCTGCTGGCAAAGCGCTGGCACACGATGCAGGTGCCGTTGACTGGTTCTTAGGCCAATCAAGTTTTGCTTCGCTCACAGACGATCTCGTCGTCTTGTCCGCCCAAAAGTCTGGAGTGTTCAACCTAGTTTCTTTGTCAAGCAGAAGCATCATCGCATCTTTCGATACACCATTCCTGTCGGGACAGCAAATAAGACGTGTGACAGATGAGATCATTGTCTTGGTAGGCACAGGCGCGACGACGCAGTCTGTCCTCGCTCGTATTGATTTGCAACTCTCGGACGGCAAGCTGGATGCAAGCATCACTGTCCTGAAAGAAACGTCCAGCATCAAAGTCGATGAAGGCTACATTTCCCGAGCGCAAGCTCTCGTAGCGCCCAGCAAAGCGGCACCAGGCATGCACGAAAGCAAACCGCTCGCACATATGTTCTACTATGCGCCTGCGAGTAAAGATCATCAAGGACCTACAGATGAGCTTCCGCCGTGCATCGTCAGGTGCCACGGAGGACCGACCAGCAGTGCTGTGTCAGGCCTCAGCTGGCAAATCCAGTATTTCACGAGCCGAGGTTTCGCGTTTGTCGATTCAAATTATGGCGGAAGCACAGGACATGGCAAAGTTTACCGAGACCGATTGCAAAAGAACTGGGGCATCGTCGATATAGAAGATACAGTGGCTTGTGTCGAGCACTTGGCCAAGACGATGATCGACCGGAAGCGAGTTGCTATCGTTGGCGGATCAGCAGGCGGCTATACCGTACTCGCATCGCTGTGCGCGTATCCCGATGTTTTCGCCGCTGGGTGCTCTCAATATGGCGTGGCCGACTTGAAAGGCTTGGGTATGTGCTTGCTCGTCGTCTATAGCAGGAACCTGATTGGTATTGTACTTGCAGCCGACGAGACTCACAAATTCGAGAGCGAGTATCTCTTTGGACTGCTCGGTGGTCGACCGTCGGAAGTACCAGACGTATACAGAGATCGCTCTCCGATCTACAACGCCGACAAGATCAGATCGCCGTTACTTGTGCTGCAAGGTGATGAGCCTACCGTGTTGCTCTTGCAAAGCGCTGAGATCCGCTGCAGGCGAAGTCGATAAAGTGGTGCCTCGTAGCCAGGCTCATGCGATCGTCAAAGCCGTCCGAGCTAACGGCGTTGAGTGCAAGTACATCGAATTTGAAGGCGAGGGGCACGGTGTAAGTTTCTCTCCTGATCTTCGTCGCATGCATCCTGACGAACGTACCAGTTCATTCGTTCAGAGAATATTCGTACGACTTTTGATGAGCAGCTCAAGTTTTACCGGTCTGTCTTCAAGATTGCTGACTCGTAAACTTATTGGCCAGTGCATGCATGGACACTGTTCAATTGCTACCACTGGATTTGAGCTGGCACGCCACCAGCATTGCAGATCAGATGCAACAGTACATGTCATCACAGAAGTCTAAGTATTGCAAATCAGGTTCGAATGGCGCCGAAGAGCTTGACAGAGCATGGTCGGCCGTTCGCAGAGACAACAAGTCGCACGCGTTGATCCTTCCGAGGTACGAATACTCTCGAGATTGGATTCGTGATAGATCTCCGGCCCTGCACGATGTGTTGAGATGTCAGAGCGACGCGTAGCCAGCTAGCGCTCTGTCCTGCGAGTGCACCGAGCCACTCTTCCTGCGGAGGTAGATCCTGAGTGATATCGAAGTCATGCACTGTCGTTCCATCGGCGTTCGATGTGACGCGATGTCTGATACCGTGCGCTTCCGCATACGTTTCGACTTTGGACGCAAGCGCAGGTGCGGCGGCGATGTAATCCACGACAGGGATCTTGCTCTCATCGCCCGCATAGAAGCGCTCGATCACGCTGGCCGTGAGGCTGCGTTCGATATCACCAAGCATTGTCTTGACAGCTATAACATAACGGATCAGCAAGTCAAGCAAAGTCGACAGGTGCGAGCTTACGCTCGTTGATCTTGGTGCAGTACTTGGCGGCCACTGGACCTTGAAGGATACAGACGCGCTGGGGATCTTGATCAAAGACGGCGTCGATGTCCTCGGCTTGCCACAGACTGTCCTTCTTGAACCATACTTCGAAAGAGCTGTCTAGCACAGGGATGAAGGGCACCGGCTTTTGGCCAGGTCTTTGAGCTGCTTGGACGAAGTACTTGACGTCTTCTGATGCGAGCACAATCTGCTGGGCTGACGAGTACTTCTTGAGGAACTTGTCGAGGAACACTTCTGGCTCGTCGAGCTCCGAGTAGCTTTGAAGCGCAGAAATCTTCGCTCCACCACCGTTGACCTCCGATAGACGCTCCTGTAACAGACACGGCTGTCAGCGTGCGCTGCCGAAAGGACTACATGACATACCTCTGTGCGTCGGATCCAGTCGCCAACCAGACGCTGGTGGGATTTGTCAATCCATCGCTTCTGGTGAGCAACGTAAAGTAGTCGAGTCATGCGGCGCAACACTTCCTCGTACGTCATGTCGCCCAGATCGCAGGGCGTGCCATCGGCTTTCGCAGGGAACCATGGCTTCTGAAAATCGGCGTTGAGTGCAGCGATAACTTCGGCCTTGTGCTCCAATAGCCAAGCCACGCGCTTCTCCTTCGGCAGACCAAAGACTGTGTCGTCGTATTTTCGCCAGAGCTTGACTCCACGCGTTGCAATCTTGTGGATGGGCTCGCCCAGCTCTGAACGAACAGTGAGGATGCCTCCGGTTGGTCTGTCGTATGTACCCTCCCATTTATCGTCGTCGACACCGGGTGCGTCCAAGATAAGCTGCTTGACGCTGTCTGATGTGTGCGCCTCGAGTGCGACCATCATCCAGGAAGCAAAGAGGAAGCCATCGTACGGCATTGGCTCGACGCCGTACTCTTGACTCCAATCGCCGCTGAGATAGGGCCAGATTTGCTCTGCACTACCAAAGCCAGAGCCGCCGACAAGGATGAGATTCTTATGAGCACGGATCGAACCGTATGAGCGGATAATCGGATCGTGGAAGTCTTCTGGCGAATGATGTCCTCCGGCTCTGCCTCCAGTCCATTGCATGATGATGGGATAATCAGGATTCGCGGCGGCGATGTTGATGACTTGGCGGATACCGTCTGAGGAACCAGGCTTGAAGCTGACATGCTTGATGCCCGCTTCGCGAAGCGCATGAATGATCTCTGCCGCCTTCTCCGTCGAGGGAATACCAGCAGCGACAGTGAGGCCTTCGACAGGGAGACCTTCTTTTCTCATCTGACACCACAGAGGGAACTGAAGCGTCCATGCGCGAGGATTGATGTAGAGCGAGTTGAGTGTGATGCCCAGTCCGGGCACATCGAGCTTAGACGAAATCTCTGCAACTTTGGCTCTGAGCATGGCTTCGTTGTAGTGTCCTCCGCCAGCGAGCTCGATGTGATAGCCAGCATTCATAGTGGCTGCGTTGAAGCCCGCTTTGACGGTGGAGGGCGTCATGCCAGCGACCATGAGGGGTGGCTTGCTCAACAGACGCGAGAATGGCGTATCAAGATGTATCTTGCCATCTCTGCAATAGATCTCTCAGTGAGTAAGCACACTCGATGCAAACTTGGATGACTTACCGTGTCTTGAGAAGCTTGGGCGCATAGTCGTCAATCCAGCGTGTATCGAATCTGACGTCCTGGGCGTGGTACAGCTCTTCGCTGGGACGGCTTGCATTGCCACCTGAAGCGAGCAAGGTTCGCACACCTCGCCCTTCGAGACCTCTGGCAGTGAGCGAGCCGATGCCCGAGAGACCGCCTGGACCAAAGTCAATGACATGAGAGCAGGTCGAGGGGAAATGAGTGGCTTTGGTCCAGTGAATGTGAGCAGTGAAGATCTGATGACAGAGCTCTTCGAGCAGGCTCTCGTCGGGCGAGCCCTCTCGAAGATCTTTGCCCGTTTCGGTATTGAAGACAGGCACACGTAGCTTTGATCTTTGCCAGAAAGCAGGGTGCTCGGAGTGCCCCAGGTCAGCCTGCACGACTTGAGCAGTGCAGCCAGCGAGATAATCCGAGTGATACGGCACGCCAATCGGCAAGAAACGAAGTGAGAAGACCGGCAAACGCTTGGAGAAGGGCGTCTTGCTTTGATCCTTGCCTTGCTCTGCCTTTGCCTTGCGAAGAGAGGCGACGAGACCTGTGAGGCTTGCAACAGGACCCGTGACGACGAAAGCCCGGATACCATTGAAAAGGCTGATCGCGACTGGGCCTCGCTTGACTTTGGCAGAGCCATCAGGGGCCGGTCGATCGTTCTCCGCCTTGAGTAGATTGTTTGTAGCATCGATACGCTTCTGCAGCGATTTGAGATCGAGCCCGGTGACCGCAAGCATAGGTGTAGGCGCGCCCTCGCCAGCATCGATGCATTCTTGCACCTGAGCAGGCGGCAAAGCAGCGGGCGAGAACGCTTCCGAGCCTCTGAGACCGATGAAGAAGAGCACCTCCAATGCTTTGAGGGCGTTCTCCGTCCATACAGCCCAGGACGAGCCTCCCATAGCGGTGACAGTAGCTGATACTACGCCTTGTGAATGACCCGTCAAGCCGAGTATGCCAGACGTAGCATCGTCCTGGCGCGCCAGCATCTGATCAGGCGACAGATTGAGGATTTTGGCAGTGACAGCATATTGCGCGAGCTGAGTCAATCCGATCAGAGGGAGCGAGACAGCGCAAGAAGCAAGATAAGGCACGGGCGGTCGTGTAGCCGGCTCGAGCAGCCAGCTGTGAGCATCAAGTGACTCGACGAAGAGCAAGCTTTGCTTCTGGTGGGCTTGACTTAGTTTGCAAAGTGTCTGGCTGGCTTGCTCAATCAAATCTTGTACGAGTGGGCGATAGGTGTCATAGATGAGCTGAAGCTCCTCAAAATAGACCTCATTAGTGCCTTGACCGCCAAAGACGGCATAGATGTTAGCCTTGGATGAGGCTTGCCAGAGTCGACTCGAAGGTTCTCGGGATAGCGCAGCATGAGAAGCCGAGTCTGATTGAAGCAGCTGACGCGCTTCGTAGAACGCGCGCAACACAGCCTGACGACGAGGTGCATCGAGCGTGCTGACGAGCGTGTGAAGAGCGACAGGCGGCGTGCCTTTAGGGCACAGGTAAGCATCGATGAAAGATGCCAGACCAGTCAGTAGGAGCTCGTTCGTCAGTGCATCGGCTGACTTTTGCACTTGGTGGGCGATGAAGCGCAAAAAGAGCGCGTGCAGCACGATTGCATTCTCCTTTGAAGCCTGTGCGAGCATGCGCGCTTGATCTTGCTCCTCCGTCGTCGCACTGGATGATGCCGCCTCGATCTGGGCGGGTGTGACAGAAGGAGGTGCATCGCCCAACAGAGTGTCGATTGAGCTGGCAGCGGTCAGACCGAGTTGGGTCGCGTAGCTTTCGGTGGCAGACTCGGCAGGAGCAGCCTGGGGATCGACAAGCGCTCTCGTGAAGGCCTCCCGGAGTATCTCCGCTCGCGTCCATGCACGACTCTGGGCAGAGACGAGCAAGGTAGCGTAGGTAGCCGTGGCCACATGATGGAGCACAAGCGGTCTCTGGTCTGCCTCTGGTGAGATAGAATTGCGGTCCATCGGTGTGCTGGCGGTGGGTGCAGTGATCAATACGGGCGAGGCGAGAACGTAGTCAGAGTGGGAATCAGTAGATGACACCACCGAGCTCATTCGTCACTGTAGAAAGGTCATCAGTGTTGCAGACGTGGACAGACTCAGGGGTGCCAACCTGGACGACTCCTGCAGAAGGTCTGAGACGTCTCCACGTAGTCTATCGTCTGTCTAAACTCGCAGCGAGCCAAAGGCTTAGCCAGCTTTGTCCGACCGAAGTCGAGTTGAGTCGCAGCCCACGCTCGTTTGCAAACGTCTTGGACCCTCTTGCCAGAGATGACTCTCCCTAATGGCTTGCTCTTTTGCCTAGGAGAGCAAATGACAGTATGCTCTGTCTTTGCTGTCGTCTCAACTTGACTGCACGGCGCACTTCGGAGACTCCACTCTGCCCAACCGCGCCTTTCCCCAAAAGAAAGCTGTCTCCACCCCTGCTTCATAGGTGGCGCTCATTATCTCACCACGTCCCAGCCTCGCCTTGCCGAAAAGCTCTGTCCTCTGTTCGACGAGGGGACAACACCGCCGGGTATGACTACATCCATCCTTCATTCTCCTTTCGGTACAAGGTGTGTGTGGTGTAATCAGCGCGCATGCAGAAATCGGTCGCTCCTTAGCACGCTGAGTCCACGGGCCTTGGGTCGTCTGCACAGGGTTCATGTAACGTTTGCGAATCTCACACGGAATGCAGTCCTTGGCTGTCAGTGAGATTGAGCGGCTGAAGAGAGCATTGGAGTGAAAATATGTATGCAGGCTGCGGCAAATTGTCCTAGCATAAGGTGCTCATACAGACATCTCCGGAATGTGGCACTAATCATGAGCAAGCACAAAGATGGAAGTCATCTCTGTCGTCGAAGACGGCGTTGGCGAAGAAGCGGATTCAGAATCTCCAGAGCGGCGTGACTAAGAAGCGCGTTGGTGGCGGATCGAGATACAATGTCAAAGTTTGGCCTAACAAGACGCGAGCCACCTCATGCTCGCTGCAGTGGAGCCCACAACAAGCATCCACAGCTCTAAACACGCCTTGATCCTGTACGAGAGCACCAAAAAAGCTTCCAGCGAACACTGTGCTAGCAACAGCCATCGCGACAAACACGTCGTTCCGCTCTATCATGCAAGCGTCAGATACCTATGGCATCGTGAAGACAAGCACTGAGTACGATAAATCAGCAGAGTACGGTGTGTCAGTAGATCGAGACGATGGCAGTACTAGACTGCAGCATCTTTCCGAAATGCAGAAGTCAATACAAGCATGCGCTCTCGCGGCGCTCGCAGGCTTTTTCAATGGTCTGCAACGGCAGCTCCACTGCGCGACTGTCTCACATTGGCACGGCATAGGTCATCAGGATCCGAGCAGACAGAGCTGGGATGCTGCGTCAGACACGAACAGCAGGATCGCTCGCCCGCCAGAAGCATACAATCGATTGTGCTAGCTCTTGAAAGGCCACAATGAGGTCCAGTCCGTCGCTGTGCTGCAATTTGCCGTAAGCAATGTTCATAATCGAAGCAGAGGCGGAGACTGTGCGGCGCGAGCGTGAGACGCGTCGAGGAAAACAAAGTTCACGCCAGAACTACTGTCGGCTCATGCCTCAAGCGCTCATCTACCGGTCATCGGTCAAGCAGGTTCAGTCACCGTCAGGCTTGCATTAATAATATATCAGAGAGATGGCGGGTGGGACGATTGGGCGAGCGAGAGAGAGATGTTGAAGCCTCCGTGAGAGAATGGCGAGCTATAAAGCCTGGCGAATTATTCTGCCTCTCTTCACTCGAGATTCGTATACATTTGATCATATCAAGTCTATACTGCAATCGTTTGAGAGTACTCTATACTGTTAAGAGCGAAGCAGAATCTANAAAGATGCTGTCTGCTGCTACGAAGCCGGTCATGCGAAATGCTACCAGCAAAATCCCGATTATCGTCTCTCGAGCTCGCTCGGAGCGAATTGTTGGGTCGAGCNCGATGACGACTGTCTCGCCAGCTGGTTCTGGTGCAGCGGTCAGAGGTATACGCTCGCGGATCCCGGTGCCAGCATCTCGTCTGTCACCAACGGGCAGACAGGTGTCTGCCATCTCTGCTGTGCTAACTTCTNCACCAACGGGCAGACAGGTGTCTGCCATCTCTGCTGTGCTAACTTCTGCCGTGCCACAGGTGTCAGTCAAGGCGGTCGAGGTCGTCAAGAAGGTCTCCACTCGCTCGAAAGCTAGTCAGTGCTCTTCTAATCTCATCGATAGGATACAGCTGACTCTTACTGTAGGCTCGCTGGCTCTCGGCAAGTCTGTTGCTCGGTCGGCGCCGAGCAAGAC